GCCAATCGCCAGGAAATGGTGAGTTCTAGTCATGCTTTGGCACGAAAGCCAGTTGCATGACTTTGGGCCAATCACCAGGAGCTGGTGAGTTCTAATCCCATCAAAGCATCAAAGCCATTGGGTACGTTACTAGTAGGAAGGTTGCATTGGTGTGGGACTGTTTGTGTCTGTGTTTATATGTTTGTGTATGTCTGTGTCTTTAAAAGTAAGTTCAGGGGAGGACGTTGGTGGAATGCTAGAAGAGATATAATGAGTGCTGAGAAATCCTTGGGGATTTTACTACTAGCCAGAGGTAGCATAAGTTGCATGCGACAGTTGCGTGCTTAAAAAGTATTCTTGCATATTCTTATGTAATTCTGCAAAATTGTGCTTCGATCAGTATCCAGATTAGTATCAGGCCTTACTTTGTAGTGGACATCGGGATGCTAGACACCACCCCCTTTTGGTCAAGGTTTCTGCTTGACTTAAAGTTCCTAAGCTCAGTCTAGATCAGGGGTCTTCAAACTTGGCCCTTTTATGACTTGTGGACTTCAACACCCAGAATTCCTGGCTGAGGAATTCTGGGAGTTGAAGTCCACAAGTCTTAAAGTTGCCACAGTTGGGGACCCCTGCCTTAAATGGTACCACAAGGCCAGGTGTCAGAGTCAGCCAGCTCACAATCTCCCCGGCTGCCCCTATGTTGCTAGACCTGTGTATTTTTGCGCTTCTGAGCAACTGTGTGGGTAGACAGCACAACTGCCGAAGCTGAAAAAGAGGTGCCTCTCGCTGGCATTTTAAGTTCAAGGGCTGGCATTTTATTGCTGGCAGCCTGTTATTTGGTGGGTATTGTTGATATTTTAGCTTTAAGACTCTCTGAAAGAAATTTACGGAAACATGACATGCAAAAAAAAATGCGAAGTCTCCCCGTTGGGTCGATGCAGTACGATTTGCGTTGTTATGTAAGGCTGCCCTAAATTTACAGTTTGAAAACTGTGGGTAAAATTGGCAGATGACGCTAAAATGGCAGGAATAGCCAAGATCCCAGAGGAACCCAAAGTTGCTTTTTTTTTTTTTTTTCAAAGAGGCCAACTGGACTTTCTTGTTTTTCCCTTGAAGACGTTTCGCTTCTCATCCAAGGAGCTTCCTCAGTTGTGACTGGATGGTGGGCGAATGGAAGGACTTTTATACTCCTTGTAGACAGCTGGTCATTTGCCTTCTTTTAGAGAGTCGTTGAGGCCACCTGGAGGTTTACCTGTGTCCTCAGGGTCACCTGAGTGGTTCAAATGGGTGTGGAGCCATCTTGGAACCGCTGAAAGGACTGTGTTGTAGACTGGAGATGGATGATGTCTCATATCCCCCCCCCCCCGGTTGAAGGAAGGCTGATCAATTTTGACCTAGATGGCCTCTTTGCCCCCTCTTTCAATCCAGCGGTCCTCTCTGTCCAAAATGTGGACTTTGCTGTCCTCAAAAGAGCGGCCTTCATCTTTTAAATGCAGATGGACTGCTGACTCTTGTCCTGGTGGGTTTGTTCTACTATGTTGTGCCGTGCATTTATGAAGTGGTTGTTTTGTTTCCCCAATGTACAGATCTGTACACGGCTCACTGCATCGTACTGCATATACCACGTTGCTCAGTTTGTGCCTGGGTGTTTTATCCTTGGGGCGGAAAAGGTTCTGCCTTGGTGTATTCGTGGGTTTGAAGTGTGCATGTATGTTGTGTTGGCTGACGATTTTCCTGAGTTTTTCCGATATGCCTGCAAACGTACAGAATGACAGCGTTGCTTCATTTATTATTTTCTTCTTTGTCTGTTATGGAGGAGCTCCTGATGGGTCTTTTTGGGGATTTGATGAAGGCCCACTTGGAATAGCCATACATTCTAAGGCAGGGGTCTTCAAACTTGTCCCTTTCATGACTTGCGGACGTCAACTCTCAGAATTCCTCAGCCAGCGTGCTTGGCTGAGGAATTCTGGGAGTTGAAGTCCGCAAGTCATAAAAGGGCCAAATTTGAAGACCCCTGTTCGAAGGGGCTTCCTTCATTTGCTTTAGTTTTTTTTTCTTTCCCATCTTTGCTGGCAGGAAGACCTTCAGCTCAGTGGCGTGCGGTTCTGACAATTCCCATTTTGTGCTCCAGTGGGTGGTGTGAATCAAAATGTAAATATCGATCCGGTTTATTAATTTGATGCTTATCTTGCCTCGCCACTCAAGAAGAGTGGCATTGAAACATCTAGATCAGATATGGAATAAATTTTATAGAGGGAGGGGAAAAAATGGAGGTCACAGTAAAGAGATAAACTGAGATAGAGACTAGAAATGTATAGTTGTATATAATGTAATTAATATACAATATGGACTGAGATGTCAGTCAAAGACGATTTACCATGTTCAATGTTTTTAATCCTTTTTTTTTCTTTGTACTTAATAAAAAATAAAAAAAGAAAGAAAAAGAAACATCTAGATCAGTATTTCTCAATTGTGGCCAACTTTAAGACTGGTGGACTTCAACTCCCAGAATTCCCCAGCCAGCCATGATGGCTGAGGTACCCTGGGAGATGAAGTCCACACGTCTTAAAAGTCGTTAAGGTTGAAAATCACTGATCTAGCTGGCCAACAGTTGTCCCAGGACCAGCGTACTTTTTCAAATAAATTTTAAATGTTCATGTTTATCATCAGAACCCTTGACAAAGTGAAAGAACCATTTAGTATAAAGGTAAAATATGAGCTAGAATGATTCAAGTTCCAATATCTCAGGGGCTGCCCCAAAGAAGAGGGAGTCAAGCTAATTTCCAAAGCATTTAAGGCAGGAGAAGAAGCAACAGATGGGAACTAACCAAGGAGAGAAGCAACCTGGAACTAAGGAGAAACTTCCTGACAGTGAGAACAATTAACCAGTGGAACAACCTGCCTCCAGAAGTGGTGAATGCTCCAACACTGGAAGTTTTTAAGAAGAGACTGGACAACCATTTGTACGAAATTGTGTAGGGTTTCCTGCCTGAGCCAGGGGGTTGGACTAGATGACCTCCAAGGTCCCTTCCAATATTATTATTATTATTATTATTATTATTATTATTATTATTATTATTATTATTATTATTATTATTATTATTATTGCTTCACTGTTGGCTGAAAACACTCCTTAGTATTGAGTGAAGGGCCACAGGTAGAGGGGGGGGTCTGAAATGTGGTGGGGAAATCGCAGTTTTGGACAGAAAACTACTGATCTCAGTTTTCCTATGTTCATTACAGGAAGTCCTCGACTTAAAACCATTCGCTTAGTGACCGAAGTTACAATGGCACTGAAAAAGCGGACTGCTGTAATGACCATTTTTCTCACTTATAACCATCGCAGCCTCCCCAGGATCACATGATCAGAAGCTTGGCAATTGATTTATATTTATGACGGTTGCAGTGTCCCGGGATCATGTGATCCCCTTTTGTGACCTTCGGATAAGCAAAGTCAAGGGGGAAGCCAGATTCACTTTTGTGTAGAATAGAGCTGGAAGGGACCTCGAAGGTCTTCTAGTCCAGCCCCCTGCTCAAGCAGGAGAATTTGTACCATCTCAGACATGTGACTGTCTAGCCCAGTGATGGCGAACCTTTGAGAGACCGAGTGCCCAAACTGCAACCCAAAACCCACTTATGCATTGTCGGGTGCCGGGTGGGTGTGGCCCATTGGGTGGGTGTGGCCCATTGGGTGGGTGTGGCCCATTGGGTGGGCATGGCTGCGGTGGTAACGGCAGACTGGGTGGGACTAAAAAGTTCAATCAATCAATTCCAAATTTGCAAGATCTTTTTTTTTCCTGCGAGAAGCTGAAATTGACTGATTGATTGAACCTTTTTTTTTTTTTTTGCACACGGCGGCGGAGTCCTAAAGCGAAAAGGTTTTATAAAACCCAGCTGAAGGCCTAGGACTGGGGCAATGGCATGTGTGCCCACAGAAAGGGCTCTGAGTGCCGCCTCTGGCACCTGTGCCATAGGTTCGCCACCACTGGTCTAGCCCAGGGGTAGGCAACCTTGGCTCTTTTCTGACTCGTGGACTTCAACTCCCAGAATTCCTGAGCCAGCCATGCTGAGGGGAAAGGGAAAGATTTCCAAGCTGAGCCATGCTGGCTCAGGAATTCTGGGAGTTGAAGTCCACGAGTCATAAAAGAGCCAAGGTTGCCTACCCCTGGTCTAGCCTCTTCTTAAAAATCTCCAGTGATGGAGCACCCACGATTTCTGGAGGCAAAGCTGTTCCACAATCATGTTCCTAACTGCCGTGATCCACTTGACAACTGTGGCAAGAAAGGTCGTAAAATGGGGCAAAGCTCACTTAACAACGGTGTCATTTCGCAACAGAAATGTTGTGGTAGTAACTCCAGGGCTATCTGTAATTCTGCAGCTGTGCAGCGAAGGCTGTAATCCACAAGCAGAAAGAAAACTGAAGAAAATACAGGAAGTCCTCGACTTACAACAGTTCATTTCGTGACCATTTGAAGTTAAAACGGCGCTGAAAAAAGCAATTTATGACCGTTTTTCACACTTACGACCGTTGCAACATCCTTGTGGTCAGGTGATCAAAATTCAGAGGCTTGGCAACTGGTGTGTACTTACGACAGTTGAAGTGTCCTGCGGTCATGCGTTGCCCTTTTATGACCTTCTGACAAGCAAAGTCTGTGGGGGGGGAGCCAGATTCGCTTAACAACTGTGTTCCTAATTTAACAACGGCAGTGATTCATTTAACAACGGTGGCAAGTAAAGGTCGTAAAATGGGACAAAATTCACTTCACAAAGTTCTCACTGAGCAAGATAAATTCTGGGCTGTTAAGAATAGATAAATAAAAACTAAAAAAAAAACAGAAACCCTGTTTATGATGAAGCCGTTCTTTGGAAAAAAAAGAAAAAAGAGGAACCGCATCGCTTAATCTTCAAAATTCTCAGGGTCGCTTCCAGCTCGTACGTAACCCGGGTGCGATTCTGCGTCCGGCTCTTTGCTTTTTACCGTAAAGGTTTCAAACTTTTTCTGTTTCTTCCTTCTCTTCCAGTAACTGCCCCTCTCTGCTGGCAGCAGCTTTAGCCCGGGCCACAGCCGATGATGTCCTGCAGAGTGACCTCTCCAATCTTTACCTGCCCAAACACGAGGACAGTCCAGATGGGATCATACGTAAGTGAGAAAATGCATCACAAACAGTCGTGTTTCTCAACCTTGGCACCTTTAAGATCAGTGGACTTCAACTCCCAGAATTCCACAGTCAGCAAAGCTGGCTGGGGAATTCTGGGAGTTGAAGTTCACTGATCTTAAAGTTGCCAAAGATGAGAAACACTGAGCTAGCTCCGGGAATTCTGGGAGTTGAAGTCCACTGATCTTAAAGTTGCCAAGGATGTAAACACTGAGCTAACTGGAGAATTCTGGGAGTTGAAGTCCACATATCTTAAAGTTGCCAGGCCTGGGAAATACTGAGCTAGCTGGGGAATTCTGGAAGTGGAAGTCCACAGATCATAAAGTCGCCAAGGTTGGGATTACATATATATATATATATATATATATATATATATATATATATATATATATATATATATATATTACATATATATAGTGGTGAGGATCGTAAAACAACCAGCGGGCCAAGGACAGGTTGCTATATGCGGAACAATTCGGTGCCGTATGGATGAATACAATCAATGGGCCGATGACGCGCAGAGGCAGGAGGTAATATGAGCTGGCTCCCAGGTCTCCTTTTACTCCAGCTCTGACGACGTCGGCAGTTTAGCTGACGAAAGTTTAGTGACTGTTTTTAACCACAGGCTTGTTTACATTAAACAGTCTGGTTTATTACATCCTGGTGTTCGTTTTTCTTTCTAACTTGGTTAATATGATGCCCAGGATTCGCATTTTTAGTATTTTAAAGGATACACAAACACACACACACACACACAAACACACACACACACATACACACACTGGTGAGATTCAGCCGGTTTGCACCAGTTTGGGAGAACCGGTAGCTAAATTTACCTGAATTCGGAGAATTGGCTGACTTCTGGAAGTCCAGTCTAGGCCTCGGAGGCCTCCCTGGTCTAGAATGGCCCACCAGAGGTGCATGGATACCACTTCTGGAAGTCTGTTCTAGGCATTGGAGACCCGGAGGAGGCCTCCCAGGCCTAGAACGGCCCACTGGAAGTGCATGGATACCACTTCCGGAAATCCGCTCTAGGCATTGGAGGCCTGGAGAAGGCCTCCCAGGCCGAGAACGACTGCCTGGAAGTGCATGATGCCACTTCTGGAAGTCCGTTCTAGGCATCGGAGGCCCAGGCCTTGTGGTTGTCCCAAAGGTACTTTTTGTCAAAAGGCAACTGGACTTTCTTTTGTTTTTTCTTGAAGACGTTTCGCTTCTCATCCAAGAAGCTTCTTCAGTTCTTACTGAATGATGGGGAATGGAAGGATTTATACTTCTTGCAATCATCTGGTCACTAGTACTCCCTCTGAGAGTCTTTCTGCATCGCAGTGTGACATTTACAGACTTGTATCTTGGAGAAACAAAACAACCACTTCACAAATGCATGGCACAACATAGGAGAACAAACCCATCAGGATAAGATTCAGCAGCCCATCTGCATTTAAGAGACGAAGGCCGCTCTTTCGAAGACAGCAAAGCCCACATTTTGGACAGGGAGGACCGCTGGCTTGAAAGAGGGGTCAAAGAGGCCATCTAGGTCAAAACTGAACAGCCCTCCCTCAACAGAGGGGGAGGGATACGACATCATCCATCTCCAGTCGACAACACGGTCCTTTCAGCAGTCTCAAGATGGCTCCACACCCATTTGAACCACTCAGGTGACCCTGAGGACACAGGTAAACCTCCAAGTGGCCTCAACGACTCTCCAAAGAATGCAAATGACCAGCTGTCTGCAAGGAGTTTAAATCCTTCCACTCTGATCCATCCGGTCAGAGCTGAAGAAGCTTCTTGGATGAGAAATGTTTTCAAATAAAAACAAGGAGGTCCAGTGGCTTCCTGAAAAAAGCACGTTTGGGATACCTGATTGCAAAGGTCCACTACAAGCAAGGTCCACAGTTGTTAAGGTGACGAAAACTTGAAAAAAATAAGAGAACGGGTTAGATCAATGGTTCTCAACCTGTGGGTCGGGACCCCATTTGGGGTCGAACGACCATTTCACGGGGGTCGCCAAACAACGCAGTCCGCCATTTTTTCCCCCTTTTCCTTAGCTGTGCTACTCCCTTTTATTCTATTGGCTTTTGAAAGCCAATAGAATAGACTCTCTTGAATAGAGTCTAATTCTATTGGCTTTCAAAAGCCAATAGGAATTGTCCAGCTGTCTCTGCCCTGCTGAGCCCGCCAAAAGTCCCATTCTGCAAACGGTGCTGCACCAGTTGAGTAGTCCTCGACTTACGACCGGTTGGGGGTCGCGGCATTAAAAAGGTTGAGAACCACTGGGTTAGATTAATGGTTCATGGGGATGAAATAGCTAAGCCTATAAAGGAGAGGCTGCTTGTGTTGATAGCTTGTTTTCTGGACTTTATTATTATTATTATTTCATTGAAAAATTAACTTTCCTTTTGGAGGCAGCCAACTGGGAGGTTTTATGGAGGTCTTGCTGTTTTGATTTTTTTTTTTTTAAATGGGTACAGCATCACGATACAGGAGTTTTTATAAAAAAACGAAAGAAGCTTTCTCTCTTTTTTTTTTAACACTTACACAACGCAGCAAAAGTTTCCACCCGCCAGTTCAAGATCACGTCTGTTTTTTTTTTTTTCACTCCGGAGTTCTTGCTGAGTAAGATCCCCAAACGCCAGTTAGGGACGGGAGGCAACCGTTTCTAGGACACGCTGACGGGCCGTTTATTGTTCAGCCTGCAAAATAGATTGCCATCTTTCCTTCCCTCTGCTTTTGTTCAAAAGGATTTAAATAAATAAATAAAGTGCCGAGCCAAGGATGGTGGCTTATTTTTGGCTGCGTTTATGTTGAATTTGCTGTTTTGGTCAAGGAAACGGATCCGTTCTTGTTCAGCTGTACAAACCCTCCTTAATTTCAAATTGAGATGGGTGAAACCAGCATTAAACATTTGACAGTCTCCGAGAATGGCTGACATTCCTCGGGCTCTCATCCTTGACGTGGAACGTTTGAGGAGGCTGGAAATTGTTAGCAGCTGCTGTACTCCAAGTGTGTTCTTGCAGTTACAGAACCCAAGGCAGGTAGTCCTCTAGTTACGACCACACAATTGGGCCCAAAATATCTATCTGTCTGTCTGTCTATCTATCATCTACCTACCTACCTACCTGTCATCGATCCATCCATGCAGTGGTGGGATTCAGCCAATTCTCACCAGTTCAGCAGAACTGGTAGCTAATTTTTTGTTACCCAGGCCCAGAATGGACTTCTGGAAATGGCATCCACACAGAGAACCGGTTGTTCACATATTTGAATCCCACCACTGCATCCATGTCTGTCTGTCTATCTACCTATATCTATCATCCATCCCTGTCTGTCTGTCTCTATCTGTCTGTCTATCATTCATCCATCTATCCATGTCTGTCTGTCTGTCTGTCTGTCTATCTATCTATCTATCTATCTATCTATCTATCTATCTATCTATCTATCTATCTATCTCTGTCTATCTGTGTATCTATCTATCATCTATCTATCTGTCTATATCTATCTATCTATCTATCTATCTATCTATCTATCTATCTGTCTATATCTGTCTATCTGTGTATCTATCATCTATCTATCTGTCTATCTATATCTATTTATCTATCTGGGTATCTGTATCTATCTGTATTTGTGTATCTGTCTATCTATCTCTGTGTATCTATCTCTATCTATCTATCTGTCTATCTGTGTATCTGTCTGTATATCTGTGTATCTATCTCTGTATTCGTGTATCTGTCTGTCTATCTATCTATCTATCTATCTATCTATCTATCTATCTATCTATCTATCTATCTATCTATCTATCTATCTATCTATCTATCTATCTATCATCCATGCAGTGGTGGGATTCATCCAGAACTCTCCTACCAACACTGACAGGGCAAAACACTTGCATATAAACAGAGAGCAAACCCTACTTGCTTCTGATACTGATGATGTTACTTGGTTGGGTCATGAAACATCTGCAAGAAAACCCCCAAGCTCAGAGACAAGGGCCCCTCATTTCAACCCTGAGCTACAAATATTTTCCTCCCCCCCTTCCTCCTCTTCCTCCTCCTCCCCACTGTCTTCTAGCATAGCTATCCAGTTTACCCATAGATAAACATCTGCAAGAAAACCCCCAAGCTCAGAGAGCACCAGGGACCCCACAAACCTAACAGTTCCCGGTCCATGCCATTAGTCACCTTTTCTGCCATTTGTTACAAGACGGGAGTTTTACATACAAAGACGGCGTGCAGCAGACTGCAAACTAGCGGTCGTTTCTTAAGCAGCCATTCCTGGGCAACCAGCCCCACCCTTGTGAAGTAAAGTGGCTGGATTGGGACTTCCGCTACCATTTTAGGCTTCCTGGCTGGAGGGAAAGGAGCACTTGGTGGTGAACGTAGACAGGATGACGGCTGACTCAGCCCCAGGCACAGCACTCCAGCATTAAGGATTGATGAGTAATTTACAGCTGCATGGGGGTGGATAAACCTTGGAGGACTCTTAAAAAAAATAAAATTGTGAACCAGTAATTATTGATGATGCTCACACAGTGTGTGCCATCCGCAGGGGGGCTGCCCTTCCGAGCATCAACAGAGCGAGTGGACTTTTTCTCTCCGGCTGGGGCACATGCCTTCCTCCCCAGCAGAAGTCAGCATTTCTGTTTCTGTTCAGTCCATTAGCTGGAAGGGGCCGTGGAGGTCTTCTAGTCCAACCCCCTGCTCAAGCAGGAGAACCTATACCAGTGATGGCGAACCTTTTAGAGACCGAGTGCCCAAACTGCAACCCAAAACCCACTTATGCATCGTCGAGTGCCGGGCGGGTGTGGCCCATTGGGTGGGTGTGGCCCATTGGGTGGGTGTGGCCCATTGGGTGGGTGTGGCCCATTGGGTGGGCGTGGCTGCAGTGGTAACGGCAGACTGGGTGGGACTAAAAAGTTCAATCAATCGATTCCAACATTGCGAGATCTTTTTGTTTCCCCGCGAGAAGTTGAAATTGATTGATTGATTGAACCTTTTTTTTTTTTTTGCACACGGCAAAAATGTTTTATAAAACCCAGTTGAAGGCCTAGGACTGGGGCGACGGCGCGCGTGCCCAAAGAGAGGCCTCTGAGTGCCACCTCTGGCACCCGTGTCATAGGTTCGCCACCACTGCCCTATACCATTTCAATCCATCAGAATAGAGCTGAAAGGGGCCTTGGAGGTCTTCTAGTCCAGCCCCCTGCTCAAGCAGGAGATCCTATACCACTTCAGACAGGCGGCTGTCCAGTCTCTTCTTAAAGACCTCCAGTGATGGAGCACCCAGAATTTCTGGAGGCAGGCGCCTTGGAGAATAGCTTGGCTCCCTCTTCTTTGGGGCAGCCCCTGAGATACTGGAACACTGCTATCATGTCCCCCCTCGTCCTTCTCTTCATTAAATTAGACATCCCCAATTCCAGCAACCGTTCCTTGTATGTTTTAGCCTCCAGTCCCCTAATCATCTTTGTTGCTCTTCTCTGTACTCTTTCTAGGGTCTCAACATCTTTTTTACATCGTGGTGACCAAAACTGGATGCCGTATTCCAAGTGTGGCCTTACCAAGGCCTTGTAAAGTGGTATTAATACTTCACGTGATCTTGATTCTATCCCTCTGTTGATGCAGCCTAGCACTGTGTTGGCCTTTTTGGCAGCTGCCGCACACGGCTGGCTCATATTGAAGGGATTGTCCACTAGGACACCGAGATCCCTCTCACATACTACTATTGAGCAAGGCACCCCCTATAGTATACCTGTACATCCACCTTGCCCCTGTTGTTAAGCCAATCCCTGCAGTTGTTAACTCAGCAACAGGGCTGTTAAGTGCCTCTGGCTCCCACACTGACTTGTCAGAAGTTCACAAAAGGGCATCACGTGACCCCCCGGGGGCACTGTGACCGTCATGAATACAGGCCAATGGCCAAGCAAATTTTAATTGGCTGACCGTGGGGGACGCTGCAACGGTCATCAGTGTGAAAAATGGTCACGAGTCTTAACTTTGCGGTTGTAACTTTGAACGGTCACTAAAGGACCTGTCGTAAGTGGAGGACTGCCTGTCTCTTTCGGCAAAACATCAGAGGAAAAAAGGATTTACTCCTGGAAGACCGTATTCCTTTGTATTTCAACGAGTAGTTTTTCGTTCTTACGTGGTGTTGGCTCTCCTTTCAGAGGTGGAGACGGAGAAGTTGGCCCGCATAGTCTTCAGCAAGCTTCACAACACTTGCAGCACCTGGTTGAAGGACTTCCCGCTCCGGACAAAGCCACATCGGTACTATGACACATCGATCCACGCCATTAAGAACATGAGAAGGAAGATGGAAGACAAGCACGTCTGCATTCCGGACTTCAACACGCTCTTCAACCTGGAGGTAAAAGAGTCCTGCCAGCAGGGCAGCTAAGTCAGATGAGATGAAATTTGAGGTAGCCAAGAATGCAAGACTCCAGGTGGGCGCCAAGGGAAATGTTTTCATTGCATGTAGATTTAATAAGGTGGGTAGGGGTGGGAACCTTAAAATGTGAAGGAACTCCGTACCAATATCTCCATTTGTCAGGCTCCAAAACCAAGAAAGAATAGATCAGAGCAGAGCAGAGCAGAACAGAACAGAACAGAACAGAATAGAATAGAAATATAGAATAGTAAAATAATAGAATAGAATAGAATAGAATAGAATAGAATAGAGTAGAATAGAATAGAATAGAATAGAATAGAATAGAATAGAAAATATGGAATGGAATGGAATAGAATAGAATAGAATAGAAAATATGTAATAGAATAGAATAGAATAGAATAGAATAGAATAGAATAGAATAGAATAGAATAGAATAGAATAGAATAGAATAGAAAATATGGAATGGAATAGAATAGAATAGAAGTAGAATAGAAGTAGAATGGAATAGAATAGAATAGAATAGAATAGAATAGAAAATATGGAATGGAATAGAATAGAATAGAATAGAATAGAATAGAATAGAATAGAAAATATGGAATGGAATAGAATAGAAGTAGAATGGAATAGAATAGAATAGAAGTAAAATAGAATAGAAGTAGAATAGAATAGAATAGAATAGAATAGAATAGAAAATATGGAATGGAATAGAATAGAATAGAAAATATGGAATGGAATAGAATAGAATAGAAAATATGGAATGGAATAGAATAGAATAGAATAGAATAGAAAATATGGAATGGAATAGAATAGAATAGAAAATATGGAATGGAATAGAATAGAATAGAATAGAATAGAATAGAAAATATGGAATGGAATGGAATAGAATAGAATAGAAGTAGAATGGAATAGAATAGAACAGAAGTAAAATAGAATAGAATGGAATGGAATGGAATAGAATAGAATAGAAAATATGGAATGGAATATAACAGAATAGAAGTAGAATGGAATAGAATAGAATAGAACAGAATAGGAATAGGAATATGGAATGGAATGGAACAGAATAGAATTTAGAATGGAATGGAATGGAATAGAATCAGAGTTGGAAGGGACCTTGGAGGTCTTCTAGACCAGTGTTGGTGAACTTTTAGAGACCGAGTGCGCAAACTGCAACCCAAAACCCACTTTTTTATCGCCGGGTGCCAAGTGGGCGTGGCCCACTGGATGGGCGTGGCTGTGGTGGTCATGGCAGACTGGGTGGGTGTGGCCAAGGTGGGCGTGATCACCTCAATGTTGCTCGTGGGGAGGGACGCCTGTGGGGGCCGGGCAGGGTTGGGGGAGATCCAGGGGGTCTCTGGCAGGTGGGGCAGTGGGCAGGAGGCTCGTCCTGCGGGGAGGGGCGAGGCAGGGCGGGGGTGCCATTGTCACAGGGCAAGGTGAGGCAGGGGCTGGGGTGGCTGCTGCTTGACACTATCGGCCCCTGCACACAGAGGCCAGCGAGCACATGGGTGCTGGGATGCATCTAGCCACGTGGGACCTCGGCGAGTTAGCGGGCGGCTGGTTGAAGAGGGACAGTTGCCATCTCTGGGGCCTGGCGTGCGTGCCCCCAGAGAAGGCGCTGAGTATCGCCTCTGGCACGCATGCCATAGGTTTGCCACCACTGTTCTAGACATTCTGAGTTACTCCAAAGCAGTTTCCTTTATTGTTCCTCAACAATATTTGAAGGACCCTAATCATTAAATATGAGCCAGCCGTGTGCTGCAGCTGCCAAAAAAGCTAAGATAGTTCTAGGCTGCATCAAGAGAGGGATAGAATCAAGATCACATGAAGGGTTAATACCACTTTACAAGGCCTTGGTAAGGCCACACTTGGAATACAGCATCCAGTTTTGTTAGCCATGATGTAAGGAAGATATTGAGACTCTAGAAAGAGTACCGAGAAGAGCAACAAAGATGATTAGGGGACTGAAGGCTAAAGTGTACAAAGAATGATTGCTGGAATTAGTTATGTCTGGTTTAATGAAAAGAAGGACGAGGGGAGACACGATAGCAGCGTTGCAATATGTAAGGGGCTGCCGCAAAGAAGAGGGGGGTCAACCTATTCTCCAGAGCCCCTGAAGGCAGTAGAAGAAGCAACGGATGGAAACTAATCAAGGAGAGAAACACACACACACACACTGCATTCCATAATTGCTCTCACTATTAGGAAATTTCTCCTTAGTTCCAGGTTGCTTCTCTCCTTGATTAGTTTCCATCCGCTGCTTCTTGTCCTGCCTTCCGGTGCTTTGGAGAATAGCTTGACTCCCTCTTCTTTGTGACAACCCTTAGGCTGTAGGAGAAGGAGTGGCAGAGCCTGGCAGAGATGGTGGGGGTGGAGTCAAGAGAGTAATCAGCCTAGCATCTTTACGTTCCCACAAGTCGTCTGAAGTCCAACCCCTCTTGAATTCTGTTGAGTGACCTAAGGCCAATTTAGTGCTGACCCTTGACTAGATTTTTGTGTGTAGGCCTGAGCCATAAATCAGCTTAACTGGAGCTTAACATGTGGTCTGGATTCTTCAACCTGACAGTTTCCATATCCATCTTTTCCCGGCTAACCTCTGTGCATGATTTTTAGTCCGTACCAGTCTGACTTACGTTTTTCTTGTTTAAAGGCCCTCTGCACAACCTGGTGCTGAAGCTGCGGGCTCTCAGCCTGTTCTCTGCTTAATTTGCTCCTTTTTCAATTGCCAGGATCAAGAAGAGCAGGCTTATTTTGCCGTCTTCGATGGCCACGGAGGCGTGGATGCGGCCATCTACGCCTCCATTCACCTGCACGTGAATTTGGTGCACCAAGAAGCGTTCCAGCACGACCCGGCCGAAGCCCTCTGCAAGGCCTTCCAGGTGACGGATGAGCGCTTCGTGCAGAAGGCCGCCAGAGAGGTGAACTGGCTTCATTGCTTGAGCGAGCGGGCAGGACTTGGGTTTTCAGAGAGCTCTGGGTTTATGACTGGACTGAATCTGGAACAGCCGTTGGAGGCATTGTTTAAGGCAGCAGTCCCCAGCCTTTCCAGCTCTCTGGACCGACAATGGCGTTGGCATCAGCAGAGCGTGTATGTGTGTGTGTGTGTGTGTGTAGAGGAGATGGTTACTTGCATTGAGGCCAGAGTGTGTGTGTGTAGCTCCATTTGCACAAGTGGCAGGCATGCACGCACACGGCTCACGCAAACGGAGCTTTGCACCGGGATGCGCTCACCCGCCGCTTGCGCAAGTAGGGCTGCGTGCATGCACGCAGGCACATTCACCTGCTGATTGTGCAGCTTGGTTTTGAACAGGCTGCGGCCCGGTACTGGGCTACAGTCTGGGGGTTGGGGACTCCTGGTTTAAGACACTTCTGGGTTAAAAGGAGAATAGAATAGAATAGAATAGAATAGAATAGAATAGAATAGAATAGAATAGAATATGGAATGGAATGGAATGGAATAGAATAAAAATAGAGTAGAATAGAATAGAATAGAATAGAATAGAATAGGACAGGACTAGACTAGACTAGACTAGAATAAGAACAGGAATAGAATAGAATAGAATAGAATAGAATAGAATAGAATAGAATAGAATAGAATAGAATAGAATAATAATAGAAATAGGATACAAAAATAGAACAGAACAGAATAATAGAATAATATACAAAGAATAGAATAGAACAGAATAGAATCAGAACAGGAATATAATAGAATAGAATAATATTAGAATAAAATAGAAATAGGATACAACACTAGAACAGAACAGAATAATAGAATAAAAAGAATAAATTAGAATAGAATAGAATAGAATAGAATAGAATAGGACGTTGGAGATCATCTAGTCCAACCCCCTGCTCAGGCAGGAAACCCCATACCATTTCAGACAAATGGCTGTCCAGTCTCTTTTTAAAAGCTTCCATTCATAACGTCTGGAGGCAGGCTGTTCCCCTGATTTAAGGATCAGCCAGTGACATCACCATTGCCTGGGGATGCCCGTGGGGGCTCTTTTCATGTCCCTGTCAACGAGCTGGAGCGAGTGACAGGAGCTCACCCCGCCAGGCAGCTAACCTCCAACCCAGCCTCCTAACTGCATGGACCACCGCGCTCCTTATCCTAGAGGAGTAGAAATAGTCCTCGAATTATGGAGCCCAGAATTCCCATTGTACGTCATGATAATCATAACGGGAGGCACTGATGTGACTGACCCATTTTATGGCATTTTTTTTGTAGTGGTCGTTTAAGTGAACCCCTTGTCTGCCATGGATGGTTTTTTTTCTGGAATCTGGAAGTAAATACTGGTTTCTAGCAAAAAATATTGTCCTCACGTGACTGTGGGCTGCTGCAAACAGTTGTAAACGAGGGCCGGTTGCTTAGTGCCCAAAATACTGTCAAATGTGATTGGGGGCGGGGGGGGGCTGCTCCCAATCCAATTGGAACTTGGAATCTGGGTCCCAAATACTTTTTGTGTTTGTCGTAAGTTCAAATGGTCGTTAAGGGACCGTTCGTAAGTTGAGGACTATCTCTAAACCTGGATGAAACTTCTTTTCAGGCTAGTTGTTTGGAAGAAAACCTCCCAATATCTTCATTTATTTTCCTGCAAGCCAGACCGCTCGCCTGGAATTTCAAGCACCGACACCGAGAGAATTGAAGGAATATATATATATATATATATATATATATTTGCAATTTTGTAGTTTTAATTTTTCGAAAACAATTTAAAGGTGGATTCAGTCTCTTTCGAAGAAATTTATCGTTTTCCCTGGCTTGGAACCATCTGAATAACAAATACGGGTGGCTTTTATCAAAGGAGAAAAAATAATTAATTTTGAAGTCTGTGGAGATTCTCAGCCATACAGATCATGGTGGTCCCAAATATGCTTTTTTTCAGGAGGCAACTGGACTTCCTTGTTTTTCCTTTGAAGACGTTTCGCTTCTCATCCAAGAAGCTTCTTCAACTCTGACTGGATGGTGGGTGAATGGAAGGATTTATACTCCTTGCAGACAGCCGGTCATTTGCCTTCTTTTAGAGGGTCCTTGAGGCCACTTGAAGGTTTGTCTGTGTCCTCAGGGTCACCTGTGTAGTGCAAATGGGTGGGGAGTCTCCTTGGAATGGCTGAAAGGACTGTGTTGTGGACTGAAGATGGATGATGTCGTATCCCTCCACCTCTGTTGAGGGAGGGCTGCCCAGTCTTGGTCTAGATGACCTCTTTGACCCCTCTTTCAAGCCAGCGGTCCTCCCTGTCCAAAATGTGGACTTTGCTGTCTTCGAAAGAGCGGCCTTCGTCTCTTAAATGCGGATGGACCACTGACTCTTGTCCTGATGGGTTTGTTCTCCTATATTGCCAATAAACCTCCAAGTGGCTTCAACCACTCTCAGAAAGAATGCAAATGACCAGCTGTCTGCAAGGAGTATAAATCCTTCCACTCTCCACCATCCGGTCAGAGCGGAAGAAGCTTCTTGAACGAGACACAAAATGTCTTCAAAGAAAAAACAAGAAAGTCCACTTGCCTCCTGGAAAAAAAAAACACCGTTGGGATTTTGATTAATTTTGAAGGGATTGGTCAAACTGGGTGCACGAGAGTTGCTTTGGAATCCTGTTTTATTGGGAGAAATACAGAGGCCATCATATAATTATGCTTTGACAAACTAGCCTTAACGTGGCTCTGGAAGTCATTGACTCAATCTTTCCTGTTCTGAGCAAATTCCCAAAGCTTTAGTTTTGCCTGTGGCAGAAGCTATTTTGGGTGGCTTTGATCACAGCAAAGCCGGTAGACTTTCCCTGTTTCTGTCTGTTTCTCTAATAGAAAAATTGAAGAAAAATAACTGTTCATGTTGAACAGTACTGATTTGGCACATATCCACTGATGCTCTCAATTTCCCCCATCCCCCCTTAAGTCATTAAATTAGGACAGGTTTCAAAATGATTTTGCCCGGGGCTCTGAGGATTTACAAGTCAGAATTGCACATCGGTGTTTCAAACAGCTTGGTAGAATCTATTGCTCGCACTGGCTTCAAAAATACATGTTAAAAATATGTCTAGCAACTGTTGGAAATGTAGACTAAAACCAGGCACATACTACCATCTTTGGTGGACATGCCTTAAAGCAGAATTCTGGGAGTTGAAGTCCACAAGTCATAAAAGGGCCAAGTCGGAAGACCCCTGCCCTAAAGCCAAAAGGTTTTGGTTAAGAATACATATATGGTTAGAGAAAATGATTTAAAAAACATACAGATTTTAACCAGAATTATTTTTGTTAGGTATAATTGTAGGAAATTATGAGAAAGAATGTATGTATTTAATGTAACGTGTATTAACGGCGGCAAGAATTGTATTCGCTCAACATTGGAAAAATGCAGAATTACCAACGGAGGAAGAGTTAATCAGAAAAATTCTAGATCAGTGGTTCTCAATCTTTTTATACGGCGACCCCGGTCATAAGGACGCGCTGCGGCACCCCCATGCGCGGCGCACATGCGTGGCGGTGCCCCCATGCATGGCGCACATGCACGGTGCCGCCAGCTGAGGAAAAAAATGGCGGATCGCGTTGTTTGGCAACCCCCGTAAAATGGTCGTTCGACCCCAAATGGGGTCGCAACCCACAGGTTGAGAACCGCTGTTCTAGATAGTGCAGGAATGGACAGGGTGACATTGAAAATGAAAGAGAAAGAAAACTCAATATACTTTAGAACAGTGATGGCGAACCTATGGCACGGGTGCCAGAGGCGGCACTCGGAGCCCTCTCTATGGGCACGCGCGCCGTCGCCCCAGTCCTAGGCCTTCAGCTGGGTTTTATAAAACCTTTTCGCTTTAGGCCTCCGCCGCCATGTGCAAAAAAAAAAAAGAGGTTCAGTCAATCAGTCAATTTCAACTTCTCGCGGGGGGGGGGAAGAGATCTTGCAAAGTTGGAATTGATTGATTGAACTTTTTAGTCCCACCCAGTCTGCCGTTACCACCGTAGCGACGCCCACCCAATAGGCCACACCCACCCGGCACCCGACGATGCATAAGTGGGTTTTGGGTTGCAGTTTGGGCACTCGGTCTCTAAAAGGTTCGCTATCATTGCTTTAGAACATGGGACACTTTTTATCCATGGCTAGAAAAACAAGGTAGAGAGAAAGGAACTTAATACGTATTAGCAAGTTAAATATTGGAACCCAGACAACATGTTGCTGATAAAATATTAACTGACAGAGTTAAGACTAGTATAGCTATTTCAAGCTCTTTAGCTCTCATCAGCTTTATATTTGGTAGATCGGGTGCTCCACCCAACACACACACACATGTAAAAACTGCGCAGGGAGTCCTCGACGTATGACCACAATCCAGCCCAAACCTTCCGTTGCTAAGCGAGATACTTGTTAAGTGAACTTTGCTCCACTTTACAACCTTTCTTGCCACGGCTGCTAAGTGAATCGCTGCAAGTGTTAAATTAGTAACACAGTCGTTAAGTGAATCTGGCTTCCCCATTGACTTTGCTTGTCGGAAGGCAAACAGATAACCCCGGAACACTGCAGTCGTCGTAAATATGAGTCAGTTGGCAATCCCGTCTTCATGGGGGATGCCGTAGCGGTTGTGTGAGAAACGGTCATAAGTCTCTTTTTTTCAGTGCTGCTGTAACGTTGACCAGTCATTAAATGAAGCGTCGTAAGTCGAGGACTACCTGCAGCGCAAAGAAGCTGGCTTTTGTTCTGTCTCTCAAACTGTCGGCTTGGCTCCACTTTCTCAGTGTGCGTCCCAGTTGACGGCTCTGCTTTCCCTTTAGAGCTTGCGATGTGGCACCACAGGCGTTGTGACGTTCATCCGAGCGAGCATGTTGTACGTGGCCTGGCTGGGGGACTCTCAAGTGATGCTGGTGAAAAGGGGCCAAGCGGTGGAACTGATGAAGCCTCATAAACCAGATCGGGAGGTGAGTCCACCCTAGGACTACAAAACCCTTTGTACAAAAGGGGACTTGGCTGAGGGCCGCCCAGCTTGCGCAGCATCTTTGCAGTTGCTAATTTGTGTGGCGTGCCAGTTCATGCCCCTTTCCTGGATAGGGAGGCTTCTCTCCGCTCGGTCACTCACGCCCTGGTCCTCTCCTGTTTGGATTACTGCGATGCGCTGTACATGGGGCTACCCGTGAAGAGTATCTGGAAGCTTCGGCTGCCACAGAATCACCAAGGCAATTTTGGGCATCCAAAGAAGGCCGCATTAAGACCTTTGGTCCATGACCTACACTAGGTGCCGTTCTGCTTCTGGGTCCAATTTAAGGTGTTGGTTATGATCTTGAAAGCCCTACGTGGCAAGGGGTCAGGCAGCTATAGAACCGTCTTCAGGGTCCCATTACAGCGGCCTGTCGCACCCAGTCAGGGAGCAAATGTATGTTGTGCATCTCATCAGTTACTTCTTACATTCTCACTGGCGGGGTCCAGGAAGAGGGCCTGCCGTTGCCCCCGCCCTGTGGAACATTCTCCCCCCCCCCCCGGCCTTCTGGAAAGGCGTAAAAACATGGCTGTGTGCACAGTAGAGCATGCAGCCTTGGGGCTGATGGGCGCCATGAAAGCCCTCTCCCCACTTTTCAATTAAATTTTAATAGTGTTTTTAGCATCCTTGCCTCTTTTTAATTTTTATGCACCGTGGTTATGTTGTACACTCCCCAGAATCCTCTCTATGAGGGAGATGGGCAGTTCCAAAATGTGATAGTGATAGATAGATAGATAGATAGATAGATAGATAGATAGATAGATAGATAGATAGATAGATAGATAGATAGATAGATAGATAGATAGATAGACAGACAGACAGACAGACAGACAGACAGAGATAATAGGTAGATAGATGATAGGTAGGTAAGTAGGTAGGTAGGTAGAGACATAGATGATAGCCAGTCAGCCAGCCAGATAGATAATAGACAGACAGATACATAGAGATGATGGATAGATACAAATGAGATAGATAGATAGATAGATAGACAGACAGACAGACAGACACAGATAGATAATAGGTAGATAGATGATAGGTAGGTAAGTAAGTAGGTAGGTAGAGACATAGATGATAGCCAGCCAGCCAGATAGATAGATAATAGACAGACAGATACATAGAGATGATGGATAGATACAAATGACAGACAGGCAGGCAGGCAGACAGGCAGATATAGATGATAGACAGACAGACAGACAGACAGACACACAGATGGATAATAGACAGAGATACATAGAGATGATGGATAGATAGATAGATAGATAGATAGATAATGGATGGATGGATGATGGTAGATAGATATAGAGAGCAGCATGCTGGCCTAGTGGTGAAGATACTTGCCTCCCGCTCGGAGGGTGGATAATTTAATCCTAAGTAGCAGATTTTCTCTCCTAGGGGTGCAAAGAAAAAATATCTGCTGCGAACTTTGCGTGGCGTCAGGAAGGACAGCCAGCCAGTAAATGCCCAGCTCCATCCAGTCATCCGACTCTCCCCCGAATTAAGGGATTACAGGATCATAAAAAGAGAGGGTTTTTTTTTAAGGATATATATATATAGAGAGAGCGATTGAATCATTTGTTTTTATGGTTTGAGATGAAAATTGAGGAAATGGGTGTACTGTAAGTGCTATGTAGGCAAATTCCAGTGCAGCCAGAAGTTCAACCAATGGGTGAATTATCTTCTGCTTTAGGATGAGAAGAAACGCATTGAGGCCCTTGGAGGCTGTGTGGTCTGGTTTGGAGCATGGCGAGTCAACGGAAGTCTTTCTGTCTCCCGAGCCATTGGTAAGGAAAAAAAAAAAAGGCTACGCTTTGTAGTCCTTTACAATTGTTAATGTGGATTGCTGATAGGCAGGAAACGCTGCAGCCAGAGGAGGCAAATTGAATGAAAATGTCTCCTCAGTAGAGTATTGTTTGGAACAAAGCCAAGTAAAGCATCAGAAAATGCTAGAGAAGGGATTAAAAGCAAAACGCAAGGATGATTTTGATGCTGTCAGTTTTAACAGAATAACACAGTTGGAAGGGACCTTGGAGGTCTTCTAGTCCAACCCCCTGCTCAGGCAGGAGACCCTATATCAATCTGGACAAACAGATTCTTAAAAGCCTCCAGTGTTGGAGCATTCAAAACCTCTGGAGGCAACCTGTTCCACTGATTAATTGTTCTCACTGTCAGAAAATGTCTCCTTAGTTCCAGGTTGGAACTTGGAACTGCTGAAAGGATTGTGTTCCACACCCATTTGCACCACTCAGGTGACCCTGAGGACACAGGTCAGCCTCCAAGTAGCCTCAACGACTCTCTAAAGGCAAATGACCGGCTGTCTGCAAGGAGTATAAATCTTTCCATTCCCCACCATCCAGTCAGAGCTGAAGAAGCTCCTTGGATGAGAAGTGAAACGTCTTCAAAGAAAAACAAGAAAGTCCAGTTGCCTCCCGAAAAAGCTCCTATGTTAATGAGAGCTGGTGACTTGATGCATTCAGATAAAATTGGGGAGCCTCATTGTCACATAACAGCTTTCCTCAAGCTTCCCGTTCACTGTTAGTATTTTATGTGGTGTTTTTTTTTTACGGCCTTAAAAGGCAGAGAAAAAGATAAATGGCTTAACACAGGAATCTTCAAACCTGGCCCTTCTATGACTTGGTTTGAAGGCCCCTGGTCTGGCTCTAAGCCCACGGTTTCACAAAATGGCCGACTGAGGAATTCTGGGAGTTGAAGTCCACAAGTCATAAAAGGGCCAGGTTTGAAGGCCCCTGGTCTGGCTCTAAGCCCACGGTTTCATCAAAATGGCCGACTGAGGAATTCTGGGAGTTGAAGTCCACAAGTCATAAAAGGGCCGAGTTTGAAGGCCCCTGGTCTGGCTCTAAGCCCACGGTTTCATCAAAATGGCCGACTGAGGAATTCTGGGAATTGAAGTTCACAAGTCATAAAAGGGCTGAATTTGAAGACCCCTGGCTTAATGGTTATATGTCAGAAGCCTAAATCAATCAATCAATCAATCTCTCTCCCTCTCCCCCTCCCTCCCTGTTCCAGGTGATGCAGAGCACAAGCCATACATCTGTGGAGACGCAGATTCTGCCTCCACGGCGCTGGATGGATCGGAAGACTACCTCATCCTAGCCTGCGACGGCTTCTATGACACGATGAATCCCGACGAGGCGGTGAAGGTGGTGGCTGACCACTTGAAGGAGAACAATGGAGACAGCAGCATGGTGGCCCACAAGCTGGTGGCTTCAGCTCGAGACGCCGGCTCTAGCGACAACATCACCGTCATCGTGGTCTTCCTCAGGGACATGAGCGCCTCCGTCAGCGTCGGCGAGGACTCCGAGTGGACCGAGAACTCTTTCCAAGGTGGGCAAGAGGACAGCGGAGACGACAAAGAGAACCAGGGGGACTGCAAGAGACAGTGGCCTCAGCACCAGGTCTCGGCGCCCGCCGATCTTGGCTACGACGGCCGAGTGGATTCCTTCACGGACCGAACTACCTTGAGCGCCGGCTCCTCCATCAACGTCTTCGAAGATCCGGGCTGCCTAGACCTGAGGAAAACCGAAGCTGGCAAACTCCACAGTGCCAAACGCCTCTCCCCAGATCAAGTCTTCAGTGCCGGCGTCCCCAAGAGGGCGATTTTGAGTCAAGGCATCTTGGGCAAAGGCAAGAGAGGGGAGGGCGTTACGCCCGAAGGGCGCGACCCTCTGCGGGGCTCTGTGAACTTGGGCTGTCCCCGCCCAGGGGAGCGCGACGTGGCGCCGGCGGAGGCCCCGATCTCCGCCGGGCCTGAAGGCGAGTGGTTCAAGTCATGGGGAAGACCTGCTTCCATTTTCTCTCATTTTCATTTCTGCGACGTGAAGCGGTGGCAACGGTTAGCCAGACTGAAGCCGAAGCTCCACGGGCTTCTCTTTGAGCAGAGGCCCCTTTTCTGCTCAGAAAGTTTAACCCTCTGCTCACCCAACCTCCTAAATGGCCGTAGGAACAAGTTCTTAAGAAGTCGTCCTGGGCAAATGTCCCTTGGCTGCCATCAAAGTCACGGTGACAGCATTTTGTTGATGCTAAGGCCAAGTCCCTGTATACCAGACCCGTGGCTGCTGTGGAGTTGTAAAAAATAACACGTTCCCTCCTTTTTTTTCCCCCTTTTCTTCTTCTTCTTCTTCAATAGTCTAGACATTCACAGAATTAGAAGTAATTCAGAGGGAGCGTTTCAGAATCAGGATACCGGCGGAAGGCTTGACTCGTGTAAATACCTCCTAAGGAATCAGTGTTTGTCTCCAAAATCATCCTGGGAATCGGTGTTTTCGCCTCCAAAATTGTGAAAAACACAAACCAACCAACAAACAAGGATTGGCACATCGGTCCGCCTAGCAATTTCCTGGACACATTCAATCTTCTCTCTCTCTCTCATGTACAAACACACACACACACACGGATCATGTATGCACTCTGTGTAGTAGCTTCATTTCTTCGTGGGGACTGGATATTCTTATGGACTCGCCGGACAAGACAGGAAGGTGCCATTAAAAAAAAAACAAAGAAAAGAATTTGCAAAAAAAAAAAGAGAGAGAAAGAGAAAGAGAGAGGTCTATGGAGCAATATTTTCAGAAAGACCTTCTAGACCCATGGGTATTTTTTTGTTTTTTGTTTTGTAAGTGGAGGAGAGGAGGAAGTAGGGAAAGCGTAAGGAATCCTTGGGAATTTGGGCTCCTTTAATCCGAAGAGCAAAAAATTACGTTATCAGGTCGTTTTGCAGGTCTGTTGTTAAAAGCCATAGTGGGAGGTTTAATTTAGCACCTAGGCCCTCCTACCCTTCAGATGCAGTTTGAGAGATTTATTCAATCTTTTTAATTTTTTTTCCCTCCTCCATTGAGAAGAGGGGGGCAAAGGGGAAACAACGCCATGTCAGGTTTTTGTAGGTTTTTGGTTTTTTTTGGTTTGTTTTTGAAAAGATAATTTCTTGCAGCTAAAACTGAAAGGATACTGTAATCACAAGTTAACTTGTGTGAGGCTTTGGGGGAAGAAGGTATTATTTAAGGACAATTTAGCCTTTTAAACGAAAAAAAAAAAAAACCCAAACCTCGTAATAATGCTTAAACAGCTTAAGATTCATCCTCATTTGTGGCCAATTCGAGACACTGCGCTCTCCTTTCCAAATGCTTTTTATCTCAGGTGTCAAACTGATGTAAAAGTCAGTTCAGATACAATTCACACTGTCCTATGAAAACTCGTTTAAACCGCCAATTTGTTGTCAGTTCTGCTTTCCCAGGTAAGAGGTTGTGATTTTTTATTATTATTATTTTTTTAGGAATAATTGCGTGTCGGAGACGTTTTTGCTCCAGTTGCTTGGAGTATCTGCATGTTCAAATGAAGAGGCTGTAAGAATAGGAAATGAAGCTATTAGGGATGTCCAGAGCAGTTGGGAACGCAATCGGATGAAGAAATAAAGTATGAACGTGGCCATTCTCCTCTACCAACATTAGAAAAACGATGTAAAAGTTTGGAGATTTAAATTCCCCAGTTCGGGGTGAGAATCCGAGGATTGCCTTCCATTTTTTATTTTAATCCTGATGAGTAAACCACTCTTGAAACAAGAGCACTAATTTTCATATAAGCTAGGTAGCTGGGATTAACGGCGTCACATAAAGAAGTCACAGAAGACTTCTTTTAGGTGCTTAAAACTTAAAATATTCGGCACACCGCTTATACTATCTTAAAAAACCTCTCCCAAATTTCATAATATTCTGATCAGTAAAACTAACCGATGCACTCTGCCATTTGTGCAAATTTAAATATTTAACAAAAAATTTGAGATTACCGATGATTAGAGAATGCATATATTCAAGGTAGTCCTTAATAAGGCACCCTTTAGAGCAGGGATCCTCAACCTTGGCAAGTTTTAAAAAAACGTAAACTAAAATAGAGAGATTTAGCTTCTGACACATAACCGTTAAACCAGGGGTCTACCTCAACCTGGCTGGCTGAGGAATTCTGGGAGTTGAAGTCCACAAGTCTTAAAAGTTGCCAAGGTTGAGGACCCCTGCTTTAGAGGTTTTGGAACCACAACTCTCGAAATCCGGATATCCTAATTGGAAATCCTGAAGGATGGCATATTCGGAAAGAATTCTGTGGAGCCGTGTTTGTCAACCTTGACAACTTTATGAGGTGTGGGACTTCCAACTCCCAGAATTCTCCAGCCGTTCTGGGAGTTGAAGTCCACACTTCACAAAGCTTGCATTTAGAGCCTGTTTCTCAACTTGAGCAACTAAGATAGGTGGGCTTCAAACTCCCAGGCTGGCTGGGGAATTCTGGGAGTTGAAGTCCACTGCCCTAGAGGAAATAGTAGTTTTATGCCACGAAAGGAGATTGAAAGCCTTCGCTTTAGGCATACTGATGGAGAGAACCATTTGTTTGCATTTGACAAGCTTAGGTGTATCACGTTACGTAGAGCGTTGCTGGGAGATTAAACTAGAGCAATCTGTGGTAAACCTTTCAGATCAGTCGAGGCGAGATGGATCCAACTGCTGTCTTCAGTGCAATTCTCTGAAGACTTGTCCCACGTTCATAGATGCTGCAGGAGCTGGATGCTCTTCCCAAAATGCAGGTGTCATTGGAAAGTACTGGCTGTGGAGCATGCGCTCTCTCGTGTTTACAAAGTTAACTTCATACCTGTGGATTGATAGATGGATTACCTGCTGCTCGCCATGTTTGACTCAGCAGGGACCAGCCGGTCGATGGATTCCCACTGTGGTCCAGTACAAAAATATTGTTACAAATAGAAAAATGTCCATTTCTTTCATCTCATAGTGATAAAAGTGTGTACAGTCCCATTTGTGAGGCAATTTTTTCCAAATGTGGTATATAATACATATTTTAAAAGTTAGTTGTTCCTGATCCCGTATGTGCTGCTTGATTCTAGGACACTACTAGGCATAAGAGGAAAAAAGCAAAAAAAAAAAAAAGTGCTTCGTGACATGCTGTGTTTTTTTTTCTTCATGCCACTGGTAAATAGGAAGTAGTTCTCCTTCAGTTAAAACTCCCGTGCCCTCCTTTGCTGCTTGCTGACGTAAGCAATAAGCTCCTTTTAAATGAACGATAATCTTAAATGTTCCGTATCTTGTGTTTGGGATCCTTTTTAGCTGGTGAAAATATACAAAAAAACAAAAATATAGGTATTTAACCGTGTTAATGTTAGTCGTCTGTAAAGTGTTTGGTAAATCTGTGCTATTTAAATAGTGGTTTGATATCTGCCTACTGAAATCTTTCCAATAAAGATCTGGAGTATCCCTCGAGTTCACACAAGCTGCATCAGTTGTGTGAGAACACAGAAGCAGGAGCAGTTGGTAAGAAGAGAGACGCCGCCCAGCTGCCCCCTTGCAGAGGTTGCTCGAGAGCTGCTTGGTGAATTTATCCACTGTGACTTTCAAAGGGATTCCTTTAATCCCCCCTCCGATAGAAACTGTAGAATTAAGATAAATACCTTCTGCAGCAAAGAACAGAATGCAGGTAGTCCTCGACTTAACGACCACAATTGGGATCAGAAATCCCCTTGCTAAGCAAGGCGGTTGGTTTAGTAAGTCGCACCCAATTTTCTGTCCTCCTTGGGGGAGGGACCTTGGAGGTCTTCTAGTCCAGCCCCCCGCTCAAGCAGGAGAACCTATACCGTCCCAGACAGGTGAATGTCCAGTCTCTTCTTAAAAACCTCCAGTGATGGAGCGCCCACGATTTCTGGAGGCCGTGGTTGTTAAGTAAATCACTGTAGCTGTTAAGTGAATCACACGGTCATTAAGCAAACACAGCTTTCCCCATCGACTTTGCTTGTCGGGAAACCAGATGTGAACATTGGAAGTGGCAATTGCACGGCTCCCGGGATGCTGCGACCGTCGTAATTACACGCTGGCTGCCAAGCGCCCAAACTTTGATCGTGTGAATTTAGGGATGCTGCCAAAGCCATTTAAAGTGAGAGGACTGGTTGCAAGTCACTTAATTTTGGTGCCGTCGTTAACTTCGAACGGCCGCTAAACAAATTGGTTCCAAGTTGAGGACTGCGTGTAGCGTTTATGCTGAAGCTATGAATCCACTTCGGTTGCCCTGCAGTTGGCACAGAAGGAAGGTAAAATATTTATACCCTGAAGTGCCATCAGTCACTCTTAGCACTTTGGAATCTACTCCAACTTCCTGAAAAAGAACAAGCTGGTGGTCCCCTGCCAAGCAAATTAGGGATACCCACAAAAGCAAGCAAGGAATCATATTCTCCCTTTGGCACCTCACCTGGCTCAAAGACCACATCCTCGAGGGGAAGAGACTACAGCAGGCTTTTCAACCAGTGGTACGGGTACCACCTGTGGTACATTGGCCCCTGGCAGGTGGTATGTGACCATCCTAGAAAAATGGTAGTGGGGGAGGGGAATGAGCTGAACCGATGGCAGCACCGCACAAGCCTGAGCGAGAGACGGCTGGAGCTGCAGGGCTGTCAGGGCTCAGCGGAAGTGCCAGGATCAGTGCCGCTTTCCAGCTGATCGGCGCTTCTTCGGAGCTGTTGGGGCTCAGCGGAAGTGCCAGGATCAGCGCCAGGCTCCAGCTGGAGCTCGGTGCTGATCCTGGTGCTTCTGCTGAGCCCTGAAGAAGCACCAATCAGCTGGAAAGCAGCGCTGATCCTGGCGCTTCTGCTGAGCCCAGAAGAAGCGCCGATCAGCTGGAATGTTGCAGCCTCTCCAGGGTCTTGTGATTTACATTCAGATACTTGGCAACGGATTCATATTTATGACGGTCACAGTGTCCCAGGGTCATGTGAAGTGTCCAAAACCTGCTGCAACCACCCAGCAGACGGGGGGGGGGGATGAAAACCAACACCCCCCCACCCCACTCCCGCTGCCAATCCTCAACAGAAATGCTCACAACAATGAAAACCTCGGACAGGAGGAAGAGCGCCACCGGGCGGGCAGGCAGGTGTCTTGCTCGGCTGTGGCTTGGGGGGCACTTTTTTCAGTGCCATTGTAACTTCAGACAGTCACTAAGCAAACTGTTGTAAGTCAAGGACTATCTGTACTTTATCACTTTTTTCCTTTTTTTTTTTTTCTGGTCATCAGGTTTTTGACACCTTGCTAGGCGACTGGTGGTACTCGGATGTTGCCATATCCTAAAAGTGGTACAATGGGTGAAAAGGTTGAAAAGCCCTGGACTATAGTACTCAGACAGCATCTAACCCTCCCCTGCTTCCAAATCAATACATTTTCAAATTAGAACCCTTATAGATTCATAAAGTAGCCCTGTCTTTTATTTGTCCTGTGTTTACAGTACTCCACTGTTGTATATTTTTGAAGAACAGTTAAGCCAGAAAAAAACAGCTATGCAGTGTAAGATCAATGCGACAACTGAAAATTAGTAGTTCAAGTGGCCCTTTTTCTTGCCTAGGATCTTGAGATTAATTAAGGATCCGACAACTGAACATCTTTCCAAGAATCAGCTTGTTCGGCTCCAGAGCTAAATGAACCACAAAAACAATGCCGCCAGCAGTGGTTCTCATGCCTGTTGACAAGGCCTGATTTCTCTTTATAATATAACTTCTAAGTAGGACTAAATATGTAGCCACCAGTATTAACACATCGAAGTATTGCGCAAATGTCAAAAATCTGGTTTGACGGAATAAAACATTTTGTCTAACAATCCCTACTTTGGGAAAGAAAGAAAAAGAAAAAAGATTAATGACATTCATCGTTATTACTAAAATGTTAGACCTGTGCATTCTTGAGAATGTCAAGTATATTGCAGAGCTATTGAAAGCTAATTGTGTTGTCCTAAAACTAACAAAGTAGCTCAGTTTAGTAGAAGTGACAAAACACTTTGGGATCGGCTGAAAATTTTATTCCAGTAACTTAATGACTTTCGTAGGAATTGTGTATTAGCCATATTTTATTTATTAAAGCTGTTTGCAAAAGACAAGGACTATGTTCAACCTCTACCAGTACCTTAATAAAACAACAAATCCTAACTCTCCTGTCTATATTTTTTTAATAACACAAAATCTTGAGTTTCTCTCGTTTCGTAGGCAGTTAAAACTGCCGCCTGATTTTCTACTTCTAACTGCAGAGATTTCAAAGTTTCAGGTTGCAAAAACGGCAGCGAGCCCAGAGATCCAAAGGTACTTTTTCAAAGGCAAATGGACTTTATTTTTCCTTGAACACGTAGTAGTAGTAGTAGTAGTAGTAGTAGTAGTAGTAGTAGTAGTAGTAGTAGTAATAATATGATCTGTTACTACAGATCAACTCCAACAAGTCGCTGCTCAACACTGTATATATAGCCAAGATATTGTTATGGAGTTTGGCTTGGACAAATGTGCCACACTTACTATCAGACAAAGAAAAGTAGTGAAAACTGAAGGAATCAAGATGCCCCACGAAAATAACATTAAGAGTCTGGATGAGGAAGATTACTACAAATACTTGGGTATCCTTCAAGCTGACAACATCAAGCACACTGAAGTCAAGAAAAAGATTAGAGGTGACTACATCAAGAGAGTGAAGAAGATCTTAAAATCCAAACTCCATGGAGGAAATACCATAAAGGCAATCAACACCTGGGCAATCCCAGTCATTAGGTACACAGCTGGAATAGTGGACTGGACTCAAGCAGAACTAAAAGCAATGGATAGGCAGACCAGAAAAATAATGATAATGAATCATGCCCTTCATCCACGCAGTGACATTGACAGACTTTATCTACCAAGGCACATAGATGGGCGTGGAATGCTACAAGTACATCAGATGGTTGAAGAAGAAAAAATGGCTTTGGAAGAATATCTGAAGAACAATGATGAAGATGCACTGAAATTAGTATATCAGGAAGGATTACTGACTACTGGAGAGACCAAACTGGCCTACAAGAAAGACCAAATGAAGAACAGAATAGAGGCATGGGAAGAAAAAGCACTACATGGCCAATACATTAAAAAAATAGCTGGGAAAGCAGATAATAACAATACCTGGCAATGGCTAAGAGCAGGAAAATTGAAGAAAGAGACCGAGGGACTAATTCTGGCTGCACAAGACCAAGCCTTAAGGACAAATGCATACAAAGTCAAAATTGAGAAGACAGCAACAGACAGTAAGTGCCGCCTATGCAAAGAAGCTGAATAAACAGTGGACCACTTGGTAAGCTGTTGCAAGAAGATTGCACAGACTGACTACAAGCAGCGGCATGACAAAGTAGCAACAATGGTGCATTGGAAGATCTGCAAAAATATCATTTGCCTGTAAGCAAAAACTGGTGGGATCATAAAATAGAGAAAGTCATAGAAAATGATAAAATTAAACTGCTCTGGGACTACAGAATTCAAACAGACAAGCACCTGCAACATAACACCCCAGACTTAACAATTGTCGATAAGAAAGACAAAAAAGTCTGGATAGTGGATGTGGCAGTGCCTGGAGATAGCAGAATAGAAGAGAAAGAACTGGAGCAGATAACAAAATACAAAGACCTACAAATAGAAATAGAAAGACTGTGGCAAAAGCAAGCAAGGGTAGTACCAATAGTCATAGGCTCCTTGGGTGCAATCCCAAAACAACTGGAGCACCACTTGAACACCATATGGCATTGACAAATTTGCCATTAGTCAATTGCAAAAGGAGGCCTTACTAGGAACTGCTTCCATCCTGCGACGATACCTGTAATACCATCAAACATCCACATCTGCTTATCCCAGGTCCTGGGTAAGGATAGGTAGACAAAATGCCAAATCCAGTTTGAACATCTGGCTGACTGTGCGATGATCGATAATAATAATAATAAATCTAGTCCAACCCTCTGCTCAGGCCAGAAACCCTATACCAATTTTGTACAAATGGCTGTCCAGTCTCTTCTTAAAAACTTCCAGTGTTGGAGCATTCACCGCTTCTGGAGGCAGGTTGTTCCACTGTTAATTGTTCTCACTGTCAGGAAATTTCTCCTTAGTTCTAGGTTGCTTCTCTTTTTGATGAGTTTCCATCCGTTGCTTCTTGTCCTGCCTTCAGGCGCTTTGGAGAACAGCTTGACTCCCTCTTCTTTGGGGCAGCCCCTGAGATATTGGAACTCTGCTATCCTGTCCCCCCTCGTCCTTCTCTTCATCAAACGAGACATACCCAATTCCAGCAACCGTTCCTTATATGTTTTAGCCTCCAGTCCCCTAATCATTTTTGTTGCTCTTCTTTGTACTCTTTCTAGAGTCTCAGCATCTTTTTTACATTGTGGTGATCAAAACTGGATGCTGTATTCCAAGCGTGGCCTTACCAAGGCCTTGTAAAGTGGTATTAATACTTCACGTGATCTTGATTCTATCCCTCTGTCAATGCAGCCCAGCACTGTGTTGGCTTTTTTGGCAGCTGCAGCACATGGCTGGCTCATATTTAAGTGATTGTCTACTAGGACTCCGAGGTCCCCTCTCACAGTTACTACTATTGAGCAAAGTACCCCCCATACTATACCTGTACATTTGACATTTCGTTACACATCCAAGAAGCTTTTTCAGTTCTGACTGAAGAACTGAAAAACTTCTTCGATGAGAAGCAAAATGACTTCAAAGAAAAATAAAGTCAAGTTGTCTTTTGCAAAAGCACCTTTGGGACAACCATGACCTGGATGACTGAAAATCTCCACAGACATTTGGCCACAGAAAAAGCAAAATTTAGAAAAGGGGGGGGGGAAATCCCCTCTATCCCAGGGAACACATTTATTTGATTTATATCTTGTTATTTACTCTAGGTTAGAGGAAAAGTATGTAGTGATTTCTTCCCAATTTCTGCTTCTCAAGAACTTTCCAAGAACAATGTGCTGTGTGTTGGTTTAAAATTATTCTGCATTTCAGAGCTGAGGATAAACTAGATGCCAATACTCAATCACAGTCCAATATTTAACCATCACTCGAGACAGACTTTCAGCGAAATTAAAATGACGTCAGTTGGTAGGAGACAAAGAATATAAGTGGAAAATGGGGAAGAGATCCAAAGTTTAAAAGCCTACAGACAGTGTCTGAATAAATCATTTTCTGGTTGTCCTACCTTAAAATATCACCGGGAATGAAAGTGACAGCTGCCTATAAAAATCAATGGATATAACGGTGGTTAGATGCTGATGTGCCCATTTCAAAACTTATCATGTAACAGCAAAACAAGTCTTGCTTTTTCTTAAGTAGTCCTTTTTAAGTCTGTCTTAACTAAAAAAAAAAATTATTATACAAATCAGTTTGAGGGTAAAAAGGGGGGATTTCTTAGAATGCTGAGTCTAAAGACTAAATCTTAATTTTAATAATGACAGTTCCCAAAGGAAATAAAAACTGGACTAGTTACCCCTGCTCTTCGATTCAAATTCATTTTTCAAAACCAAAAAAAAAAAGGGGGGGGGCTGGAATATTTGCTAAATTTCTGAAGAAGATGGCTTATTTACCCTGCTCAATGCTTTTAGTTCAGAGCAAGCACGGGATTGGGGATGCTCATTTGAGAGCGATGAGGGATTGAAACATTTCAAAGTGACAGCTCTGGACCACGCCATTCCAAAACAAAGCTTCTAGAAGTTTGTTTACTTACCCCAACACCAGCCTATTTGTAATGCCATGACCATTCTCTACTGCAGTTACATAATTGTCACTAAGCATAAAATACAACTGGTACCTCAGTACACATCGTTAATTGGTTCTGGGAGATGCAATGAGTACCGATTTTTCCCCCCTAAGGAATAAGGGGAAGTGAGTCAGACAGCTGACAGCGACAAGTACTAGCTTGTGCGCTGAACACCGAACAAATGATGAGTACCGGGACAAAACGTTTGCGTCAAAGACCCATAAAAACCAATCACAAAGAGCTCTAGAGGTGCTTTGCAAAGGCTGTGAATGCTGAAGCTAGTAACGGTTTCTTGCAGGCCTTCTTAAGCACGTCAACGGCACGCAAACGCAGTCAATTCCACATTCATTTTATTAATTAAAAGAGTGCAAACCATTTTTCACCTGAATTTTTACAGTTTTTAAACATTCCATTTACAAATGGGTATTTCCGTTTAAGGTATAATGCTCAGGAGAAGATAAATACACCAGGATACACTAAGTAATATGCATGTAGTTATAAACATGCTTTTAAGGGATCAGCCAAATTAAGCTTAAAATCAGAACATCTTCAGTAGCTCAAATGCAATGCAGAAAAGGCTATTTTCAACTGGCCAGTATTGGACTAATTCAGAGAGAGAGAGAGAAACTCCTCTTTGAAAATATTTAAATAGCTTAAGACAACAATGCATACCGTTAAAATAAATTGCAGCAGGAAAACATCCATTCTTCGTCCCCATAAACTTTGCCACATCACTGAGAAATACAAACTAACGTAAAAGTACTTTTGGGAGGTAGGTCAGGTGCAGGCTTCTGTTAAATGGGAGTGAAAAACCAGTACAGCTAGAATTTTCAGAGACAGGAAAAATCTGTGTTAAGGCATTTCCATAAAATGTGGGGCAGTGCCGTTCCCGGGAAAACGAGCTACCAAATGCTAATCAAACTTCAAGACAGCTCGCATCATTAAAAGCTCTTATCTGAGACCAAACAGAATAAACAAATTGGCATAATTTCTTATCAGAAAGCAGTCTAGGTCAATAAAATCAACGAAGAATAAAGACAGATGAAAGAAGAAATCAGTAGTCTTTAAAATGGATTGGCACATTCGAGTTTTGTGCTTTTTGTTATCTTGGGAGGGTGCTCTAAAATTAGACGGAGTCACAGACTATGTGGGGAGGGCGTTTTTTTTCTTTCTCAGCAAAATGGAAGTTTTAAGCATCCACTAGACTTAAGAAGGAGTCCACTTTTGTTCCTTAAAAGGTCCCCAAATGGAAATAGGGACTCCAAACTGGGATTCATTGACTGGAGGGGGCCTCTAAGGGCTACAAAAGTGAGGGTGGTGTGGTTTAAAAGAACTCAGCATCAGAGTTACCCACAAAAAAAAAAGGTGAAAGCTAAAAAAGCACGAGTGGACCTTTCCACGTTCGGAGACAGATCTGAAGAACAAACGATTCAGTAGGATCTCACCATTCTTCTTAGAAGGGAGGATAGCAGGACCCATACACCAGAGGTCTCAAAGGTACACTGAAGTTGTCCTACTTGCTCCAGACGTCATCTTCGGACGCAACTGGCTTTCAGATATGAGGACGAGCAACAGAAACACACAAGACCTCCAGATGTTACGAAGTCACTCCGGGAGCAAATTGCTGGTATCACCTAGGTAGGTCTCCTTTGCAAAGTGTTCGGTTTCAAAGCGCCAATCTGCATAAAACTTTAGCTGGAAGAACCCAGCATTACCTCACGCTGTCCTTCCCGATGTCAAAGGGCAGATCTTCAGGGCCTAACGGGTCACCCTCAGGGAAGAGTGCGCACAATTCTGAGGCTGAAAACACACAAAAAGTTTATGGTGAAGACTCCTGATTGGATGTGACAGAAGCATTCAGCGCTCACAAAAGAAAAGCCAGGTGACCCTGGTTTTTAATCATCCACCTTTCATGGCTAGCTCATCCTGGTTAAGAATCCCTTTCTCTACTAGGCTGAACACTAGTGGGAGTGGAGGGAGGGCAAGCCTGGAACTTGCAGATTCATATGTCAATGACTTTTTCCTTACTTAATTAAAAGAACTTTTAATTAAGGTTCTTGTCCCGATTCTGAGCAATGGGATATGTTCTAATTGATTTGTCTCCAAGTAAGATGACAACAGCTGAGATTACTGCCACAGCATTATTTTCTAAATAAGTTGGTTCTGCAAGAAAAGGACTGCCCAACGTAGGAAACTTTTAAAAGTTGAAAACGGAGAGAAATCAGCTTTAGGTCATTTATTAGCAGAAAAGTTTGATAGAAGGTAAACAAAATGCATCCAAAACAAAGAGACAAAGCTAAGGAGAAACATTTGCAGTCTAGTTGCAGCAAACTTAGAAATAAATGTCCAGGTCACATTTTGGATCTGGAAACAGATGGGGGAACTATTTCATCATTGTGGATGAAACAAAATTGGACATAAAATACCAAAAATATTGAGGCAGAATCAAACATAAGCCATTGGGTTGCCTTCTCATGCTTGCTACTTCAACGGGTAGAGAGCAACATCTGTACAGGTGTGATGCTCAGGAATCAGCTACCTGCAGTACACCAGGATGTCCAAGACCTCCATTTCCCTACTTGTACAGGTAGCTCTCGACTTACGACAGTTCATTTAGTGACCGTTCAAAGTTGCAACGGCACTTAAATAAACAAATAACTTATGACACTTATGACCATTGCAGCATCCCCATGGTCATGTGAACAAAACTCAAGGCACCTGGCAACCGACTCATATTTATGACGGTCGCAGCATCCCGGGATCATGTGATTGCCTTTGGCAACCTTCTGACAAGCAAAGTCAATGGAGAAGCCAGATCCACTTTAGGACTGTGTTACTCATTTAACAGTCGCAGCAACTCACTTAACAACTGCAACAAGAAAGGTCATAAAACGGGGCAAAACAACAAGAGTCTCACTTAGCAGCAGAAATTTTGGGTTCAATTGTGACTGTAAGTTGAGCATTACCTACACAGATATTCGGAGTTGGGAAAAATGTCAGGTGAGAGGCACCATTGAGGTCACATATGCAATACTGCCATTCCTTCAGAGAGAAAAAAATAATGAGATGCTAACTCATCAGTTTACCTGATTGGTACTGTATGATGCCAAGGCCAGTTGGAAGTGCCCTAGCCAACAGAAGAGACAATGACAATGGTGGCGAACCTAGGGCATGCGTGCCAGAGGGGGCACTCGGAGCCCTCTCTGTAGGCATGTGCACTGTCGCCCCAGCCCTGCCTCCCCCTGGAGGAGAGTCGCCCCCGGGCGCGGTCCACACAGAGCAGCGCAACCAAGAACATAGCAGCCAGGCAGGGGGGACAAGTCTCCATCCTTGCTCCCCATCGCATGCAGATGATGCGGGGTGTGGGTGGAGGGCATGACCGCCATAGTGCTGCGGCGGGCTGTGGAGGCAGTGGGTGGCCCTGCGGGCAGGCAGGGCAGGGACAGGGGGCAGGGCAGGGGCAGTTTTGGGGCACTCGGTCTCTAAAAAGCTCGCCATCACTGTCTTACGACATTTTAGAGGCACAAAGAGGCCAGCGTCTCACAGTTCGGAACAACGTAAGACAGTGGTTCTCAACCTTTTTAATGCCATGACCCCCAACCGGTTGTAAGTCGAGGACTACTCAACCGGTTGTAAGTCGAGGACTACTCAACTGGTGCAGCACCGTTTGCAGAATGGGACTTTTGGCGGGCTCAGCAGGGCAGAGACAGTCTGGACAATTCCTATTGGCTTTTGAAAGCCAATAGAATTAGACTCTATTCAAGAGAGTCTATTCTATTGACTTTCAAAAGCCAATAGAATAAAAGGGAGTAGCATAGCTAAGGAAAAGGGGGAAAAAAATGGCAGACTGTGCTGTTTGGCGACCCCCGTGAAATGGTCGTTCGCCCCCAAACGGGGTCCCGACCCACAGATTGAGAACCACTGACGTAAGAGTATGGGCTTAGAAAAGAGAATTACGCTACCGAAGTTGGGAAGAGCGTATTCGCATAGAGAACGAATGCGAGAAAGTGCTACAAGCAGAAAAATGAGCAAAAAAAGAAGAAGAAAAAAAACCACCTAGCAAAACAGAAGCAAAGGTAGGCTAACAAAAAGCAAAGGCCACGTTTAAAGTCAACGTATTTTCCAGGCAGGGGCCGTCACGGTTCCGACAGACGAAACGGTGGCCTCTGCAGAAAGCAGCTCCTTACCATCACTTGAAGGCTGCGTCTGGAAGGCCTGGTTGTAGCCCTCTGGCGTGGCACAGGCAGTCTCGGGCTCTTCCTGTTCGTCGTTTTCGGTGTCGCACTCGATGTCGCTGTCGCTGCTCATGCCTGGCAAGAGGTGAAGTGCAGCTGCCACCCAGAAAAAAGTAAAAACGACTGCTCAGCATTCATACAATACCTTTAAACAAAAGAGGCTAAAGCAGGGGTCTTCCAACTTGGCCTTTGGATGACTTGTGGACTTCAACTCCCAGAATTCCTCAGCCAGGCACGCGTGCCTGGCTGAGGAATTCTGGGAGTTGAAGTCCACAAGTCATCCAAGGGCCAAGTTGGAAGACCCCTGGGCTAAAGCAGTGGTTCTTAACCTGGGCGATATTGCCCTCCAGGGGGCGATTTTGTTTTTCAGGGGGGCAAAGGAACGAAAAGGGGGCGATATGGGGTCGATGGAGCGAGAAGTTTTGGGGACACTTTTGAGATTTTTTCATACAGTGAATGGCTGTATATCTGTCGTACAAAAACATCAGATCGCTCGCTATTAGTGGATTGAATTGTGTTTTCAAATGTTCCTCCAGCTAGCTTCAGTACAGAACGCCGTACATATGTGAATACGCCTCGCTTATCTTCATGCGCGTTGCGCAGCAGCCCCTACCCATAGAGTGGCGCGCCATTGGCCAGAATAGGGGAGATATGGTGAAAAAGACTGGAAATAAATTATTTGCATCGATATGTCCTGATGACAGTTTTAACGAAAACAAAACAAGTGTTTTCATAAATTGAAGAATTATTTCCCATGTTGTGATTGAGAGGTTATGTTGGGGGAGGGGGGCGATGACAACTTCCTCATTGGCTCAAGGGGGCGATTCGTTCAAAAAGGTTAAGAACCACTGGGCTAAAGGATCTCCTTACTTCTGTTGGATCAATGGAAAGGCTTCCTAGTAGGTAGACAAACACATGCAGGGAGTCCTCAACTTAAACAGTTTTTCATTTAGTGACCATTCGAAATCACAACGGCATTGAAAAAAGCGACACGATCGTTTTTCACATGACCCCCCCGCAGCATCCCCATGGTCACACGATCAGAATTCAGACCCTTGGCAACTGGCTGGTATTTTTATGACGGTTGCCGGGTCCCGGGGTCACGTGATCCCCCATTTGCAACCTTCCCACAAGCAAAGTCAATGAGGGAGCCAGATTGACTTTACAACCGTGTCACTAACTGAACCACCGCAGAGATTCGCTTAACTATTGTGGCAAGACAGAGCGTAAAATGGGGCAAAACTCACTTAACAACTGTCTTACTTAGCAGTAGAATTTGGGGGGGGGGGCTGAATTGTGGTTGTAAGTCAAGGACTACTTGTAACTGCAATGGAGTGCGTTAGGATCCTTCTAACACTAGCAATAGTGCTTAACTTATATACCATTTCTCAGTGCTTTACAGCCCTCTCTAAGTGGTTTAGAGTCAGCCTATTTGGTCCCAACTATCTGGGTCCTCATTTTACCGACCTCAGAAGGACGGATGGCTGAGTCAACCCTTAGCCGGTCAGGATGAACTCCTGGCAGTGGGCAGAGTCAGCCTGCAACACTGCATTTTAACCATTGCGTGACCATGGTAAGTAAGTAAGTAAGTAAGTAAGTAAGTAAGGAATAGCACTTATATACCGCTTCACAGTGCTCTACAGCCCTCTCTAAGCAGTTTACAGAGCCAGCCTATTTGCCCCCAACATCTGGGTCCTCATTTTACCGACCTCAGAAGGACGGAAGGCTGAGTCCACCTTGAGCTGGTCAGGATCGAACTCCTGGCGGCGAGCAGTGAATTAGCCAGCAATATTGCACCCCTGCTCTTCCCAAAACCCCGTTTCTCCCTCCTTGAAACTCCAGGAAAGAGCCAACTAAATTTGCTGCCACCAGCAGTTCGTTCCAGAGAAATGAATCCCCTCCCATCAGTAGCTGGGAGGTTTCTTTCCCGGAATGAGAACCGCTGGTCCCTTATGGATGTAAACATTTGTCATAGGCAGTACGCTCGGATTCACGACAGGAGATCGATAAAAGAAAAAGAATTAACACAGACAGGTAGTCCTTGACTTACAACAGTTCATTTAGTGACTGTCTGAAGTTACAACGGCACTGAACAAAGTGATTTATGACCATTTTTCACTCTTAAGACTGCTGCAGCATCTCCACGGTCACGTAATCAAAGTTCAAATGCTTGGCAATTGGTTCATATTTATGACGGTCACAGTGTCTCCCCGGGGTCATGTGATCCCTTTTGTGACTTTCTGATAAGCAAAATGAGCAGCTCCCTCAGCTCTTCCACACATGTTCCCCCTCCACCCCAGTGCAAGTTCCTACAGCCACGATCTCAATCCATAAAACAAAAGAAGAATTTATATCACAGTTTTACTAGTCTTAAAAGGGGGAGGGGGGGAGAGAAGAGAAACCCACCCTCTTGATTGGCTGATTAGCATTTGATTTTCCTAGGTTTTTGCCTTTGTCTATTCCCTGGGATTAACTATCATGTCCATTTCCAATCTCTTCCTCTTGAAATGGAGTTCCCCATACTGACTACAACAATGAATAAAAAAAATTCATTTGTTGTTGCCTCTTGAAGCTTGTTACCTAGACAGAACATGATCTAATCCAGCAAATCGTTGGATGCTTTAAATTCATTTTTTAACAGAAACTGTATATAACAACAACAACAATACTAATAATACTAATACTAATAATAATAATAAAAAGTTGGAAGGGACCTTGGAGGTCATCGAGTCCAACCCCTTGCTCAGGCAGGAAACCTATACCATTTTAGACAAATGGCTGTCCAGTCTCTTCTTAAAAACCTCCACTGATGGAGTGCCCACAACTTCTGGTGGCAAGCTGTTCCACTGGTTAATTGTCTTCACTGTTAGGAGGTTTCTCCTTAGTTCTAGGTTGCTTCTCTCCTTGATGAGTTTCCATCCATTGCTTCTTGTCCTGCCTTCAAGCGCTTTGGAGAATAGCCCCTAAGATATTGGAATGCTGCTATCATGCCCCCCCTTGTCCTTCTCTTCATTAAGCTAGACAGACCCAATTCCAGCAACCGTTCCTTATATGCTTTAGCCTCCAGTCCCCTAATCATCTTTGTTGCTCTTCTCTGTGCTCTTTCTAGAGTCTCGACATCTTTTTTACATCGTGGTGATGTAAGCTCATCATCGTTCTTCTACAGGATTCAGTGCATCTTCTGAATAATGTTCCAGCCAGAACTATGAAACTGATTCAATGTATTTCCAAAACTGCTGATCAAATCATGATAATATTATCTTTCATATTTTCCCCATCATCATCACACTTGGTATCCCAGATAAACTCAGACCTTAAGATATCTCCTGATCAAGGTTTTACATTATGACAACCTTATTATCTTTTACTAGCTACATTTTGAACTTCACACTGGTTTTTAATTTGGATATTTTTCTCCAAATATATAATACATGAAATCAGGAACGAAATATGTGAAAAATGTCTTTGGAGAATTTTTTTTAAGTCTTAAAAGAGGAAGAAGGCTCCAGTTCTTATTTCTCCTTTTAAGACTGTTTTACTAATGATCTATGCAATTATCCATAATCTATTTTAGGAGGACAGAAATAATATTAATAAATATTTAAAAGTTCCCTCTCCACTGATTTTAAAAAATAATCAGTAGATACAGGTAATTCTACTCCATTTAAGCAGAGGGAACTTGAAAGGGAAATCTAGTCTTTAGGTTTAATCCCACCTTATTTCCAGATAGTGTTTGTATCAGCTGCAAAGCTATGAGAAAATCTTAAATGGAAATTATAAGCATAACAACAGGGACTCCCTGTCCAAGCATGAGTGATGCTCTATGCATATTGCTACCCATGTTACGACTTTCTAGCACATTACTTACAATCGAGTTCTCTACGCACTTAAAACGTTGAAATCCACTGACTTCAACAAAACTTAGAAGTCTCCATATTTAGAACTGGCTGTCAGCCATATGCTGTGTCCACACTGAAAATCAACTTAATCTGTTTTTTTCCCCTCTTATTTCTGTTAATCCATCTAATGATACTCCTTGCTTCTGCTATTTAAGGTGCTTTACACAGCTGGTAGCTAACATCCAGCACTTTGTGTCATTATCAGCAGCCTATCAGTGAAGTACTGTTTGATAAAAGCTCCAAGTAAATTGCTCCTTATTTAGCTGCCAAGGAAGAACTAAGGTGTCTGGAACCAGGTTTGCACCAAGCAGCTTCTCCAAAGACAAATCCTACCCAAAAAAAACCCAGTAGTTATTATCATTTGTTACTGCTTTACCAATAGGCTAAAGGGTGTTTACTGTATGAAATAATCCACTAAAATGGACTTTGATTTGTACCTAAAGCCAATTTGAATAGTGCGGCTGAGGTTTCCCCAGCTCAGAGCACAATTCCTTTGACCTTGTGTAAGAAAACTGCCAACCTTCTCATCTCCATGGCTACAAAATGGCAAATCAAACAGGGTCTCTTACTTCAAATTCCCCTCTCTGAAAAGGAGCAAGCAGCAAAGGGCTTCCTGGGGTTTTTCTACAATGTAACTGTAAAAAAAGACATCCTTTTTCTTCCTTTTCCAGCAGTCAAGCTGCAATTGCTAACAAGGATGCTCAAAGCACGGTAACTAAGAAGGAACAAGGCGCCTGAGGTCAGACGCACCTCCTGCAACACCTTCATGAGGTCCTTTCTGACAGGTAATAATGGATGCCGGGGTCTTAGTCCAACTTTCACACAGCAATTCATCCCCTAATGTGAGTCCAATGAGTGAGGAGGTGGAAGGAAGTTTTAGGAGTATAAACGGGAGAGGAAGCGACTTACACACCAATAGCTAATTCTGTGATCCCAAAAGAGCATCTATTGCAGACATGTCAAACCCAAGTCCGGGGGCCGGATGTGGCCCACGAAGTGGTTTCATGTGGCCCGCGAAGCCATCCTGGAAACAGTGAGGGAATGGCCCCCGCTGCCTTGGTTCTGGCCCAGGCCAGCCGGGAGCCAATGTACAATTTTGTGGTGGCCATCTATGCTGAAATGCATTCAGTCTTAGCTCCACAAGGCTGTCTAGAAACAGTGAGGAACCAGCCCCTGCCACGTCGGCCCCGCCCCCTGGGTTCATGCTGGGGAGGTGTCACCCTTTGTGAGGAATGAAGAAATGGACCATGCCTTGGCGCTTGCCCCGGTCCCACCCCCTTCTGCCAGAGACCCTCAGATCTGTCCCATTCCTGCCCAGGCCCCCACAGGCCCCCTTGACGCAAACGATGTAGAGTTGGCCATGCCCACCCAGCAGGCCACACCCACCCAGGCCACAGCTTCCCCCCCTCCTGAGGGCAACCACAATGCTGATGTGGCCCTCAATGAAATTGAGTTTGACACCCCTGCTCTATATGGTCTTTGTAAAGAATTAACACAAGCCCCAGCTTCCAGGAACACTAGGCTCACTTTAAACCATGTTTTAAAGATGCCACTAAACATTTTAGCAAACCCACCATCACTAGGAAATACTCGTCAATTACAGTACAGGCAGTCCTCGACTTAACAACAGTTCATTTAGTGACCGTTCAAAGTTACATCACTGAAAACTTTAAGACTTTTGGACTTCAACACCCAGAATTCCTCTGCCAGCTTTGTTTGAAGACCCATGATCTGGAGTGTACTTCACATGGTTTTCCATATTGTTGCTGATAGACCTGGTAGAACAGCAGTTCTCAACCTGTGGGTCGGGACCCCATTTGGGGTCGAACGACCATTTCACGGGGTTGCCAAACAACGCAGTACGCCATTTCCCCCCCCCCTTTTCCTTAGCTGTGCTACTCCCTTTTATTCTATTGGCTTTTGAAAGCCAATAGAATAGACTCTCTTGAATAGAGTCTAATTCTATTGGCTTTCAAAAGCCAATAGGAATTGTCTAGGCTGTCTCTGCCCTGCTGAGCCCGCCAAAAGTCCCATTCTGCAAACGGTGCTGCACCAGTTGAGTAGTCCTCGACTTACGACCGGTTGAGTAGTCCTCGACTTACGACCGGTTGGAGGTCGCGGCATTAAAAAGGTTGAGAACCACTGTTATAGATGGAAAAATAAGGATAACCTCCGCAGCCCAGGGCATGCCTGTTTGGGCTGTCGTGCCCCCTGGTGCAGGGGTCAAGCCCCTTGTGGGCTTGCCACTAATGGGAGGGCAGAGGGGGCAAGATCGTCGGCTGGCCGAACATCTGGATTTGCCGGCTCAGCTGTTCGACACTCTTCCGAACAGCTGATCGGCACAGAGAAACTCACTGTGATGACCCAGGGCACAGCACCGAGGCAATGCAGTCAGCTGGCAATTCAAACCGCCCTTTAATTGCTTCAAATTTTCCCCAAATGCTCCCACGTTTCTGGCAAGCCTCCAAAGGAAGACACACACACCTCTGGCTACAGTCTGATTAGGAAAGGAATTTACTCAAGGCCACGGAGATAAGAAAGAATGACACATACATCATAAACCTAACCAGCCTGTGTAAATACACGCTTGCCTGAGCCGCTTCAGAAGGGAAGCCAAAATACAGTTCGAGATCTATAAACATTCAAGCCATGTTGTCAGCCAGTCCAATGTTCAGAGTGTCTGGGTTTCCAAGCAGAAGTGTTTGTTCCCGACAAATGCTTCTCCCCACAGTGTCTCCTTAAGTCTCAGTCTCCAGGTGTGCCTTGTGGAGATGGGTGGGACACTCTCCTCCCGAGTGGTTGAGCCTGCCTGTGTTGTTCCCTCCTTCTCTCCACTCTCCGTGCTCTAGGATCAGGTGGGGGTGGCCCTTGCTCATCGCCTGAACTCTGCCTCTCCTGTTCATCCTGTCCCAATCCTGAAAGGCCCTGGCCTGCCTGTTCTTCCCCACATTCCTCTGAAGCCACAGACATGTCTCCAGCTCATTTTCCTCTGCAGATTCAGGCTCTGACGGAGGCATGACACTCTCATGCCAGAGTGTCTTATACAAGGGTGCGCCTTATAGACGGAAAAATACGGTATGTCACTGTTTTCCGTGCCGATGTAACTTCGAACAGTCACTGAATGAATGGTTGTAAGCCGAGCACTACCTCTATTCAAGTTACCAATGTACAGTTAGTTGCGGCAGCCTCTTAGCTTTGCAACACTCGAATGTGGGTTAACAAGAAGACCCCAGTTTATCAGGCATCTTTAGTTTTCTCTGAAATCCCAAACGTGGCCTTACCTTCCTCAAGGTTCGCAGAAGCCCCGTCAGAGGGGACTACTTGTAGCTCTCCGGCTTCAGAGCTGTTTTCCAAATCACTTGCCTCGGTTGCTTCCAGACGACATCGATTTGGATTGGGCCTAAAAAGAGAGGAGAGGCAGGCTGGTAACAAAAAAAAACCCCAAAGCCTAAAATATTTTTGTCATTTAACAGATTTCAGGGTTAATTTGAAAAACGGGCTGTTTTTTTTCCCCTGAAAGGCCACAATCATAACCTCTTATTTCCAATTAAAACGGTAAACTATTTCATGCTACATTTTACAAAACTAACCTTGGTAGATACAAGTGAAAACGAGAGGGAAGTTCTTTTGAGAGTGAAATGCAATTTCCGTTATATATTCAAGATGGTGACAGTATTTAATATTTATTTATTATGTATATGTAGGGGTGTGGGTCTATACATATGTTGTATATAATATGTTTAGGTGTGTGTCATGTATGTGTTTCACTTTGAGAGCGGGCAATTAAATTTCATTTTTGATGTGTGCCGTTGTGCCCACAGTAAAAAAAATGACAATAAAGGTTATCTTATCTTATCAATTGCAAAGCATTTAAAACTGTTCAGATATGCAATACTTCCAGGTCTCTATTGGAAACGAGAGGCCGCCTTAAATTTGCAACAGCAGAACAGCTCCAGAAGTGTTCATTTCTTACAGTACGGTATAAGCATTTGTAAAAGTAGAAAACAAGTGGAAATGAGATACACTCCCAAATGAAGATACGAGGCAGGATGAAAGAAGAGAAGGCTAAAGGAGATACAACAGCAGCTTTCCAACATTTAACGGAATAACAGGGTTGGAAGGGACCTTGGAGGTCTTCTAGTCCAGCCCCCTTACTCAGGCACGAGACCCTATATCAGTGGTGGCGAGCCTATGGCACGGGTGCCAGAGGCGGCACTCGGAGCCCTCTCTGTGGGCACACGTGCCATCGCCCCAGCCCTGCCTCCCCCCATGGCCCCCTCCTCACCAGCATCCCCCTGGAGGAGAGTCGCTCCCAGGCGCGACCCACACGGAGCAGCGCAGCCAAGGACATAGCCGAGCAGCAGGGACAAGACTCCGCCCTCGCATCCCATAGCATGCAGATGATGCTGCAGGGCGTGGGCGGAGGGCGTGGTTGCTATGGCACTGCAGGGCTGCCTGGGCGATCTGCTGCAGCAGGCCATGGAGGTGGTGTGTGGCCCTGCAGGTGGGCGGGGCAGGTGGGCGGGCAGAGCAGGCAGGGCGGGAGGCAGAGTGGGGGGGCAGTTTTTGAGCACTTGGTCTCTAAAAGGTTTGCCATCACTGCCCTATATCATTTCAGACAGATGGTTGTCCAATCTCTTCTTAAAAACCTCCAGTGTTGGAGCACCCACATTTGATAGGTTGTCAAAGGGAAGAGATTTGATATGTCCTCTCTGTAGCATCAAAGGAGAAGAACCATAAAGGGGAAGCTTTAAAGGAGTAAACAAGGAGTAATTTCCTGACTGTGAGCACTCTTAAGCAGTGGGACAGCCTGGTGGTTTTCACACCAAGGTTAGCCTTTTTTTCTGGGATGGTATAACAATTCCTCCTTTCGCATGGGGTTGGACTAGATCAGTGGTTCTTAACCTGGGTGATATTGCCCCCCCAGGGGGCGATTTTGTTTTTCAGGGGCGACGCGGGGGCGAAGGAACGAAAAAGGGGTGATATGGGGGCGATGGAGCGAGAAGTTTTGGGGACGCTTTTGAGACTTTTTCGTACAGTGAATCACTGTATATCTGTCATACAAAAACATCAGATCGCTCGCTATTAGTGGATTGAATTGTGTTTTTCTTTTCGGGCATTTCACTTTCTTGCCATTGAATTTTGTTTTCAGTGGTGATTACATTTAAGTGTCTTGAATAAATAAGATAATAATGAAATACACGTATCACGAAGTTTGGGAATAAAGTGCCAGGTGCCACCAAAATTTTTCACACAGTTGAGATATGGGAAAAAGACTGGAAATAAACTATTTACATCGATATGTCCTGATGACAATTGTAAAGAAAACAAACAAAAAAAAGGGTTTGCATAAATTGAAGAATGATTTCCTATGTTGTGATTGAGAGGTTATGTTGGGGGAGGGGGGCGATGAGAACTTCCTCATTGGCTCAAGGGGGCGATTCGTTCAAAAAGGTTAAGAACCACTGGACTAGATGACCTCCAAGGTCCCTTCCAACCTCAACATTGCATGTCCGTTCTTTTTCAAGTCACAGCAAACTTACCCCACAGCTATTCCTTTCCTGGCTTTTTCCACAGCAGCTATGCCATTTAAAGCCGAAGCACCAACGTTGGAATCAGAAACCTCACACATTCTGTCTTCAGAATTAGACAGGGGATCCGACGCGCAAGCCAAAGATCTGGGGGAGCTGCGCCGACTGTTGGGCTTTGAGTTTCCCAGGCAACCTAAAGCAAAAAATAAGACACGTTCTCGTGATGCTTTTTCCAATCTTGAAAGCTGTATCTAATACATAATACTTATTTGCCACAAGCAAGGAGTACCTGAGAAAAGGCAGGCTTTTGTTTGGCTATCCCTGTTGGTTTCAGACACAAATGACATTTAATTCTACCACAGTGGTTCTCAACCTTTTTAATGCCGTGACCCCCCAACCGGTCGTAAGTCAAGGACTACTCAACCGATCGTAAGTCGAGGACTACTCAACTGGTGCAGCAGCACCGTTTGCAGAAGGGGACTTTTGGCGGGCTCAGCAGGGCAGAGACAGCCTGGACAATTCCTACTGGCTTTTGAAAGCCAATAGAATTAGACTCTATTCAAGAGAGTCTATTCTATTGGCTTTCAAAAGCCAATAGAATAAAAGGGAGTAGCACAGCTAAGGAAAAGGGGGAAAAAAAGGGTGGACTGTGTTGTTTGGTGGCCCCCCGTGAAATGGTCGTTCGACCCCAAATGGGGTCCCGACCCACAGGTTGAGAACCACTGTTCTATCAGGTCTATCAGCAACAATATGGAAAGCCGTGTGAAGCACACTCCAGATCATGGGTCTTCAAACAAAGCTGGCTGAGGAATTCTGGGTGTTGAAGTCCAAAAGTCTTAAAGTTGCCAAGTTTGAAGACCCCTGCCCCAGATAGTCCTCAACATACTGAGGCAAGTCAGAGCCCCAGAGGAGGAAATACTAAAAAGGCAGAAAAATATATTTCCTCAAAAAGGATTTTAAAAAGCAGAAGCCAACCCTGCCCCCAAACCTCTCTATCCCAAACAGGAGCCAGCCCTATACAAATGCAGATGTAGAACTATCAGGAAAGCTGGAGCCAGAAGACAAAGACCTAAAATCTGCATACCCCACCCAAACTCTAAGAGTCATTAGCCCATCACTAGGGAAGCAGGACATGACTTTTGGGACATAATAGGATTAAACCACAGATACCAAGGCCTAGAAAAGCACTGACTCAGTTCAAAGTTAATGCCACAGGAACAGGAAACTATTCTAAACAAAAGGTTTTCAGAGGGTATAAAAACCTACTGCCCATGTGCTCAGGTCCTTCTTTCCTCTGCTCTTTCCTGCAAGAACCATCTTTCTGCCTCTTCAATAAACTGTAACCTTCCCAAAGCAATCGCCATGTTGCTTATTTATTCCCGGCTTGGATGAACCAGGATGAAGATTTTACCTCCAACAGTACAACCATAACCGAGCTCAAAATTTCCACTGATAAGCGAGGCAGTTAAGTGAGCTTTGCCCCTTTTCTGCCATAGTTCTTTTTTTTATTGAAAAGTTTTATAAAAATTACAGTATACACCCCAAAACCCACCCACTCTAAACCCCCCCTCTCCCTTCCCCACTTCCCAGAGCTGAGTACAGGGTTACAAATATAATAATCAAACTCTAACTAACATTAACCAACTATATAAATAACCAAGTCCATAATGCACTTTAACTCCCCTTTAAGATAGGTATAAACAAATTAAAAATAAACATAATAATATAAACAAGTCAATATTATTAAACAATATAATATCCAAATTGTTAACAATACTAATACTAAAAATAATAACGAAACTAATAAAAATTCTACTATAATAAACTATTATTAATAATAATACTCTAAAATTTACTCATAAACTAGATGGAACTTTTTAGTCCCATATTTATTCTGAATATAATTATCCATCTTCTCCAGACCGAAATGTATCTTTCTTGTGAATCCTTCAAGTCAGCAGAAATTTTTGCCATTTCTGCTAAATTTGACACTGATAAGCGAGGCAGTTAAGTGAGCTTTGCCCCATTTTACGACCTTTTCTGCCACAGTTCTTGAGACAATCGTTGAAGCTCCTAAGTGAATCAGGCAGCCATTAAGCGAATCTGGCTTCCGCCACTGACTTTGCTTGTCGGAAGGTCACAGAAGGTGATTGATCACATGATCTTGGGATGCTGCAACCATCATAAATATGAGCCGGCTGCCAAGTGCCCTAACTTTGATCACTTCAGTCTGGGGATGCTGCGACCGTTGTTATAATAATAATAATAGTAAAGTTGGAAGGGACCTTGGAGGTCATCTAGTCCAACCCCCTGCTCGGGCAGGAAACCCTACACCATTTCGGACAAATGGCTGTCCATTCTCTTCTTAAAAACTTCCAGTGTTGGGAGCATTTACTGCTTCTGGAGGCAGATTGTTTCACTGATTAATTGTTCTAACTGTCAGGAAGTTTCTCCTTAGTTCTAGGTTGCTTCTCTCCTTGATTAGTTTCCACCCATTGCTTCTTGTCCTGCCTTCAGGTGCTTTGGAAAATAGCTTAATTCCCTCTTCTTTATGGCAGCCCCTGAGATACAGGAACACTGCTATCATGTCCCCCCTTGTCCTTCTCTTCGTTAAACTAGACATACCCAATTCTAGCAATCGTTCCTTATATGTTTTAGCCTCCAGTCCCCTGATCATCTTTGTTGCTCTTCTCTGTACTCTTTCCAGAGTCTTAACATCTTTTTTACATCGTGGTGACCAAAACTGGATGCAGTATTCCAAGTGTGTGAAAAAGTCATTTTTTTCAATGCTGCTGTAACGTCAAACAGTCACTCAGTGAATGGTTGTAAGTCAAGGACTATCTATAATGATGTATCACAGTTCGATTAGTGACCGTTCAAAGTTATAACGGCACAGAAAAACGTGACTTATGACCGTTTTCACACTTACGACCATGATCGCATGATCAAAATTCAGACGCTTGGCAACTGACTCATATTTATGACGGTCGCAGTGTCCTGGGGGGTGGGTGGGGGGAGGGGCATGTAACCCTCTTCTGCGACCTTCTGACAAGCAAAGTCAACGGGGAAGCCGGATTCACTAACGAACCTTGTTGCTAAATTGACAGGTGACACGATTGACTTAACGAGTCGTAAAATTCACAAATTAACAAAACGTCTCATTTAGCGACAGACATTTCGGGCTCAACGGTGGTCGTAAGTTACCTGTATTTGATAAAAAGCTGCTAGCTCTTCTCCAAATTTAAACAATTCAGTGGGCTTTTTCCTCCTCGAATCACGGGTGGTTTTGGCAGCTCAAACTGGGTTCTATTTTAACTGCTCTATCAGCAACAGCAGGAAAAGCCCATATATAGAGGAGCAAGAATCTAAAACTCACAAGCAGCATGCAAAATAGTATGCAAATGCACCCATATGCCCCAGATATAGTTATACCTTCAGAGGAAAGCTGACACTCTAGCTTCAAAAGGATACTTCCATCCCCACAATCCATTGCCCTCCGCAAAGACAGGCTGCCTGCGGCCCCTGAGCGACCAGCTTTAGTTGAACTATTTTTCTTATTTGCGGCTACAGGATTAAAACAAACAAACAAACAAAAAAAAAACACTTCAGCTTTAAATACAAGTAACATTTTAAAAAGAGAGAGACGTTAAGTAGATCTGGGTTAGACTTAAAAGAGAGATCACCCCTGATTGTTACCATTATTTTAGAACAGCGGTTCTCAACCTATGGGTCGTGATCCCATTTGGGTCGATAGACCATTTCACGGGGGTCGCCAAGGAAGGCTCTCCGCCATTTTTTTTCCCCTCTTCCGGCAGATGCCTTACCTCTCTTGGGCTGGCCCAGCTGGTGGCCCAGCCGGTGGTTGGCCTGCTCCGTCTCTGCCGCTTGCCAGCTACGCCTCGGCTGGCGCAGGGGGCGGCACCACGCATGCACGGCGCTCCCGGGCAGGGAAAGTCCTCGACTTACTACCAGTTTTTTATTTATTTATGAGACTTATATACCGCTTTAAGTGCAATCACTCTCTAAGCAGTGTACACCAGTAAGCAATGTGTGTGTGTGTGTGTGTGTGTGTGTGTGTGTGTGTGTGTGTGTGTATATATATATATATATATATTTACATTGCCCCCAACAATCTGGGTCCTCATTTTACCTACCTCGGAAGGATAGAAGGCTGAGTCAACCTTGAGCCGGTGAGATTTGAACCGCTGACCTGCTGAACACAGTCAGCTAACGTGGCCTGCAGTACTGCACTTTAACTGCTGCGCCACCTCGGTTGGGTAGTCCTCGACTTACGACCGGTTTAGTCCTCGACTTACGACCGGTTTAGTCCTCGACTTAAGACCGGTTGGGGGTCACGGTATTAAAAAGGTTGAGAACCACTGTTTTAGAACTTCTAAAACAAGGTAATTTATCTCAGCTCAAAGATGGACATTGTCTTCCTTAATTGAAGCTCCCATATAGTTTGCTTCGTCAGTAGCTTTCAACCCAGGCACCCTCCTGAGGCCTGGATTTTAACTCTCAAAACTCCTGAGCCGACAGGGCCATCGGTGAGAATTCCAGCATTATAGTACACATATCTGGAATTTACCAAGTTTGGGAAACTGTGTTATTGCTCCATGTTACCATTTAATGTAACCTGGGGGCCAAAACCTGACTGGAATGCAAGGACTGAAGGGTGTATCTTATTTAAAGGAACAGGCCACATAAAAGGATAAAGAAGCTCTGTCTGTCTGTCTATTGACGGATCCCTCCATCGAACCATCCATTCATCTATCTGTCCATCTAATTTTTTTTTTTTTTAATTCTAATTTGCTTTGCTCATTAAGCGAATCCGGCTTCCCCCCATAGACTTTGTCGGAAGCCGGCTGGGAAGGTTGCAAACGGTGATCACATGACCCTGGGACACTGTCATACATATATGTCAGTTGCCAAGTGCCTGAATTTTGATCACATGACCGTGGGGATGCCGAAACGGTCGTAAGCGTGAAAACCGGTCAATACGTCGCTTTTTTTCAGTGCCGTTGTATCTTGGAACAGTCACTAACCAATGGTTGTAAATGGAGGACTATCTGTACAGCTGGCCAGTGGTAGCCATTAGCTTGTGGGTGCCGTGAACTGTGCGCCTGAATCTCCCTGTGAAATGTAAAGCTTTAAGACAGTGGTTCTCAACCTTTCTAATGCCGCGACCCCATAATACAGTTCCCCATGTTGTGCTGACCCCCAACCACTTATACATCACCGGGTGCCAGGGGCGTGGCCAAAGAAAAGGGGGAAAAAATGGCGGACAGCCTTGTTTGGCAACCCCCGTGAAATGGTCGTTTGACCCCAAATGGGGTCCCGACCCACAGGTTGAGAACCGCTGCTTTAAGACAACGGCCTCCATCAGCCATCAGTGCCTTCACAAAAGCAGATTAATTTTCACAGCTTTTACAGCTTTCTCAAACTATATAGGACTTAAAAACTGAAATTTTATTTGAAATCAGTGCTTTATCGAGGCGGGCGCAATCCGGCCTTGAGATTTTAAAAGGCTGCGCCCAACAGGTTGTTAAATGGCTCCTTTCTTACAGAAGGGATGACTAAACCCATTTCCACTTACAATTCCGAATATAGCAGCTCGAGAGGGATGATTTTGTCAGCAGCTCCCTCCCAAGTTCCTGCAGCTTGTTGTAGCTTTCTGTCCCGCAGGCTGCCAAGGCGCCCTGGTCACCAGGGAAGGCGTGGGTTGCCTGCCCGTCAGAAGAGTTGGCGCTGCTGCTCCGAACCTCCGACAGCTGGTTCTTCACATCCGACATCTTACTCCGTACTTCAGCCATCTGACTCTTCAACCTCTTCAGCATTTTAAGGTCTGGCGGAACGCGCCACATTGCCTGGTGCCTCCGCTGGTCTTTCTCTTTTGAAGAGTACGATGCTGAACAGAGAAGAAAAAGAAAGAAGGCACAAGCTCGCCAACCAAAAAAGGTTTCCAGGGCACCCCATGGCAGCATCTATAGGGGATTAAGGCCTTAGTTATAGGGTTTAATTTCCAGGGCTAGTTCTAAACCCGGATGAGACAGGAGGAAGGTCTCTTTCGTGCAGGATCCCCTGAGGGTGAGATGGGTGGCATAGAAATTTGATTTAAATAAAATAAAATAAAATAAAATAGAGGTTGGGCGTTGGGCTGAAACCTTGATGCTGCAAAACACCAAGATTAATGTTGTTCAAGCAGTAAACAATACCCCAATCAAAGAACTACCAACTCAGACAAACAAGCTGACAATAAACCACAGTCTAATCAAGGAACCACCAAGAACATTCCCACCAACACTGACAGGGCAAGCCGAGAACAAACCCTTTCAGCACTGATAATGTTACCCACAGGTAGTCCTTGACTTACGACCACAACTGCTAAATGAGAGATTTGTTAAGTGAGTTTTGCCCCAGTGGCTAAGAGAAGCACTGCAGTTGTTAAAGTTAGGAACAAAGTTGTTAAGTGAATCTGGCTTCCCCCATTGACTTTGCTTGTCAGAAGGTTGCAAAAGGGGATCGCATGACCCCGGGGCAATGCAACCGTCATAAATATGAGTCAGTTGTCAAGCATCTGAATTCTGATCATTTTGATGGGGACTGCAGCCAAGAAACTAGAAGACGCTTGCTCCTGGGGAGGAAAGCTAGGGCAAATCTAGACAGCATACTAAAAAGCAGACACATCACCTTGCCAACAAAAGTGCGTATAGTCAAGGCCATGGTTTTCCCAGTTGCAATGTATGGCTATGAAAGCTGGACCATAAGAAAGGCTGAGCGCCAAAGAATGGAGGCCTTTGAACTCTGGTGCTGGAGAAGACTCCTGCGAGTCCCCTGGACTGCAAGGCGATCCAACCAGTCAGTCCTGGAAGAGATCAGCCCTGACTGCTCTTTAGAAGGCCAGATCCTGAAGTTGAAACTCAAGTCCTTTGGCCACCTAATGAGAAGGAAGGACTCACTGGAGAAGAGCCTGATGCTGGGAAAGATCGAGGGCAATAGAAGAAGGGGACAACAGAGAATGAGGTGGCTGGATGGAGTCACTGAAGCAATAGGCGTGAGCTTCAATGGACACCAGAAGATGGTAGAGGACAGGAAGGCCTGGAGGAACGTTGTCCCTGGGGTCACAATGGGTCGGACACAACTTCGCAACTAACAACAACAACAAATGACTACAACGGTCGCTAAGTTTGAAAAATGGTCACAATCGGCACTTCTTTCAGTGCCGTTGCAACTTCGAACAGCGACTACATGAACTGTTGTAAGTTGAGGACCACCTGTACTTGGGTAATAAAATGTCTGCAAGGAAATAATCAAGCTCTGAGAGCACCAAGGACCCCATAGAACAGCGGTTCTCAACCTATGGGTCACGACCCCATTTGGGGTCGAACGACCATTTTACGGGGGTCGCCAAACAACGCACTCCGCCATTTTTCCCCTCAGGGGGCGGCACTGCGCATGCGCACCGCGCATGCGCGGCGCATCCGTGTGACGGGGGTCGCCATCACACAAAGGTTGAGAACCGCTGCCATAGAAGATATTTTACCACCAGTGAAACAATAGATGCAATTCAGTGAGGTCTGACTGAAATTGTTGGAGAGCAACTGTTGCCCAATACAAGGTACCACAGAGGCCTAGCTACCTCATTTACCAATGTTTTGCTAACCAAAGCCTTATACCAGACCTGAATACTAGTTGAGACTTCATTCTTTGATTGCACATCCATTTAAGGATACCGCATATGTAATTTTTAATGGATTAGAGTTATTAGGGTCTATTTAGTATCAAATGAAGCAATATCAAAATACTTTGCAGATGATCAGTTAGGCCAGGGGTCTTCAAACTTGGCGCTTTTATGACTTGTGGACTTCAACACTCAGAATTCCTCAGCCAGGCACGTGTGCCTGGCTTAGGAATTCTAGGTGTTGAAGTCCACAAGTCATAAAAGGGCCAAGTTTGAAGACCCCTGACCTAGACTGAGCTTAGGAACTTTAAGATGGGCAGTGGGGAGACTTCAACTCCCAGAATTCCCCAGTCAAGGAGAAGCCATGACCAAAAGGGGATGGTGTCTAGCATCCTGGTGTCCACTGCAATGTAGCGTGCCTGGCTGAGGAATTCTGGGAGTTGAAGTCCACAAGTCAAAAAAGGGCCAGGTTTGAAGACCCCTGAGTTAGGCAAAGGATGATGGGAGGACTACAGGACTGTAAGGACAGGCGGACCGCAGTTTCACTAACAGCTATGACTTTGGGAGGACTCCAAAGAGAGAAAAGCTCATTTATAGCAACAAATACTCCCCTAAAAGAAAATCAAATTTGAAATGGCTCACTAGAGATTATAATGTCGGATTGTAATAATGTGCAGCTACCTTGCAGTATCCAAATGGCACACTGCCCCATTATCTAAAATATCATTTTTACCGCAATAGCGTTTCAGTAATGGACCAAAAGTAGATGGATTTTTTCCCACCGAACATAAAGGCCTCTCTCTGGAGCACAAATCTGCAATAAACTGCATAAAAATTAACATAACCAGAGTGTTTGCTTTAGCTAATTTTTCATGCTTCCCGTTAGGCACAGACCTTTATTAAAGAAATAGAAACGTTACAGAGAAAAGGTCAGGCCGCTGAGTCTTTTCTATGCGAAATGACACGCAGTTTACTGAGGAAGATTCCGAAAATATCACAGGGAAGGAGAAGATCTATTCAATTTGTACTGTATAAAAAGCCCTATTTCCTCTCCTCCACCCTCCCTCCCATCTCTGGCATGGGTAAAACTAGAAACAAAGGTCTGATGGAGTTGCAGGAGCACAGAGCTTTTAGGGGCTGGGAGCTGCATATAGTCTGACACCAAGAGAGCAGAATAAAAGTCATTTGCTGTCAGAATCCAGTTATATTTCATTTCTATCTATCTTCTCTGATATAAAACCAATTCTTACTCTCTCCTGGAACCTGTCATACTATTAAGGGGGAGGGGGGGTATGCAAGGGTTTTTAAATTGCTTTCACTTCCTCTATTCACTACAAAGTAACCTTTTGTTGATCTGCTTCGGATCTTCTAACCCAGTGGTTCTCAACCTTTTTAATGCCGTGACCCCCCCCCAACCGGTCGTAAGTCGAGGACTACTCAACCGGTCGTAAGTCGAGGACTACTCAACTGGTGCAGCACCGTTTGCAGAATGGGACTTTTGATGGGCTCAGCAGGGCAGAGACCGCCTGGACAATTCCTATTGGCTTTTGAAAGCAAATAGAATTAGACTCTATTCAAGAGAGTCTATTCTATTGGCTTTCAAAAGCCAATAGAATAAAAGGGAGTAGCACAGCTAAGGAAAAGGGGAAAAAAATGGCGGACTGCGTTGTTTGGCAACCCCCGTGAAATGGTCGTTCCACCCCAAATGGGGTCCCGACCCACAGGTTGAGAACCACTGGTCTAACCATAATAATGTAGCCATTTGCCTTTCATCCTATGCCCCTCTAAACTTCTCCTCCTTACCTGCCAGCGAGCCGAGCCGGGGTCTGTGTGAGGAGATGTTGAATGATCCTGCCAACTGAGTCAGATTGATGTTATCTTTCCTGGAGTGAACACTTAGAAATCTGCCGGTTTGAATCGCCCCGGGGTGGGGGGCTGCTTAGGGACACTTTAAATAAACATCAAATTGTAAGGGAATCCCTCAGATCCTGTCTATCATGCCTGCTATCAATTTCTATTAATAAAAGTCCCTGTTGGAAGAAACCGTTTCCAAGAGTTCTGCTTTCTTAAGATGTGGATTGAAGTGGATCCTTACATTTGCTACAAATTGGGCAGCAAATAAATTCAATAAACAAACAAACAAACAAGGAAATGGGAAAGGGGTCAAAACAAAGAAGGCGGAGGGTCTGTACTTAATACCCGAGATATATAATTAAATTGTGCTTCCACAACACACAGAAAAAGGCAATCAAAGAAGATGGAGAGACATCGTCAAAGACACACTACAACATCAATTAACAAGGATTGAGGCTGCCAGCAGAGCAAGAACCAGAACTTTGTATCTTCTTTGACACCCAAAGCAGGAGGAGGAGGAGGAGGAAAAACAAAAAGGGGAGGGGGAGGAGAAGATTTTCAGAGGAGCTCTGAGGAATGAGACAAAGCCAGAAGAAGAACATAAAAAACTGAGGGAGTAAGGCTAGCAATGACCTACACCAGGAGTGTCAAACTCAATTTCATTGAGGGCCGCATCAGCATTGCGGTTGCCCTCAGGGGCCTGGGTGGGTGTGGCCAGGGTGGGTGCGGCCTACTGGGTGGGCGTGGATGGAGTGGGTGTGGCCAGCTCTACATCGTTCGTTTCAAGGGTGCCTGTGGGGGCCTGGGCAGGAGTGGGATAGATCTGAGGGTCTCTGGCAGAAGGGGTGGGACCAGGGCAAGTGCCAAGGTACGGTCCACTGGAGGAGCCTCAATCTTCCTCTCAGGCCGGGGGAGGGGGGAGGCTTATGGAGCTAAGATGAGTTTCAGCATAGATGGCCACCACAAAATTGTACATTGGCTCCTGGCCGGCCTGGGCCAGGGCCAAGGCAGTGGGGCCGTTCCCTCACTGTTTCCAGGATGGCTTTGTGGGCCACATGAACCCACTTCGTGGGCCGCATCCGGCCCCTGGGCCTTGTGTTTGACATGTCTGACCTACACGTTCCCTGCTCTTTCCTAAGAACAAGAACAACCACCTTTGGAGGCACAATTTATGTCTCAGTCAAGCTCAATCAAGTAAAAATGTTGCTAAACTAACAACTCCACACAAGGATGTACGGAATCTCTATGGTGATATTGCCAAAATGACAGTTGTTATTTTTTTGAAGATCTAAATTTGCTTTTGTTTAGTTTCTGAATCCTACATATGCTATTGAACAAATGTAATACACAGCCTGGTGCCCGTGGCTATCACACTGCCAGCCTATGTCTTCAAGCTCTCTCAATAGGACAGTCACTCTCTCAATATTTGTACTGATTGCTTTCTCGAGTGTTGCTTTCCAAATTCTCATTATCTTACTGTTAAATTACAGATGAGACTTTAAAAACATATTCCATCTTGATATAACCATCAGCTGTTATTGCTAACTGGCCAAGTATCTCAGGTATATTTAATTTGAATGTTTCTATTTTTTATTGTTTTAAAATGTTTTTAGTTTTGAATGCTATATATATTGGTTGCTAACAAAGAATAAAGAGAGAACTGGTATAGCTATTTCGAGTTCCTTTAACTCTCTTCAGCCAGACTTACTCTTCTGAGATTCGAACCTGGGCTATCTGCATGTTAGGCAGTTGTTATAACCTCTAAGCCACAGGCTCTCTCTCACTTTGTCAGCTGTATCAGGAGTGGGACAGGGGGAGGAGATTTTACCTTGAATGTGCACCCTGTTAGCCCAAATATGGGAGAAAGAAATATATATATAATTGTAAGCTGTCTAGAGTCATTGACTGAGATGAATGGCTATAGAAATTAATTGAATGAATGAATGAAGAATGAATGAATGAAGAAATGAATGAATCTTAATTTTTTTAGCATGTATGACAGTGGTGGTGAACCTATGAGGCGGCACTCAGAGCCCTCTGTGTGGACACAGGTGCCGTCGCCGCAGTCCTAGGCCTTCAGCTGGGTTTTATAAAACCTTTTTGCTTTAGGTCTCCGCCGTGTACAAAAAAAAAAAGTTCAATCAATCAGTCAATTTCAACTTCTCGTGGGAAAAAAAAAGATTTTGCAAAGTTGGAATTGATTGATTGAACTTTTTAGTCCCACCCAGTTACTACTGCAGCCACGCCCACCCAATGGGCCACACCCACTCAATGGGCCACACCCACTCAATGGGCCACACCCACCCGGCACCCGATGATGCAGTTTGGGCACTTGGTCTCTAAAAGGTTCGCCATCACTGATGTAGGATATCCATTTACAAATATTTAATATTGTTTCTGCCTGTTATTTACAAATTACTACAATTGTAATTATACAGATAGTCCTCGACTTACAACAGTTCTTTTAATGACCGTTCAAAGTTATAACGGTACTGAAAAGTGACGTATGACCGTTTTCACACTTACAACCATTGCAGCATCCCCAGATCACCTGAACAAAATTCAGACGCTTGGCAACTGGCTCATAATTAGGACGGTCACACTGTCCCAGGGTCATGTGATCCCCTTTTGTGACCTTCTGGCAAGCAAAGTCAATGGGGAAATCAGACTTACTTAACAACCAGGTTAGTAATAGTAATAGTAATAGTAGTAAAGTTGGAAGGGACCTTGGAGGTCATCTAGTCCAACCCCCTGCTCGGGCAGGAAACCCTACACCATTTCGGACAAATGGCTGTCCAGTCTCTTCTTAAAAACTTCCAGTGTTGGAGCATTTACTGCTTCTGGAGGCAAGCTGTTCCACTGATTAATTGTTCTCACTGTCAGGAAGTTTCTCCTTAGTTCTAGGTTGCTTCTCTCCTTGATTAGTTTCCACCCGTTGCTTCTTGTCCTGCCTTCAGGTGCTTTGGAAAATAGCTTAATTCCCTCTTCTTTATGGCAGCCCCTGAGATATTGGAATACTGCTATCATGTCCCCCCTTGTCCTTCTCTTCGTTAAACTAGACATACCCAATTCTCGCAACCGTTCCTTATATGTTTTAGCCTCCAGTCCCCTAATCATCTTTGTTGCTCTTCTCTGTACTCTTTCTAGAGTCTCAACATCTTTTTTACATCGTGGTGTAAAAAGGTTACTAGCTTAACAGCTGCAGTGATTCACTAAACAACTGTCTTGTTTAGCAACATAAATTTTGGGGTCAATTGTGGTCGCTAAGTCGAACACTACCCGTAATTCCTTCTTTTCTCAAGGCCCTGAAGCACAAAACGACACCATAACGATGTATTCACTGTCTGTCGAAGTTTAAATGGTTCAGCTTTCTAAAGCATACTCTTAGTATCTTTAGACTCTTCCTAATTTTAGTGGGAGACTTTGTTTTCATTGATTTAAAACACTATCAGGAATCGTATCTTAAGAATAATCGCCAAGAATAAGTAGCTCCTTTGAGGGGGATTTCCCAAGTGAGAAATGATGGATCTCATTTTTAATATCTCCCCAGAAAAGATGAAGGCTTCTTCACCAAGCTTTCTGTCCCCTCATGTCCCCGACTCACCTCTGTTCTGCAAAAGTGAGGCAGGTGGGCGTGGCTGTAGACCCCACAGGTTTTCCATCCCATTTCTGTCCTTCAGGTCCAGCAAATGGATTAATATGAAGGGATCTATATCCAGCAAGCTGCTACTGGCAGAATTGAGTGCATTTCCTCGCTTTGACAAGGGGCTGGCTGTTGTGCGGTATGCATGGCTCCCACCTAGAGGAGGAGGAGGAGGAGAAGAAGAAGAAGAAAAATGAGTAGTTTGCAACAATTTTAGGCACTCAGTAATTCTTAGATGTCAGCTAGAGTTACTACTACTACTACTACTAATAAAGTTGGGAGGAACCTTGGATGTCATCTAGTCCAACCCCCTGCTCAGACAGGAAACCCTAGACAATTTCGGACAAATGGCTGTCCGGTCTCTTCTTAAAAACTTCCAGTGTTGGAGCATTCACTGCTTCTGGAGGCAGGTTGTTCCACTGGTTAATTGTTCCCACTGTCAGGAAGTTTCTCCTTAGTTCTAGGTTGCTTCTCTCCTTGATTGGTTTCCATCCGTTGCTTCTTGTCCTGCCTTCAGGCGCTTTGGAGAATAGCTTGACTGCCTCTTCTTTGGGGCAGCCCCTGAGATACTAGAACACTGCTATCATGTCCCCCCCTCGTCCTTCTCTTCATTAAATTGGACATACCCAATTCCAGCAGCCGTTCCTTATATGTTTTAGACTCCAGTCCCCTAATCATCTTTGTTGCTCTTCTCTGCACTCTTTCCAGAGACTCCAACATCTTTTTTACATGGTGGTCACCAAAACTGGATGCAGTTGGACAATCTTATTAGCATTGCCTCTAATAGTGAAATCAACTTTGAACACTAGCAAACGTGTACCTAACAGACCCATAGAGAAATAAGAAAATGACCATATTAAGCTATTTTGTGGAGAAATATAACATTTCCCCTCCCCCCCACACACAAAATAGCCTAACATGGTTTCAAAATCTTGTACTTGGGAAGACAGAAATGCAGGCTAGAAAATATTTGTTTCTTTATACATTTAGAAACGTAAGACAAGGAAATAGAATATATGTACCCAGCAATTAAAAATATAAAATGATTGGTTTATTTGATTTTCTAGCAATCCAAAACAGAGGTGCTAGATATGGATAGATCTTCAAATGGTGCTAAATATGGGATATGTGTCATCACAAGAATGAAAAGACATGAACCCTTTCTCTGTTGATGCATGACAGATTTAATCATTTTTAAAAATAAAGATATAAAGAAATCTGTATCAATCAGTTAATAGTTGAAACCAAACTATCAAACCATCTTGTCTCCAGAAGTTAAAAACACTGGAAGTTTTTAAGAAGAGACTGGACTACCATTTATCTGAAATGATATAGGGTTTCCTGCCTGACCAGGGGGTTGGACTAGATGACCTCCAAGATCCTTTCCAACTCTGATATTTTGTTATTAAACCATGTTAAGAAATGGAACTGCAGATATGAAGGAATGAGGAGGATCCAGGAACAAAGTTAAAAATTCAGAACCAATACAAAATCAACCACCGGCCAACAATCATTAAAAACACTTAAAACAATAAAAGTATTATTGTTTACATTATGAAACTATTTAAATTGTTAGTTAGGTCTCTTGATTTTTCCAATTATGAGCTCTCTTTAAAAAGGAAGAAGAAAAGTTGGGTAGCATACTCCTGTTGATAAGTAGTCTAGAATTAATTTAATAAGGGATTAATTTAACTGGGAAGTCAAATTCCCATTTTAAAGCTCCTTAAAAACAGGTGATTAAGAACAAGAAAGGAATAGAATGAGAGATCCTTTTAAATGAGTGGGCTACAGAGACTGTTAACTGAGCAGTTCACCAACATCAAATACTTAAAAGGGGGGGGGAACCTAAATAATGCATTCAGTCATTTTGCTCTGAGACATCATGTCTCCATTTCTGCTGTTGTAAAGGAGGTGGTATTAATCAGCTAAATATAAATTAATTTCTCAGCTCGGAAGAAATTCTGTCAAAGGTATAATTTGCCTGCCATATACCAGTGATGGTTATCTAAGTCACAATAGGATTTTGACAGTTATAAACAGAACTGTAATATGAAAATACAGATACTGTTCCCTACTGCCCATAATATACCTGGCAAATCTGTCCCAGATATCCACATTTGCAGCATAATTTTACTAGCCTTGCAGTGTTTGTTTAAAAACAACGCTTTTCCAATTATTAAAAAAAAAAAATCTCATCAAATACAGGTAGTCCTCGACTTACAACAGTTCATTTAGTGACCTTTCAAAGTTACAACGGCACTGAAAAAAGTGACATAACCATTTTTCACACTTATGACCGTTGCAGCATCCCCCAGGGTCATGTGATTTACATTCAGATGCGTGACCACTGACTCATATTTAATAATAATAATAATGATAAAGTTGGAAGGGACCTTGGAAGTTGCAAGTATCCTGGGGTTACGTGATCCCCTTTTGCAACCTTCCGACAAGCAAAGTCAATGGGGGAAGCCAGATTCACTTAACAACCGGGTTGCTAACTTAACAACTGCAGGGATTCACTTAACAACTGTGGCAAAAAGGTCATAAAACGGGGCAAAATTCACTTAACAAATTTCTCACTTAGGAACATGAATTTTGGATTCAATTGTGGTCGGACGTCAAGGACTACCTGTATGAAGAATCTGTTTCTGAATTACATTCAAATCAACCATGCAAAAGACAGATGTATTTAAATTCTTCTATATCTACTATCTAAACCAGGGCTTTTCAACATTTTCACCCACTGTACCACTTTTAGGATATGGCAACATCCGAGTACCACCAGTCGCCTAGCAAGGTGTCAAAAACGTGACGACCCCCCCCAAAAAGGAAAAAAAGTGATAAAGTACAGGTAGTCCTCGACTTACAACAGTTCGCTTAGTGACTGTTCGAAGTTACAGTGCCACTGAAAAAGGTGCCCCCAAGCCACAGCCGAGCAAGACACCTGCCTGCCTGCCCAACAACACTCTTCCTCCTGTCCGAGGTTTTCATTGTTGTGAGCATTTCTGTTGAGGATTGGCAGTGGGGGTGGGGTGGGGGGGTGTTTCGTTTTTACTCCCCGTCTGTTGGGTGGTTGCAGCAGGTTTTGGTCACTTCACATGACCCTGGGACACTGTGACCGTCATAAATATGAATCAGTCGCCAAGCATCTGAATGTAAATCACAAGACCGTGCAGATGCTGCAACATTCCAGCTGATCGGCGCTTCTTCTGGGCTCAGCAGAAGTGCCAGGATCAGTGCTGCTTTCCAGCTGATTGGTGCTTCTTCAGGGTTCAGCAGAAGCACCAGGATCAGCGCCGAGCTCCAGCTGGAGCCTGGCGCTGATCCTGGCGCTTCCGCTGAGCCCTGACAGCTCTGCAGCTCCAGCCATCTCTCGCTCAGGCTTGTGCGGTGCTGTCACCGGTTCAGCTTGTTCCTCTCCCCCGCTACCACTTTTCTAGGATGGTCGCTTACCACCTGCCAGGTGCCAATGTGCCACAGGTGGTACCCGTACCACTGGTTGAAAACAATGTACATCAGAAGAACATCAGAAGTTTTAAAAGAAGGCATTAAAGCTTCCTACGTTAAAAAGAGACAAATGCCCAGGAACAGTCTTTTCCCTGCAGTATGGCAAACCTCTCAAAAACTCAACTTTCTCTCATAGCCATCCCCAAACGTAATCTCACAGCTAGCATTATACCGATACGCTTTTTTTTTTAAATCCCAGCTGCAAGCCTCCTTTGAATTTGAGCTAAAGGGATGACCGCCCTACATTAAATAATCTCTACACGTGATATGTGATGCAGCAGTTCCAAAAATAGAAAATCCTACAGAATCCCCAACTCCACGTGGCTTCTGAGGTGGAGAAAGGAAGAAGGGATGCTTTACACAGAAATGCCATTATAAAAAAGCCTTTTCTCTACGTATACCTGAGGCACCTGCTGGGGCAGAGGTAGCTTCTTCTACCAGGTCTCCTTCCTCCAGTTCCATGTTGTGAGTGTATTCCACATCGTTCTCTCCAGACCTTGAGGGCAAAGTAAGGTCACAAAGTCCTTGTTAAGCTTCAGGTTTGAGAAAACGTTCATTGTACAAGTACAGTTTGAAGGATTCTGAGTTGCACAGAAATTACAATTTCACTGTAGTAGGATAAAATCCTGAATTCATCTGCACCTAGGGGCAGCTGCAACACAAAGTAGAAACAGTGACCTGTGGTAATGGAATCAACTGGACCAGTGGTTCTCAACCTTTTTAATATATATACATTGCTTACTGGTGTACACCGCTTAGAGAGTGCTTGCACTTAAAGCGGTATATAAGTCTCATAAATAAATAAATAATAAATAAATAAATAAATAAATAATTTATAAATTATAAATAATAAATAATGCCGCGAACCCCCCCCCCAACCAGTCGTAAGTCGAGGACTACTCAACCGGTCATAAGTCGAGGACTACTCAACTGGTGCAGCACCGTTTGCAGAAGGGGACTTTTGGCGGGCTCAGCAGGGCAGAGACAGCCTGGACAATTCCTATTGGCTTTGGAAAGCCAATAGAATTAGACTCTATTCAAGAGAGTCTATTCTATTGGCTTTCAAAAGTGAATAGAATAAAAGGGAGTAGCACAGCTAAGGAAAAGGGGGGGGGAAAAAAATGGCGGACTGCGTTGTTTGGCGACCCCCATGAAATGGTCGTTCGACCCCAAATGGGGTGCCGACCCACAGGTTGAGAACCACTGAACTGGACCATTTCAGAGGGAAAATGACAAAGTACAGATCTCAGAGAGCTACTTAAGGTGCTCCTAAAGTGGTGGATTTTTATATCTGAAGTAAGGTTAGTTAGATTAGATGATCAGAGATCCTCTTTTAGAATACAGATAGCCCTCGACTTACAACCACAATTGAACCCAAAATTTCCATTGCGAAGCGAGGCAGTTAAGCGAGTTGTGCCCCATTTTACAAGGTTTTTTTTGCCACAGCTGTTAAGAGAATCATTGCAGTTGTTAAGTGGATCTGATTTCTCCCATGGACTCTGTTTGGCAGAAGCCAGCTGGGAGGTTACAAAGTGATCATATGACCACTGGACAGTGCAACGGTCATAAATACATTCCAGTTGCCAAGTGCCCGAATTTGGATCGTTTGACCATGGGAATCTTACAATGTCACTTTTTTCAATGCACTTGTAATAATGGTTGTAAGTCAAGGGCTACCTGCATGCACTTTTATAAATTCAACAAAAAACAAAACAAAAAGAGAAACTCTCAGAGGAGACAAAAATAGTTCAACTAAAGTTTGACCTTCTAGAGCATGGGTCGCCAATCCCCGGGCTGTGGACCAGTACCAGTCTGCAGCCTGTTAGGAACTGGGCTGTGGAAGTGAGCGAAGCTACATCTGTCCATGCACGGGATTTAAGTAGCATGTGAAACGATCCCCCCTCCAAAGGCTGTGGAAAAATTGTCTTTTCTGGAAACCGGTCCCTGCTGCTAAAAAGATTGGGGACTTCTGCTCTACAGCCTAGGCACTCTTAGCCCCCCCATCCCATCATCCCTGCGCCACCACTAGAGATATGACTTGCCTCTATTAAACTGTGGGTGCTCCATCACTGGAGGTTTTTAAGAAGAGATTGGACAGCCATTTGTCTAAAATGATATAGCAGTGATGGCGAACCTTTTAGAGATCAAGTGCCCAAACTGCAACCCAAAGCCCACTTATGTATCGTCGGGTGCTGGGTGGGTGTGGCCAATTGGGTGCGCGAATGAAATGTGGTGGTGACGGCAGACGGGGTGGGACTAAAAAGTTCAATCAATCAATTCCAACTTTGTGAGATCTTTTTTTTTCCCCCACGAGAAGTTGAAATTGATTGATTGATTGAACCTTTTTTTTTTTGCGCACGCCGGCAGAGGCCTAAAGCGAAAAGGTTTTACAAAACCCAGCTGAAGGCCTAGGACTGGGGCGACGGCGCGCATGCCCACAGAGAGGGCTCTGAGTGCCACCTCTGGCACCCGTGCCATAGGTTCGCCACCACGGGTATAGGGTCTCCTGCTTGAGCAGAGGTTTGGATTAGAAGACCTCCAAATGTCCCTTCTAACTCTGTTCTGAGATTTGACCCCAATTTTTGGAGAGAACATTAATCTATCCCTTATTTAGAAGGTCCTTTTCGTCCATTAAATTCTATGGATTTATCTATAAAACATCTCCAGCCTTCCAATCTGATTGTCAGGTTTACAATGAAAGTACTTCACAACACAGCTTAAATGTATGGATTAGTTGCAGTCTCATCCTACGCACCGGAAGTCTCACCAAGCTGAGTGGATGTGAAACATCTCGGCTTTAGGCTTATATGAACATTTAAGCCTTCCCGGTGACATTTTTGGAACATCGTTGAAGGGCTGGGGATATTTCCCCCCCCACACACACACACGCACTCAGGGACGTGAGGGGACATCACATATCAACATAGGCAGGGAAAGGAAACCCCTGCCGTGACTTACATGGTCTCTTCGTCTATGTCATTTTCCTCTGTGTTGCTGGTGGCGGTTGAGCTCACGGAGGAACTGCTGCCGTCCAAATGGTTTGCTTCCTCTTGCCCAACGAAGTCAACGTCCAAATCCCCGTCGGAGAGCTCGTGCTGCAATTCAGAGCGGATTTGGGACCAAAAGGCTTACTCTGAGTAACGGTGGCAAAGGAAGCAGCGATTCTCACGAACGGCTGATTCGAAAGAAAAGCACGACTCTGAAAAATCAGGAGCACGGAAACTTCCCTGCGTACACTTCAAATCCTCTGTTTATAAAGCCAAGGAGGTGAATTATAGGGAGTCCTCGACTTCAACAGTTCATTTAGTGCAGGGGTGTCAAACTCAATTTCATTGAGGGCCGCATCAGCACTGCGGTTGCCCTTGGGGAGGTGGCCTACTGGGTGGGCATGGATGGAGTGGGTGTGGCCTACTGGGTGGGCGTGGCCAGCTCTACATCGTTCGTGTCAAGGGTGCCTGTGAGGGCCTGGGCAGGAGTGGGACAGAAGGGGGTGGGACTGGGGCAAGGGCCAAGGCACGGTCCATTTCTTCATTCCTCACAAAGGGTGACACCTCCCAGCATGCACCCAGGGGTAGGGCCAATGCAGCAGGGGCTGGTTCCTTGCTGTTTCCAGACGGCCTTGTGGAGCTAAGACTGAATGCGTTTCAGCATAGATGGCCACCACAAAATTGTACATTGGCTCCCAGCCGGCCTGGGCCAGGGCCAAGGCAGAGGGGGCCGTTTCCTCACTGTTTCCAGGATGGCTTTGCGGGCCACATGAAACCACTTCGCGGGCCTTGTGTTTGACATGTCTAATTTAGTGATTGTTCAAAGTTACAACGGCACTGAAAAAAAAGTGACTGTGACTGTTTTTCACACTTACGACCATTGATGCATCCCCACGGTCATGTGATCAAAATTGACACACTTGGCAACTGACTCACATTTATGACAGTTGCAGTGTTCTAGGATCATGTGATCCCCTTTTGTGACCTTCTGGCAAGCCAAGACACTGGGGGAAGCGAGATTCACTTTAACTGTGTCACTAATTTAACAACGGCAGTGATTCACTTAGCTGTGGCATGAAAGGTCGTCAAACGGGGCAAAATTCACTGAACTGTCTCATTTGGCCACAGAAATGTTGGGCTCAATTACGGCTGTAAGTCGAGGACTATCTGTATTTCCCTTGCGGATATGAGGGTCGGGGGAAAAGAAGGAAAAGCAATGGAATGTAGCATTACTTATCCTTTTCTCACATCGTAAGTAATCTTTAATAAGTTTAGGTAGTTCCTCAACTTATGACCAGAATCCTGGGACCAGGATTTCCATTGCTAAGCAATGTGACTGTTAAATAGTGGTGCTTAATTGTATGACCTTCCCCCCCCCCACGATTAATAAGTGAATACAGTTGTTAATAAGTGAATCACTGCAGTGGTGAAGCAAATCCAGCTTCCTCTATTGCAGCGGTCTTCTAACTTGGCCCTTTTTATGACTTGTGGACTTCAACTCCCAGAATTCCTCAGCCAGGCATGCTGGCTGAGGAATTCTGGGAGTTGGAAGTCCACAAGTCTTGAAGAGGCCATAGTTCCATGCTGGCTGAGGAATTCTGGGAGTTGGAAGTCCACAAGTCATGAAGGGGCCATAGTTTCCCCATGCTGGCTGAGGAATTCTGGGAGTTGGAAGTCCACAAGTCATGAAGGGGCCATAGTTTCCCCATGCTGGCTGAGGAATTCTGGGAGTTGAAGTCCACGAGTCATGAAGGGGCCATAGTTCCCCCATGCTGGCTGAGGAATTCTGGGAGTTGAAGTCCACAAGTTATAAAGGGGCCAAGTTTGAAGACCCCCCTGCTCTATTGACTTGGTTCATCAGGGAAAGTTGCAAATGGTGATCATGTGACCCTAGAACACTGCAACCATCATTAAATACATGCCAGTTCCCAAGCACCCTATTTTTGATCATGTGACCACAGAGATGCTGTGATGGACCTAACGACCGTCTTCCTTAGCAACAGAAGGGTTGGGCTGAATGGTGGACTACCTGTAGTCCACACAACAGAACCACAAGTATGCGGTAAATTCACTGGAACAGGCGGCAAGAATACTGACATTAAAATCTTCATACTGTACTTTTTCCTCCTCTTCTTCTTCTGTGTCTCTGGGGGGCGCTGTGCTGGCCACAGCCTCAAGAAGCACGTCTGAGCTTGGTGCTGATTTCTTGGGTCTCATTTCCAGGCCGTTGTCGCTTTGTGGGCTCAGGTGACTATCTGGAGGGGAGACGCCACGGGATTTCTGGGTCCGGGAAAGCTCGATCGCCAGCCTCTTCATTTTTTTTAAACAAGTGAAAAAGAAGAAAAAAACACGACACTGAACAGTTGTGCTGATGGGCTTTCTGAGAGCAGAGAGAGCAGGACCCAACCCAAACTAATGTGCCCTAATCTGGGAGCAGCACTGGTACGAGAGTCCTCTGTAAAGACGATACCGAATAAGGTATTTTTCTAGAATTTTGGAAATGATTAAAAAGGTAAAAGTAGTTAAAAGGGACTGATTTAATAATGGGAAACCACAAAGGGATAAAAGCAACTGACGTTGGGAAATTAAAAGGGGGGGGGGGAAGGAAATTCTGAATTCTGAGGGAGATGGGCCGTTAAGAAATACAAAATATAAATAAATATAAATAAGTAAAATGTGGCTGAGTAGTGTATATATATATATATATATATATATATATAATATATATATATATATATATATATATATATATATAGTCCAGGCCATGGTTTTCCCAGTTGCAATGACGGCTGTGAAAGTTGGACCATAAGAAAGGCTGAGCGCAAAGAATTGAGGCCTTTGAACTATGGTGCTGGAGAAGACTCCTGCGAGTCCCTTGGACTGCAAGGCGTTCAAACCGGTCAGTCCTAGAAGAGATCAACCCCGACTGCTCTTTAGAAGGCCAGATCCTGAAGTTGAAACTCAAGTACTTTGGCCACCTAATGAGAAGGAAGGACTCACTGGAGAAGAGCTTAATGCTGGGAAAGATTGAGGGCAATAGAAGAAGGGGACGACAGAGAATGAGATGGCTGGATGGAGTCACTGAAGCAGTAGGTGTGAACTTAAATGGACTCCAGAAAATGGTAGAGGACAGGAAGACCTGGAGGAACGTTGTCCATGGGGTCGCGATGGATCGGACACGACTTCGCAATTAACAACAACAACAACAACAAGCATATATCTGAAAAGTGGCTAAATTATATACAGCAGTGGTTCTCAACCTGTGGGTCGGGACCCCATTTGGGGTCGAATGACCATTTCACGGGGGTCGCCAAACCACACTGTCTGCCATTTTTTTCCCTTTTCCCTAGCTGTCCTACTCCCTCTTATTGGTGGCCACACCCACTTGGGGGTCACCACAACAATGGGAACTGTATTATGGGGTCACGGCATTAGAAAGGTTGAGAACCACTGATATACAGAATTTAGGTGTAAAACTGATTCAATATTAAGCAAGATTAAGTCCGTCTTTTATACAGGTAATCTTCAACTTATGACCACCATTGGCACCACAATTTCCATTTCCAATAGCAATAGCACTTAGACTTATATACCGCTTTATAGTGCTTTAGAGCCCTTTCTAAGTGGTTCACAGAATGAGCATATGGCCCCCAACAACCTGGGTCCTCATTTTACCGACCTCGGAAGGACAGAAGATCGAGTCAACCTTGAGCTAGTGGTGAGAATCGAACCGCCAAACTGCAGGCAGCTGGCAGAAGTAGTCTGCAGTACTGCCTTCTAACCGCTGCGACACCACGGCTCAGCAAAGGCAGTTGCTAAATGAGTCGCATCCATTTTTACAATCTTTTTTGGCCACAGTTGTTAAGCAAATCACTGTGGTTAAATAAAACAGGTGGTCATTAAGGGAATCTGACTTCCCCCATTGACATGGTTGTCAGAATCCCCAGGAAGGTCGCAAATGGGTGATCACGTGACCCCAGATTGTTGCAACTGTCAGCAATTGACAGTTTTGATCCTGTGACCGTGGGGATGCTACCACGGTCGTACATGCGAAGACCGGCTGTAAGTCAATATTTCAGTGCCGTTTGCAATTTCAAGAGGTCACTAAACAAATGGTTGTAAGTCGAGGACTACCTACATATCTTAGCTTGAACCTTTTCACACAATGAATTAGAAAAAAAGGAAGACGTCCGTTATGAAGTTCTTGGGGAGCCAACAAAACATAGAGAAGGAAAATAAGCATGGCTTTAATTCTCTCTGCGGCCAAAGGCAGGAGTAGTATTTTAATGTTTTAAACATTAAACATTTTTATGTTTTATGGTTTTAATACAATTTACACGTTGCTTTAACTTTGGATTGGGAGCCATCCAGAGTTGGTTAGGAGATGGGCCGCTATGTAAATGTTTCAAACATGATAAATATTTTACGTATTTATAAATATATAAATAGGTATAACAGTTTATCAAATACATATAAAATATAAATATAAAAATAATTATATAATTATATATTAATTATATTACACCATTTTATCTTAAATATAACAAATATATTAAATATTTATATAATAATAATATATCTTTGAACTATGGTGCTGGAGAAGACTCCTGCGAGTCCCTTGGACTGCAAGGCGTTCAAACCGGTCAGTCCTAGAAGAGGTCAACCCTGACTGCTCTTTAGAAGGCCAGATCCTGAAGTTGAAACTCAAATACTTTGGCCACCTAATGAGAAGGAAGGACTCACTGGAGAAGGGCCTAATGCTGGGAAAGATTGAGGGCAATAGAAGAAGGGGACGACAGAGAATGAGATGGCTGGATGGAGTCACTGAAGCAGTAGGTGTGAACTTAAATGGACTCCAGAAGATGGTAGAGGACAGGAAGACCTGGAGGAACGTTGTCCATGGGGTCGCGATGGGTCGGACACGACTTCGCAATTAACAACAACAACAAAATATAATATATAAAATGTATATATACATACACAAAGTCTTGAGTGTTGTTTTTTTTTTATGCACCCTGTTGGCCCAAATATGGGAAGAAGATTGGGCTGACACACACAATTTATATAAAATGTATAAAATATATGAATGGCTATATCAGGGATAGGCAACCTTGGTTCTTTTATGACTCGTGGACTTCAACTCCCAGAATTCCTGAGCCAGCATAGCTGGCTCAGGAATTATGGGAGTTGAAGTCCACGAATCATAAAAGAGCCAAGGTTGCCTACCCCTGGGCTATATAAATGTTTAAAAAAAAAGAAAAAAGAATTCTAAATAAATAAACACATACATTCTATGTGCAGTAGCACTGCTTACCTCTTTCAGATTATTTATTTGCTGGACGTAGCTTGTTTGAGCCGCTTCCAGCTGAGAAATGTACCAATACTGATCCCGACATTTTTGGAAGAACGTAGGTGAACGCACCTGGAAGCTTTAGAAGAAGCATGTCAAAAGTTTCTCTAAGCTCCTTCAAGAAAATGCAAGTCATTTCAGCAGCTCGATTCTCTCCAAGCTCCTCCAGGGTGTATATGTTACCCCAGTCCAAACAGGATGGCGTTATTAGGAGAGAAGAGTTGTGTTATCCTACACCAGTGGTGGTGAGCCTACGGCACACGTGCCAGAGGCGGCACTTGGAGCCCTCTCTGTGGGCACATGTGCCACTGCCCCAGCCTCGCCGCCCCCCCACGACCCCCTTACCAGCAGCCCCCCTGGAGGAGTCGCCCCTGAGCGTGGCTCATGCAGAGCAGCGCAGCCAAGGACATGGCAGCCAGGCAGTGTAGACAAGACTCTGCCCTCATGCCCCATTGTACACAGTTGATGCTGCGGGGCGCGGGCAGAGAGTGTGGCTGCCATGGCGCCGCTGGGCTACCTGGGCAATCTGTGGCAGGTCCTGGAGGCGGTGAATGGCCCTATGGGGAGGCGGGGCGGGGGATGATGTGGGGGCAGGGCAGGGGGTGGAGTGGGGGCGGGGCCAGGTTTTGGGCCCTTGGTCTCTAAAAGGTTTGCCATCACTGTCCTACACTATCTCATTTACTTCAAGGGATTAAGGCTTTAAACTGCATTCAGCTAATTAAACTGGCTGATGCTAAAATGTCACTGTTTGTTTGATGCCTGTTTATTTGGCTTCTCAAGTGGGACTGGGAAAATTGTATTTCCTTTTAACAATAAATGCTAGCTGTTATTCGTTCAGCTGCAATAATCCCAGTAAGAAATCTGTTAAGAGATTTAAGCAATTATCTAATTTTGCTTAGGGTCCACCAGCTACAAGACACAATTAGTCATTGGCATTTATTTTAACATTTATTTGTCATTCTTAAAAACCAGATTTTCCCAGGATGGCTTATAACAAATTAAAAACGCCCAAAATTCTAAAACAATCAAAATATACATTGAAACACTATAATTAAAATATGTAAGAGGGAAACAATAAAAAAGAACAATAAAAGATTAAAATGCCCCATGAGAAAAAAAAATGTATCTGGCACAGAAAAGATATTAAAGACTGTCGCAAGTCAATTGGATGTTCTTGCTTTGACATCGTGGACCTCAACTCCCAGAATTCCTGAGCCAGCATGGCTCAGCTTGGAAACCTCTCCTTTTCCCCTCAGCACAGCTGGCTCAGGAATTCTGGGAGTTGAAGTCCATGAGTCATAAAAGAGCCAAGGTTGCCTACCCCTGCTGTAGACAATATTCCAGAGAAGGGCTACCAATGAAAAGGTCCCCCTCTTATTTTTGAACCCTGTACAATGTATTTTCACAAGGAAAACATTTAAGACCAAGAGCCCCTAATGTAGCATAAAGAAGTTTCCTATCCTATTGCCATGAAGCCCAACTATAATGTCCTTTCATCTTTCTTACCGTAATATGACGGTGTCGTTCTGCCTGTTCAAATAGCCTTCGTTGGCAAGCAGATCTAGTCGGAAAAACCTGTTGTAACCCCAGCATTCCCCAACTTCAAAATCAGATGCAAATTCTCTGATGATGTTTTTTGCAGAATCATTAGTGGATTGGTGGACCATCTCAACACGGTATTCATATCTGGAAGGGAAGGGGGAAGGGGGGAAGGGGGGAAGGGGGGAAGGGAGGGAGGGAGGGAGGGAGGGAGGGAGGGAGGGAGAGAGGAAGGAAGGAAGGAAGGAAGGAAGGAAGGAAGGAAGGAAGGAAGGAAGGGCACAGTAAGTATTTTGATCTTCACACATTATACCTGTACTTTCCCGTATCATCTCCAGGGAATTTTTGAATCAATTTGGGTATATATAACAAGATTTAATAAGGGAAATAAGAAGAAAATAATACTGAATGGTGCCAAAGAACTGAATTACACAGGTGGAAATTTAATCCAGAGGTAGTAGGTGCTGCTTCTCAGAGGCCATGCTGGTGCTACAAAACATTCTGCCTATGTAGATCAAAATAGTACCTCGTCTTGATGGCTCTCAGAAAGTTATTAAAAATTGAACTTTGCAAGAGAGCATTCCAGAGATATTTACCTAGTAGTACAACATTTTTTTTTAATTTCCTATTTATGTTATTTTTCCCATTATGCTAGATATTGCTAGTTTTATGACTTGGCTTATATATATATATATTATTTCAATTAAACTGCAAATGTTTGAAATTTTTGCACATTTTGTACAAGAGTGGCAAGTTCATAGTGGGATACAAATACAGAAAAGAATAGTTGTAGGTCAGGGTTGAACTGAGGGGGTTTCAAACTCAGAGAACACCAAGAACCCTATAGTAAGCAGAAACTATCTGGTTAATGAAGTTAAATGTAACCTCAAATATTTTAAAAAGATATCAGACGCCATATTTTTGCACTTTAAGAGACAGGAGAGCTTGTCTTACATGCAGTAGTTTGTACAAAATACTGAGAAAAAAAGATGAGTCAAAAGTCAAGGATATGAGAAAGTTAAAGGCTGCAAAACACATTATTTTCCAAAATTTTAGGTACACATTAACAATTGATGGAGGCCCTCTTGATCAAAAGAATGCAGTGAATAAAAATCAATGGATTTGTTTTCCTGGACTCATGAAAAACAACCCAATGTCCCACTTCATCTAGAAAATTTACAAGATATTGGTATACAATATGTTTTCAAGGATGCATATTCCAAATTTATATTTTTATTGATCATTTAAAAGATATACAAAACTTCTGATTAGAAAAACACATTAAAGGTACTACTGTGGTGCAAAGCAGAGCAAAAAAAGAAAGAAAAGAAAACGAGTGAAAAATGAAACATGCAGGTTCTGGCCATCCCACGCAAGACTGTGCATGAAATGCCAAGGGCACTGCAGATGGTGTGGTGCCTTGGCATTAAAATGCCACCAAATGGTTTAAAATGAGAAGAGACAAATAAGTACATAACCAACCTTAGAAACTTATTTGGAAGACTTAAAGTATTCACTGACAGTTATACCCTATCCTGAAAAAATTGAAGCAATCAGGATAAAAACTAAATTTCACAAAAATAAAGCTAAGGACCAGGACCAGGATTTTGGTTTACACTTATGGAAAGATGCATTCAGGTCCAATACATGATTTTATTTTAAATGTTATGAGCATTTTAGGAGAAAAAAATCCTCTTTTATGCATGGAAGGCAGGCAAATTTCTCAGCTGGACTTCAGTTCCCTGTCAAAGTTAAAATATCTCTCTACCTCAAGTTCAGCACAATATCCTGCTTGGTAAAAGGAAACTACACTATTTACACAACACACATCACTTTCCCTTTAAACTGACAGCAATTAACAGTCACACAGTTTCAGGATATCTTTGTGCAATACACAATAGGCAGAGCTAAAGAATAAAGCCAGAAGTTTCAAAACTTCTAGTAACAGTTTTATTTATTTATTATGAAATTTAATAACAATTTCACAGAACCCTTTCTAATCTGGAAGATGATTTCAAAGGGGAATTTTTTTTGCCAATTTCCATGTAACTAAAAATTCATTCTTCAGTGTTTATTTATTGTTCGCCTTTCTACCCCACTGCGACGCAGAGATTCTTGTAGCTTGCATATAGTAGAAAACAAACAAACACCAATCATAATAATAAAATAGTAAAATAAATATCGTGCCAGTAAGAAAGCTGTAAGCAATAAAAAGGGAACAGAAAGATGGCTTGATAAAATTCGAAGTCTCTCAGGAACACGGCGAGCCTAAGGCTACTGAAAGGCCAACGAGGAGGTGGTTAGCCTGATCTCAACTGGAACGCTGCTCTATGGCATCAGAGGAAAAACAGTTATTTCTTCACTTTAGCACAGTGTTTCTCAACCTTGACAATTTTAAGGCATGTGGACTTCAACTCCCAGAATTCCACAGCCAGTAATGCTAGCTGTGGAATTCTGGGAGTTGAAGTCCACATGCCTTAAAATTGTCACGGTTGAGAAACACTTTAGCACTTAGAACGCCCCCAAATGGAGCATCAATAGCAGATTCTCCTTGTTTGATTGAATTGGCTGGGCTGATAATGGATAGAATCTGTGGTCCTGCAAATGTTGTGTTGTGAAAGTGCAGCCTGGAAAGATCAAGTTTTTTATTCTCTAGAACAGACATGTCAAACTCGTCGTTACGGAACTTTTTTCCCATTGCAGGCAATGGGGTGGGCGCCATTTCCTCGTGACGCGTGCGGCCCGTGGACCGGCAGTTTGACACCCCTGCTCTGGAAGAACATTTTAAACGTGACCACCATCTTTCCATTTTCTCTTATAATTCCTAGCCAGATGCCGGAGTTTAGCAAGTTAGATTTATAAAAGGCAAACTCAGAGAATAAAGAAACATAACTGTACCTCCACTTACATTAACACAACATTAATTAGGGATTGTCATCTGGTAGGACCTCAAAAAAGGGCCTTTTGTTGATGGTCCCTTCTTTATGGAAAATCATCCCCAAGGTACGGTTGGCCCTCACCTTGTTGCTTTTCTGAAAGGCCTAAAAACTTAGTTGTGTCAGTGGGCCCAGGGAGCACGAATGGAGACGGAGCTGATTAAATGGCTGATTTGATTGTGTTGTTACTGCCATGGAGGGTAAATAAAGTTTTTTTTTAATGGTCTTTATGGTGGATTTTTTAAATTTTGTAAGCTGCTCAGAGTAACATATGTGAGAATTGGCTATATACATTTGTTTAATAAATAATAAACACAGAACAATGTTCATTTCACGTAATGGATGCCATAGATAATATCAGATGCTTGCATTAGTTCTTACTTGGATGTTTCTGGCAATCCAGCTGAGAGCTCAAGAAATACTGATAAATAGTAGCCACGTACCACTCCATTTCCATCCTTCATAAAAAATAAAATAAAATAGAAGTTAGGAATGAGTCCGGAGCAATCCAAAGAGCTTTTGAGGTTCCAATTTATAGCTCTCTACTGTGACAGAAGTCAATTTCTTATCAGATACAGAGCTCACCAGATCTAAAGTTAAGAGGGGTAAATTTTTGAATACTGCCTTGCAACTTTCTTTCTTTCTTTCTTTCTTTTTCTTTCTTCTCTCTCTCTTTCTTTCTGACTCAAAGAAACGGCTTGTTCACTGAAACTCATATCCCTTGTGTCACCTGATACAAAGCACCTTAAGGCAGGGCAAGAAGAAATGGATGGAAACTAATCAAGAAGGGAAGCAACCTGGAATTAAGGAGAAACTTCCTAACAGTGAGAACAATTAATCAGTGGAACTCCTTGCCTCCAGAAGTTGTGGGTGCTCCAACACTGGAGGTTTTCAAGAAGAGACTGGTCAGCCATTTATCTGAAATGGTATAGGTCTCCTGCTTGAGCAGGGGGTTGGACTAGATGACCTCCAAGGTCCCTTCCAACTCTGTTATTCTGCAATTTTATCATTGTTATACCATGTGCTGACAGCTTGAACACCTAACAAAAAGTCCCCCCATAATGAATCAAAGTTCACTGTTTCTCAGTCAGCAGAATAAGCTTGATATTCACTTAGTAAGCAGAATGTAACAGAAAGCTACAGAGGTTCTGATTGCAAAGGTTCAAATATGATAAAACAATGAATAGGACGACTTGTACAAAGGTTAAACAAGCTGCCAATGCAAGTGATTGTTTTATTTTGTATCTAGTTTTGCTATATTTTCAAACAATTTGTTTAAACAGGAAAGGGCTCAAGTGTAAAAAATGTGCAGGCTTTCCCAAAAGAAGGAATTGTGATAAAGCATATTAAGTAGCAACCCTGACACGACTCATTTAAAAAAATAATGGACTTGATTTTTAATAGTCAATGAACATTACTTGGGTTAATCAGCCTTTTTTAGGGCAGTGGTTCTCAACTTTTCTAATGCCGCAACCCCATAATACAGTTCCCCATATTGTGGTGACCCCCAACCACTTATACATCACCGGGTGCCAGGGGCGTGGCCAAAGAAAAGGGGGAAAAAAATGGCGGACAGCCTTGTTTGGCGACCCCCGTGAAATGGTCGTTCGACCCCAAATGGGGTCCCGACCCACAGGTTGAGAACCACTGTTTTAGGGGAACAAATCATACCACATAGCATGTTATCAATGGGGTTTTTGGCCTTTCTATACTAAAATAAGGAGGAGTCCCTGGGGATTTTACTCTGCTAGTTGTTGCTGATTATAGTGGGTGGTGCTCATCTCTATTTCAAACTAAAATATAATAATAACAACAAAAACAATAATAAAGTTGGAAGGGACCTTGGAGGTCATCTGGTCCAACCTCCTGCTCAGGTAGGAAACCCTATACCGTTTCAGACAAATGGCTGTCCAGTCTCTTCTTAAAAACTTCCAGTGTTGGAGCATTCACCACTTCTGGAGGCAGGTTGTTCCACTGATTAATTGTTCCAACTGTCAGGAAATTTCTCCTTAGTTCTAGGCTGCTTCTCTCCTTGATGAGTTTCCATCCGTTGCTTCTTGTCCTGCCTTCAGGCGCTTTAGAGAATAGCTTGATTCCCCTGATACTGGAACACTACTATCATGTCCCCCCTCGTCCTTCTCTTCATTAAATTAGACACACCCAATTCCAGCAACCGTTCCTTATATGTTTTAGAAACAATATATTTGTTAATATTTATGTTGGGGCTCCATGTTTGGTCTGCATTCATCAAAATATTAGATTCAAATATCTGCGTTCTGAAGTCATGAATTTCAGTAAGCTGAACAATATATCAGCATTTATCATAGGACTAACACACTGAAATGTAGCAGAAATTGTAACAAACATCTATTTATATATCTCTTAATATTAATTAATTTTTAACATTGCTTGTCTCTTTTTAAATTTTATATTTTATATGCTGTCTTAATGCTTTTAATTTATCTGTACACTGTCCAGAGTCCCTCTGCGAGGGAGACAGCTGGTTCCTAAATATGATGAAAAAAAATAAAATTAGATAAATAAACATCAGTCAAAACTTACTGGGTACACTTTTAGCCTCCAGCAAAGCCCAGAAATTTGAAGTGGTGGGCTATAAACTGGATCTGCTCGCTGACGTAAAGTGCTATTAAGAAAGTTGAAAGAAGAAGAATTTAGCACACAGAATAGCAGCCTTTGAATAAAGACTAAGCCATTCCTTAATAACAATAGCAATAATATACTACTTCACAGTGCTTTACAGCCCCTTCTAAGCAGTCACAGCCTATGGCCCCCAACAATCTGGGTCCTCGTTTTACTGACTTCGAAATGATGGAAGGCTAAGTCAACCCTGAGCTGGTCAAAATCAAAGTGCTGGCAGCCAGCAGAATTAGAGTGTAATACTGCATTCTAACTACTGCACCACCACGGCTCTTAACATGTTATGCTTTGGATTTTACTTCAAACAGGGGCTTCCCAGCATATATGGGTGTCACTCTTTTCAGCAGATGCCTCTTTTCCTGGAACCCCTGGGGCAGTCATCGCAGACCCTCCTCTAAACAATTAAATAGAACTAGGTCGTGTTCTTACCTAAAATTCTCCAGGACAAAGGTAGTTGAATCATAAGCAGGTACTAACTCACTGCAGAAAAAAAGAAAAAGCATGAGACCCTTCTAACATGTTTTTTTTTTAAAAAAAAAAAAAACACCTCTTCACATAATGTGGTACAGAAGCCAGACCAGCAGCTGTTGGGAGAACAGCCACAGCAAGGAGGTTGGCCACAGCCCCCAAATGTGCAACCCCTGGGTATAAATCTGTAGCCAGGTTGGGGCCCCTCATAGTTGCAGGGCAGACCCACTATGAAGTAGAACATATTCTTGATTCTAGAATTTTTAAAGGGAAATTGCAGTACCCAATCCAAAGGAAGGGATACCTGTTGTCTGAAGTCACCTGGGTGAATCTAGTGAAGTGAAAGCTGACAGATTGATCAAAAGGTTTCATGTGAAACACCCCAGCAAACCGAAAGATAACCCTTAACATATGCTTTTGTTTACTTTACAGGATCTGTCCTTCTTGTAAGGGGGGCCCGGATGTCAATGCTGCAAATACTGTATATTCTTGCTTTGACAATATGCAAAACTGTCTGGTATTTACTGGGTTAATACATAGCTTAGAATGGGGGGTTGGGGGGTAAAAAGCCTGGGAAAGAAAGAGGAAGTAAACTTTTGACCTTCATACTAATTGGATGACTTGTGACTGCAGGATAAGGGAGGGGTTTAGCAAGAAAAGTTTGATGCCAGCAAGAGGAAGTCAGATTCTGGCATCAAAACGTCCATGATGGTGACCGGCAATTTGTAGCTCTGTAATAAAGGCTTTAGGAAAAATGCCTGAAAGTTCTTTGAAGTGCTTCATTAGTCTTGACATATCGTGAGTTTTTTTCCATTGCCGGCATCCAACCCGCAGACTGGCATTTTGACACCCCTGCACTAGACCAACTGGATTGTTCAGTAGGCAGTGCAAAACTGCTGCATTAGAGTGATCCCAATAGTTTGTAATCAAAGAGGATTTAAATTCTGCCCTCTAAACGTGGTAGATAGTGCACCTGCTTCTGAAATATCCTATTGTCTCAAAATCTGCCTTAATTTCAAAATATATGAATCTTCTTGGTAAGGAATACCTAGGGATGACATGATAGCAGTGTTCCAATATCTCAATGGCTGCCACAAAGAAGAGGGAGTCAAGCTATTTTCCAAGGCGCCCGAAGGCAGGACAAGAAGCAACGGATGGAAACTCATCAAGAAGAGAAGCAACCTAGAACTAAGGAGAAACTTCCTGACAGTGAGAACAATTAACCAGTGGAACAACCTGCCTCCAGAAGCTGTAAATGCTCCAACACTGGAAGTTTTTAAGAAGAGACTGGGCAGACATTTGTCCGAAATAGTGTAGGGTTTCCTGCCTGAGCAGGGGGTTGGACTCAATGACCTCCAAGGTCCCTTCCAACTTTATTATTATTATTATTATTATTATTAAGGCAGGAGAAGAAGCAACAGATGGAAACTAATCAAGGAGAGAAGCAATCTAGAACTAAGGAGAAACTTCTTGACAGTGAGAACAATTAACCAGTGGAACAACCTGCCTCCAGAAGTGGTGAATGGTCCAACACTGGAAGTTTTCAAGAAAAGACTGGACAGCCATTTGTCTGAAATGGTATAGGGTTTCCTGCCTGAGCAGGGGGTTGGACTAGATGACCTCCAAGGTCCCTTTCAATTTTATTATTCTGTTATCAAATTATCTACCCTAAGTACTATGGGTGTGGAAACTTCTTGGAACTGCTGAAAGGACTGTGTTGTAAACAGGAGATAGGTAATATTGTGTATCTCCCCCTCTGCCTCATTCACACAAGCTTATGATGGCTAATTTAAAAAGGATTTTCAACTCTAACTCGAAGATGCAATTAATTTACAGTGTAAAAAAAAACTTGTTTATATTCTCTATTTTTAACTGCATATCTCCCTCAGAAAATCATGTAAATTCTTCTTGACTAACTATGCAAATCTCTTCCAAAACTCGCTCTGGTGACTAATTATCACAGAGGTGCGTCCATAAAAAGAAAAAGATGCGTTTCTCACATCCTTTGCGTAAATGCCAGGCCTTAGGCAAGTTGAGAAGATTACACGTTTTGAATTCAAATGTCTTTTATTTATTATGGGTGGCTGGGGAATTCTGGGACTTGAAGTCCGCACATCTTAAAGGTGCCTAGGTTGAGAAACAAGCTATCTTGACCCATCATAAATAGCTGAATGCAGCTGTACCTCGTGAAGTCTGGAGGGACAGGAGTGGTGACAAAAGACGCCATGGGCTTCCGGTGCACTTGCTGGAACATCATTAAAATCTCGGAGCTTTTCGAGATTAGTTCACTTTTACTGCATGACCGCAGCTGCAAAGAAAGAAAGAAATGGAGCATGAAATAGAGCCTTAGTCAAATACCCGCCTTAAAATACAAACTGGCCCAGATTGGATCCTGCAACATTATCTTCACTCAATCAGAACAGAGCTGGAAGGGACCTTGGAGATTTTCCAGCCCAACCCCCTGCTCAAGCAGGAGATCCTATACCAGGGGTAGCCCACTTTGGCTTTTTTAGGACTCGTGGACTTCAACTCCCAGAATTCCTGAGCCAGCCATGCTGAGGGGAAAGGGAGAGGTTTCCAAGCTGAGCCATGCTGGCTCAGGAATTCTGGGAGTTGAAGTCCAGGAGTCATAAAAGAGCCAAGGTTGCCTACCCCTGTCCTATACCATTTCAGACAAATGGTTGTCCACCCTCTTCTTAAAAACCTTCAGTGATGAAGCACCTACAACTTCTGGTGGCAAGCTATTCCACTGGTTAATTGTCCTTTTAGGAAGCTTCTCCTTAATTCCAGGTTGCTTCTCTCCTTGATTAGTTTCCATCCGTTGCTTCTCGTCCTGCCCTCTGGTGCTTTGGAAAATAATTTGAACCCCCCTCCTCTTCTTTGTGCCATCCCCTCAAATGCTGGAATGCTGCTATCGTGTCCCCCCTAGTTCCTTCTTTTCTCTAGACTGGCCATACCGAATTCCTGCAACCGTTCTTTGTATGTTTTAGTCTCCAGAGCTTTAATCATCTTAGCTGCTCTTCTCTGCCCTTTTTCCAAAGTCTCCACACCTTTTTTGTAATGTGGTGACATATATATACTTGCCTTCATTCGTGTTAAAATACAAAGCACATAAAAATCACAATGAATTCAATGCTAGACTAGAGGGGGCTTTACTCTGACCCAGACCAACTCTCTTTACTTTATACGGTAGTCCTCGACTTACAACCATTTGTCTGAGGGGGTCTTTGGTGCTCTCTGAGCTTGGTGGTTTTCTTGCAGACATTTCATTACGCAAACTAGGTAACGTAGCACTGATGATGTTACCTAGTTTGGGTAATGAAATGTCTGCAAGAAAACCACCAAGCTCGGAGAGCATCAAGGACCCCTCACTTCAACACTTGAGCTACAAATATTCTCCTTTATTGGCAACCATTTGCTTAGGGACAGTTGCAACGGCACCGAAAAAGCAACTTGTGACTGGCTTTTACACTTACAATTGTTTTAACTTCCCCATGGTCACATGATCAAAATTTGGGCACTTGACAAACTGGTATTTATTTATTTATTTATTTATTTTTATAACAAATTTTATTGCTTTTTTAATTTTTACAACAGAATGCTCAAGACACACTGTGGTGGTTAGGTGATCAATCATCCAAAAACAAAATCATATAATAGCTTAAATAAATACATTAAATGTTCCCTCTCTATTTCCCTCAAATAATATAATATAATATAATATAATATAATATAATATAATATAATATAATATAATAATAATCCATTTCTACATTACATATCTATAAATCCTAGTCCTGTTTTGAACTTTATTAATTTACAGTTACCGTAGTCCAATTTAATCTTAGATAAACATATTATCACTTCGGGTATCCCTTCTAAAATACTAATCCAGATATATTCTAATTCATAATCTCATAAATCATTGATTTTATCACGAATCTCTTTTATTTCTTCAGATAGCATTTAAATCTCATTCAAATAATTATTGAGTCTTTAGAGTAAAGACTCTAAAAAAAAGAACACACCTATTATTACACAAAACATCGTCTTACTAACTTAACCCAGTCAATTAGTTGTTAAAGCAATCCGAATTTCTAAAAACCTTTCATATTCTTATTCTTATTAAACTGGTATGTATTTATGACAGCTGCACAGTCCCAGTGTCATGTGATCACCACATGTAACCTTCCCACCAGGCATCTGACAAGCAAAGTCGATGGGGTAGGACAGGTTCATTTAACAATTGCATGATTCATTTAACGGCAATGGTTTGCTTCACAACTGGGGCAAAACAGGTCGTAAAATGGGACAAAACTGACTTCACAACCATCTTGCTTAGCAACAGAAATGTCAGGATCCGCTGTGGTTGTAAGTTGAGGACTATCTGTACTGCCATAAAATCAAAGAGGCATAGTTTGTTATTTTAAACCTATAAGTCGTGTCTGGTTATCGGATCTTAAAATCATTTTCCAAAGATTGAGTGTCTGCAAAACTAGCTTCTATTACCTGATGTTCTACTTCTTGTAGCAAAGACTCCAGAAGTTCCGTTTCTTGCGTGAGGGATGTCTTCTGACCTACACAGTAGACAAAAAAAACAACAACACAAAATGTAAACAAAATGATGCGATCCCAGCACTGTGCACTCAAACCAAAGAGGCTTTGACACAGGGCCAGATTAAAGGTAGTAATGTTTAACTATAACAGGTTTAACATCTGCCATCTGCCTAGGAAAAACCCAAAGCATACGGCCATGGTTGGAGAGACATGGCCTGGCAGCAGTGCATATCAGAAGAGTCCAGAAGTACTTATTTATTTAATCAAACTTAAAAGTTGCTTCAATCATAATCGTGAACTCTAGGCAGCTTGTAACTGTGAGAGGGACCTCGGAGTCCTAGTGGACAATCACCTAAATATGAGCCAGCCGTGTGCTGCAGCTGCCAAAAAGGCCAACTCAGTGCTAAGCTGCATTAACAGAGGGATAGAATCAAGATCACGTGAAGTATTAATACCACTTTACAAGGCCTTGGTAAGGCCACACTTGGAATCCTGCATCCAGTTTTGATCACCACAATGTAAAAAAGATGCTGAGACTCTAGAAAGAGTGCAGAGAAGAGCAACAAAGATGATTAGGGGACTGAAGGCTAAAACATATAAGGAACAGTTGCTGGAATTGGGTATGTCTAGTTTAACAAAGAGAAGGATGAGGGGGGACATGATAGCAGCGTTCCAATATCTCAGGGGCTGCCACAAAGAAGAGGGAGTCAAGCTATTCTCCAAAGCAATCAGTGAAGAACTTTCGGAGATTTAAGATTTTGAACAAACGAATATTTACATTTTTATTTATAGAGATGGTTATTATGGATCATCGCACAGTCAGCCAGATGTTCAGACTGGATTTGGCATTTTGTCTACCCATTGAGTCCTTACCCAGGACTTGGGATAGGCAGATGTGGATGTTTGATGGTATTACAGGTATCGTTGCAGGATGAAAGCAGTTCCTAGTAAGGCCGCCTTTTGCAATTGACTAATAGCGAATTTGTCAGTGTCCATGGTGTTCAAGTGGTGCTCCAGTTGTTTTGGGATTGCACCCAAGGTGCCTATTACTATTGGTACTACCCTTGCTTGCTTTTGCCACAGTCTTTCTATTTCTATTTGTAGGTCTTTGTATTTTGTTATCTTCTCCAGTTTTTCTCGTCTATTCTGCTGTCTCCAGGCACTGCCACGTCCACTATCCAGACTTTTTTGTCTTTCTTATGACAATTGTTAAGTCTGGGGTGTTATGTTGCAGGTGCTTGTCTGTTTGAATTCTGCAGTCCCAGAGCAGTTTAATTTTATCATTTTCTATGACTTTCTCTATTTTATGATCCCACCAGTTTTTGCTTACAGGCAAATGATATTTTTTGCAGATCTTCCAATGCACCATTGTTGCTACTTTATCATGCCACTGCTTGTAGTCAGTCTGTGCAATCTTCTTGCAACAGCTTACCAAGTGGTCCACTGTTTCTTCAGCTTCTTTGCATAGGCGGCACTTACTGTCTGTTGCTGTCTTCTCAATTTTGACTTTATATGCATTTGTCCTTAAGACTTGGTCTTGTGCAGCCAGAATTAGTCCCTCGGTCTCTTTCTTCAATTTTCCTGCTCTTAGCCATTGCCAGGTCTTGTTATTATCTGCTTTCCCAGCTATTTTTTTAATTTATTGGCCATGTAGTGCTTTGTCTTCCCATGCCTCTATTCTGTTCTTCATTTGGTCTTTCTTGTAGGCCAGTTTGGTCTCTCCAGTAGTCAGTAAGCCTTCCTGATATACTAATTTCAGTGCATCTTCATCATTGTTCTTCAGATATTCTTCCAAAGCCATTTTTTCTTCTTCAAAGATGGTTGTTATTATTATTATTATTATTATTATTATTATTAAAAAGGACCATTAGCTGATCAAGTCTACGCAGTATGATGTAGCACTTAAAAGCCAGTGCAAGCTGGAGCTGTGTTAACAGAAGCACTTGCATTCAGGTGATAGCAGGTAATGGTTTCATTATGATCTGTTCTGGTTAGAACTCTATTTATTTATTTATACTTCAAATTAGAGACACCTCCATCTCATTCAGAGAACTACTCTGGGCAGTGCTGAATTAAAAACATGAAAGCCATGTGAAAATATTATCAAAGGATTATATCTAGTACTAGTACAGATTAGAAAGGACACAAAGAAACCCCAGGGGATCCTGGAGTTTCCTTGTGTGCTTTCTAAATCTCTCTGGATGATGATGACTCAGGAATACAACTCCAATGAGGAACATTTGTTTTGTGGCCATAAAAGCTGAATAAATAAAGTCAACAAAACACACAAATTTAAAGGGGCAGGGAAGGTCTGGCTTGCAAAAGAAGATATGAGAACAACCTCAGAATATCTAAAAGATTGTCACATGCAAGAGAGGGCAGAGCTACTTTCTACTGAAAAACAGAACAGGCATTTTACATCAATTATATATTCTGCTTTCAATGTCTAATTATTTCCAGATTTATCAAGTTATAGCTTAATCCAATGCCAAGAGAATTCCTCTTCAATTCAAGGGTAAGCCATCTTTGACTAATAAGCAACTCAGCCTTCTTACAAAATAATCTATTTCTCTAATAATAATAATGATGATGATGATGATGATAATGTTGGAAGGGACCTTGGAGGTCATCTAGTCCAACCCCCTGCTCAGGCAAATGGCTGTCCAGTCTCTTCTTAAAAACTTCCAGTATTGAAACATTCACCGCTTCTGGAGGCAGGTTGTTCTCACTGTCAGGAAGTTTCTCCTTAGTTCTAGGTTGCTTCTCTCCTTGATCAGTTTCCATCCGTTGCTTCTTGTCCTGCCTTCAGGCCCTTTGGAGGATAGCTTGACTCCCTCTTCTTTGTGGCAGCCCCTGAGATATTGGAATACTGCTATCATGTCCCCCCTCGTCCTTCTCTTCATTAAACTAGACATACCCAATTCCAGCAGCCGTTCCTTATATGTTTTAGCCTCCAGTCCCCTAATCATCTTTGTTGCTCTTCTCTGTACTCTTTCTAGAGTCCCAGCATCTTTTCTACATCGCGGTGACCAAAACTGGATGAAGTATTCCAAGTGTGGCCTTATCAAGGCCTTGTAAAGTGGTATTAGCCCTTCATGTGATCTTGATTCTATCCCTCTGTTAATGCAGCCTAGCACTGTGTTGGCCTTTTTGGCAGTTGCAGCACACTGCTGGTTCATATTTAGGTGATTGTCCACTAGGACTCCGAGGTCCCTCTCACAGTTACTACTATTGAGCAAGGTACCCCCTATACTATACCTGTACATTTGGTTTTTCTTGCCTAATTGTAGAACTGTTAGAAGATGGAGGAGACAAACACCTTGTTAATGCCTTGCTACATGATGTAGGGACCAGGCCAATGCCAGAGGCATCAGAGACATAAATAAATACATAAATAAAAATATAATGAGAAGTTCCATTCTTTTTGACTCAAACACATCTAAACACAGTCCTTAATTAATGATGGCAATCGTAATTTCCATTCCTAAGCAACACGGCTGTAAAGCGCAACATAACATAATCCCATTGGAAATTCCAGTTGCCATTGTTAAGCAAATCACTGTGGGTTGTTAAGCAACAACCTCACATGGTCACCATTTGTGGCTTCCCCCTTGATTTTGCCCGTACGAAGCTGGCAAAGAAAATTGCAAATGGTGACCACATGATACTGTGACATCATAATCATAAGCCAGGTACCAAGTGCCCTGACTGCAATCATATGATTGTGGGGATGCTGCAATGGACCATCGTTAAGTACCACTTCTTCAGTACTGTCATGTTTGATCACTGAATGAGTGATGCTAAGTTAGGACTACCTATATTGTTCAATTAAACTTCCGAAACCACTGGCACCCAGCCCTCAATATCTGTCGTGCTAAGTTCAATCCCTGTCCTAAAATGTAACCCCCCCAAAAGCCAAACCTACCCATTAGTGTGATGAGTTTGTTCTTCAGCTGTGTATCTAACCTAGCAATCATCATCTCCACGGCATTCCGGATTTCCCGAACACGTTCATCTTTCGCACTGCGGACCGCTTCAACATTCCTTTCCTGAAAAAATATGGCATCAATTTACAACTGCCTGGATAGCTTTTGCTTTTTTACATGGATACAACATTCTAGGTCAGTGGTGGCGAACCTATGGCACGGGTGCCAGAGGCGGCACTCAGAGCCCTCTCTGTGGGCACGCGTGCCATCGCCCCAGTCCTAGGCCTTCATCTGGGTTTTATAAAACCTTTTCGCTTTAGGCCTCTGCCGCCGTGTGCAAAAAAAAAAAAAAAAGGTTCAATCAGTCAATTTCAACTTCTCGCGGGAAAAAAAAAGATCTTGCAAAGTTGAAATTGATTGATTGAACTTTTTAGTCCCACCCAGTCTGCCATTACCACCACAGCCATGCCCACCCAATTGACCATGCCCAGCCAATAGGCCACACCCACCCGGCACTCAACGATGCGTAAATGGGTTTGGGGTTGCAGTTTGGGCACTCGGTCTCTAAAATGTTCGCCATCACTGTTCTAGGTTGTGCAAATCCTTCAACAGAAGTGAACTGAACATGTGGGAGAGCATACGTAGCACCACCTTCAAAATCATTAAAGCAGCCACATCTTTCTCTAACTTCAACAGTGGCTTTGCATCTACATCTGGCTACTTCCTCGCACCTGCATAACCGCTTGAATGGAAGAAATACAAAGTGTTTTTTTCTTCCATTCAAACATGTCTGATCTTCAGAGACTGTCTGGGGAAGTCCCTGCAATTTTCTGGGCAAGATTTTTCAGAAGTGGTTTGCCATTGCCTCCTTTTGGGGGCTTGGGTCACCTAGTTAGCTTTGTGCCTAAGGCAGGACTAGAACTCACAATCTCCCAGTTTCTGCCTTAACCACAACATCAAACTGAAAGTGTAGGCTGGAACCATTTCTGAGCAGCTAAATGATATTCTGTCTCAGGTAACACTTTTATTTGGAAAGAGAGAAGCCCGCATAGAAGGGAAGAGAAACTAAAACTTATACCTTGCCATATAAAACATCTGCCTCTGTCCCTGGGATCTTTTACTCCCCCCTCTATGATATATCAGGAGAATAAATCACCTTGGATTATACCTCATGATTCTTATACATAACTCTAATTCCCCTTCTAAACCCAGAAAAACAGGTGTGACTGCTTTATTATTCACAGTCTCTCAACCACTGTCTGGCTGCTGCCACACATATATAATAAATAACCTGGAGTTAGGAGGTGTTAAATTGATGACATTTTGCTCATTTTATTTTTTTTAAAGGAGCAGCATTAAAAACATTCCCACCTTGAAAACATTAACCAGGAAGCCTCTTCTCTAGAATAAAAGCAGTCCTCAACTTAACAACAAAGTTACAACGGCACTGAAAATAAGCGACTTATAATCAGTTCTCAAACTTATGACTGTTGTAGTCATGTGGTCAAACTTCAGTACTTGGCAACCAGTTTATGATGGATGCAGCATCCTGGAGTCCTGGGATTGCCGATAGCAACTTGTCCAGGGAGAAGTCAGATTCGCTTGATAGCTGCACTTAATAACTGCAGTGATTCGCTTAACCACCATGGCCAAAACGTAAAATGAGGCACGACTCACTGCCTTGCTTAACAATGGAAATGTTGGGCTCAGTTGTGGCTGTAAGTCGAGGATTATCTGTATTACTTTTTGCAAGGGCTGAAAATGCTAAGCTGGAAACAGAGAGAGACTCATATCTCTTCTTAATGAAAGCTGAGAATCTGTTTATTATTGTTCAACCTGGAAGGCAATTGCTTCTTTCACCTCGTCCTCCTTTCCCAAGGTTAGGAAGCACCCTCCAGCTTCAAACAATAACCCTAGCAGCAAAGCTTTGAGAATATCAGAATTGCACATTCACCAAATTGGGAGAGTTGCTCTTACCACTTCTTGTACCAAACTTATTAACTCCATGAGTCTTCGGCGAAGCTTTGCCACCTCCTCATTCACTTTGGTGACATGCTGCTCGTATATCTCCGCTAAGGGCTTAAAAGTATGCCCGCCATGCTATTAGAAAGATACAATGAGTATGGTAGCTTCATTATACCAGCTCAAAACACTGTACTGTTACCCAAGTGCAGGGGTCTTCAAACTTGGCCCTTTTATGACTTGTGGACTTCAACTCCCAGAATTCCTCAGCCAGTGTGCCTGGCTGAGGAATTCTGGGAGTTGAAGTCCACAAGTCATGAAGGGGCCAAGTTTGAAGACCCCTGCCCAAGTGAATCCCAAAGATTATTATTAGAAGAAAGCCTTTTTCAACCTGTTGAATCTGGTTTCTCTTCCAGTCACACTTCTTACAAAAATCTATTCAGGTTCTAAGTGAATACATAACTGAACTAAAACTGCCTAGCTTAGAATAGAATGTATTTATTGTCACTGTGTAACTTAGGTCCACAGTGCTGTCACTGTGAAATTAAGTGCTGTCCACAGTGCACACTACACACAAGTAAAAACCACAAATAAGTACATTATATACAGACATCCTCCACATTCTATTCACCATTGTGCTGCCCCTAATACTGCACTTCAACGTTGCACTAGACATTTAATATGGTTACAGCTCTGGGATAAAAACTATTTTTCAGCCTGTTTGTCTTTGTTTTTATTATCCTGTACCGTCTGCCAGATGGTAATAGTCCAAAAAAAGAATGTCCAGGATGAGATGAGTCTCTTGCTGCCTCATTAAAGAACCATTGTATATGTCTGAAGTTAATATTTCTGGGGAAAAGGCTAAATCAGCGGTTCTCAACCTATGGGTCGCGACCCCATTTGGGGTCGATCGACCATTTTTCGGGGGTCGCCAAAGAAGGCGATCCGCCATTTTCTCCCCCCAGGGGGCGGCGCCGTGCGTGCGCGCCGCGCATGGGGGGCGCCGCGCGTGCGTCACGCATGGGGGCGCCACGCGTGCGCATGGCGTCGCGCATGCGCAGAACGTTTGTGTGACAGGGGTCACTGTCACACAAACGTTGAGAACCACTGAACAGAAACATCTTATAAATACTTAATTCAAGGTTTAAATCAGTGGTTCTCAACCTGTGGGTCGGGACCCCATTTGGGGTCGAACGACCATTTCACGGGGGTCGCCAAACAATGCAGTCCGCCATTTTTTCCCCCTTTTCCTTAGCTGTGCTCCCTTTGATTCTATTGGCTTTTGAAAGCCAATAGAATAGACTCTCTTGAATAGAGTCTAATTCTATTGGCTTTCAAAAGCCAATAGGAATTGTCCAGGCTGTCTCTGCCCTGCTGAGCCTGCCAAAAGTCCCATTCTGCAAACGGTGCTCCACCAGTTGAGTAGTCCTCGACTTACGACCGGTTGAGTAGTCCTCGACTTACGACCGGTTGGGGGGTCGCGGCATTAAAAAGATTGAGAACCACTAGTTTAAATAGTAAAAGGTACATGACATGCTTTTCTTGTCAACGTTAATCTTCATTAATTAATTTTAAAAGCTGTATCATACATTACACATTAGCACAGTAGAACAGAGTAAGAGTCATTTAAGAAATCCCTGCCAAAAGGGAGGGAATTGGTGTCACTAGGTGTTAAATAGGAGGAGAAAGATTTTCTGGTTGTAACCCATCCTTAAATAAAATAGAACTTTATATCCTTGTTGCAGGCTAATACATTTTATTACATGCATATTATACTTGAAGAATTTTGTTCAATGTGTGTGTGTGTGTGTGTGTGTGTGTGTGTGTGTGTGTGTGTGTGTGTGTATAATTTGATAATTTTAAATATTTGAATCCCAGGTATAGGCATTTTTAAAAATCAATGAGATTCATGAACTCCGGGACATAAAATAGCCTTTTTTTTATTACTGAGCTTTCGTCAACTAGCTGTTGACGTCATCAGAGTAAGGGCTGAAAATGAGGAGAACACATCTGTACAACTGTGTGACCATTTTAACGGTCGGTACTTAGAACGTATATATAGCACGCTCACCACCCACTCGTTTGCATTTAGTTTGAACAATTCCGGCTTTGGTTTAAAAGCCAGTTTGGGTCTGAAATTCAAAAATCCCTCCTCCCAGCTCTTTGGCGCGTAAGTCTTGCTGCTGAAGTGCGGCTGCGCACATTTATATTATGTGTATGTACACACACACACACACACACAAACACACACACACACACACAGTTGGAGCATCCTGGGCTGATGTGATCACTATCTGCCACCTTCCCAGCTGGTTTCCAACTAGCAAAGTCAATAGGTGAAGCCAGATTTGTTTAACAACTGTTAATTCACTTAACCATAATGATTCACTTAACAACTGTGGCAAAAAGGTCATAAAATCGGGTACAACTCACTTAACAACTGCCTTGCTTAGCTATGGAAATTCTGGTCCCAATTGTGATTGTAAGTCAAAGGTTACCTGTAATTTCATATTAAGCTACAAAAGACTTACCTCCTACAATGCTTCCACAGAAACTATACCTGTAATCACAACTTTTCAATAGCACAATAATTCTGTTTCTATAGAATCAACGTTGTGCAGATAACTCTTTGTTTTTCCTCTGTACATATAAAGCTTTACTCACCATTCCACCCCAAAGCGCACACTGGTGGCAGATACACTTCTTACATGTCCAGCAAAATACACTGAGCTTTTCATGATGATTTTCACACCTTTGAAAAGAAAGGAAAAAATTGCAGTTACAGACAGATAGAACAAGCGGTCTTATAAGTTGTTTTCCTCAATCATTTTAATAATGTGGGAATTGCTGTTAAGGAGCTTATTTTTACTTGACATCAGCCACAATAAGCTACTGCTGAAATGCTGATTAAAAATGGAAAACAGTGTAAAGTCACACTCTGTTGGGGAAATTACAAGTCAGCAATTCAGTTGTTATTTTTTTTTCTCTTGTATTGCAAGTACACGGAGTGTTTCTGTACCAGAGACAAATTCTTTCTAATAAAGTCTCCTTCTCCCTCTTCTCCTTTCCCCAACTCTATTCCTTTTCCCCTTTCCCCTTACTTTTTCCCCATTGTCTTCATTTTCATTTATATTTTATCTTCAGAAAATGTTTGATAAAGACTTCCGGTTCTGGATCGTGGCATGCGTAGTACGCAGTCGTGCGGAGAGACTCGTCTCTTTGCTGGCTGTTTTCCCTTCACCGGTAGACCCTTAATCGGGTCGAAAAGTCGCCCTGGAGGGGCGACCACCGTCGAGGAGGCCCTCGTCTGACTGCGGAAGGGCGGCAGCTCTTTCCGCGGTCTGAGCCAGCTCCTTAGGGCCGACGGAGAAAAGATCAGCCAGCAAAATGGCCGATCACCTAGCTGCACCAGCTGAAAGTCAGAAGAACAGCTAAACATAAAGAACCACCATGGAGAATCCGGGTGAGACCTTTCCTTCCCCCTCTTTGCCCTAACTACTTTCCTGTAAAAAGCTTTTGAACTACTTCCCTGCTTTAAGAGAGTGGCGTTTGTGTACTTGGGAAAAAGAGCTCTGGAAACCAATGAAATAAAACAGCTAATTTTTTATTGACTTTTTAATTTTTTGGATACTTAGGGGTCCTGAAAAAATTCCTACCTTTGAACATTATTATTACTCTACTTATTATGTTGGAGATGTTTTTCTTTTTCTATTTTTCTAATGAGACAAAAATTTATTAACTTGGAAAAAAGACTTTACTGTTTACTGAGGACATCTTGTGGCAAAAATTGTTACTGCAACTGTATTTCTTTTTGCTGTTTGAAAATGGTTTTGACCCTCAAATGATAATAAAAGGAAAAAGTTAAAGGACTTGAAACAGCTGGGTGGTGAATTTGTCTATTAGAAATTGGAGGTGGATATTTGTTGACTCTTACTAAATATAGCCTCCACTAAAATATTAAAGATTTTTTCACCACTGAAATGGAGGAATCTTACCCACAGCTTGATTATGAACTTATACTGGAAAAAATCTTGGAAGCTATGGAGTATATGAAGTCTTGGAGAAAAATTAAAGATGACTTTTCAGAATCACAAATTGATTCTCAAATTGTAATGGATCAAGCTATAGGCCAAGGAACAATAGAGGAACAGAGTAACTCCAAAGAGGCCTCTATTCAACAATATATACAACCTAAAGAGATGGAGGAACCATACCTACAACTTAACTATGAATTTATACTGGGAGAAATTGTGGAAACTACTGAGCAAATCAATTTTACACAACCCCATATACAATTTATGGAGAATTTTGATGATCAAAGAATAACTTTAATTGAGATACCTGAATTGTCAAAAACAACAGAGACTGACATCCAGACACAAGTCACTGAAAATTGTGATAACGTGGACAATCAACTAGTAATTACAACATGGAATAAAACTGATTACACTATTCAGATGACACTGGAAGAAAGGGAAGAGAACTTTGACCAGTCTGAAGTGTCGAGAAATGCCTCTATTCAAATATTGAGGTTTGATGACGCAGAAGTTTTACTATGGAAACCGGTTTGGCACAGAAAGAAACCTAGAATTAAATTTAAAAATGTGTTTTAAAATTTCATTTAATGGGTTAAAAAAGCTTTAGAGATTTTTGACTGATTTAATAACTAACAGAATATGTGAATTCTGTAAGAGGATATCCTTTGTAATAATATTTTGTTTTAGATATGATAATTATTTGGAGGGGTAAACTTTATTTAATGGGTTAAAAAGACTTTTTATAGATATAGATTGATTGATAGAATATATATTTAAAATAGATAGAAATGTTATCTTTTGGACTGATATTTTTATTTCAAGTAAGACAATTATTTTGTAATAGAAGGAGAATAAGAGGGATTTGTGATAAGAAATGGTATTAATAAATGATTTATTAGATTAAGAAATAGATTATATGTGGAAAATATAAGAATGTTATTATTGGAATAATATATTTATTCTAGATATAATTATTATGTTAGGGAAAAGGGAAATGAGGGATACCCAAAGTGTTAATAATATGTTTATTCAAGGCTAATTGGAATACGGTAACTGTAAATTAGTAAAGCTTAAAAATTTGGATTTGGATTTTTATAACTGAAATGTGATTGATGCCTCATTTGATTGATTGAACTCTATTTAGAAATGTATTAATCTGAATATGTAATATTATATGAGGGAAATAGAGAGGGAACTTTTAATGAATTAACCTGAGTTATATATGTATGATTTTGCTTTTGGATGTTTGATGTCCCCATCTCAACGTTGTTTCCTAAGCATCTTGATGTAAAAACTAAAAAAAAACAATAAAATTTGTTTTTTTTAAAAAAGGAAAATGTTTGATAAAAATGTATATATTTTACATTAAGAAAAAAAATTAATACAAAAATTATAAAAAGAGAGAAGTGCCCATGGCCCCCATCTGCTTTTCACAAGCTCTTAATTCAGACTTTCCATTATCAAGATACATGTTAGTTATACACATAGAAACTGAGCAGTTCCAGCTACAATGTTTAGGTTACAAATTAGCTTAGCTTCTCAACAGAGACTGAGTGACGATCTATGAAATCACCCCAAGGGCTTTTTGTCCTTGCGCCAAAGAAAAGCTCTTTTATTTTCTATCCTTTCATCAAATGCTTTCTTCTATTCTAGGCAAATTTCCAGGTTGGCTTAGGACAAGGACGAATGGGATGCTTGGAGAACCACCAAGCTCCAGTTTGCTTGAACGGAAGAAGTCGGCTTCTCTGTTTATATTCCTGATGCCCTTCTTCGTTACAAGTTGGCTGACTGATAGGGGCTTCAGCACTTTGGAATGCAAATTGTACTCAAATGCTATCCTGTGAGAGCACATGTTCATAGTCCCAGGAGCACAGAGATTTGGTTACAAATGCTCCTTAGAGGACAGCTACCAGGTTATCTACATCAGGGCTTTTCAACCTTTTCACCCATTGTACCACTTTTAGGATATGGCAATATCCGAGTACCACCAGTCGCCCAGCAAGGTGTCAAAAACTTGATGACCCCCCCCCCCGAAAAAAGGAAAAAAACTGATAAAGTACAGGTAGTCCTCGACTTACGACAGTTCACTTAATGACTGTTCGGAGTTACAATGGCACTGAAAAAAGTGCCCCCCAAGCCACAGCTGAGCAAGTCACCTGCCTGTCCGCCCGGCGGCACTCTTCCTCCTGTCCGAGTTTTCCATTGTTGTAAGCATTTCTGTGGAGGATTGGCAGCAGGGGTGGGGTGGGGGGTGTTTTGGTTTCTATTCCCCCGTCTGCTGGGTGGTTGCAGCAGGTTTTGGTCACTTCACATGAACCTGGGACACTGTGACTGTCATAAATATGAATCAGTTGCCAAGTATCTGAATGTAAATCATAAGACCCTGGAGATGCTGCAACATTCCAGCTGATCGACGCTTCTTCTGGGCTCAGCAGAAGCACCAGGATCAGTGCCGAGCTCCAGCTGGGGCCTGGCGCTGATCCTGGCGCTTCCGCTGAGTCCTGACAGCCTTGCAGCTCCAGCCATCTCTTGCTCAGGCTTGTGCGGTGCTGTCACCGGTTCAGCTCATTCCCCTCCCCCACTACCATTTTTCTAGGATGGTTGCATACCACCTGCCAGGTACCAAAGTACCACAGGTGGTACGGGTACCACTGGTTGAAAAGCCATGATCTACGTCATCCTTAATTAAGAATTATAAATCCTATGTTTAACCTCAGCTCAAGCCTCCTTTGGCAGAAGGGTGCTTGGTGTGTGATCATTTCCTCCTAAAACACATTCATTCAGTGAACCTTTCCACCCTAAACTGTGGGTCTGTTTGGTATGCACCAGTCAAGGAGATACCTACTACCATTGTAAGAATACAAAACTGTGGAAGTTCTTTTGCTATACAAGTAGTCCTTGGCTTAAGACTGGTTACATAGCAACCGTTCAAAGTTGTGACAAACCAACCCGGAAAATGTTACTTATCACCCAGAGTCGAAGTTCCAACATCTGCCCTCCCTCGCAGTTAGATGACTACATTTTGGATGTGTGGCAACTGGCCTGCCTTGCTTGGCAACCCTAACTTGACCATTTGTTACTTGATTACAAATTACAACATTTTTGCCAGAAACCAACCGAAAAAATTTCCTTTACGACTGCCCCAAAAAAGGTACTAAAATTCGGTCTGGTCACATAGTAACCCACTTTACAATCATGATTTACAAGCAAAATTGTGGGTTCAATTACAGTCCTAAGTCAAAATCACGTAGTGGATGGAGCACATTGTTCATTGAAATAGGAAGGGGTGCCAGTGTTTTTACTTAGCTTAACTTTTTGCTGTTCTGAAATATAGCTTTCTGGGTCTGTAAATTAAGACAAGCCTACCTTCCCCATAACCCAAAAACTCTATGACTCCCCTGAACTAGAGCAAGTGGAAGGATGATTGGCACACCAATACTACCCTAAATTCATTACAGAAAAAAAACTTCACAGTAAATATCTATAGAGATTCTCAGTCATCCAAGTCACGGTTGTCCCAAAGGTGCTTTTTCAAGAGGCAACTGGACTTTCTTGTTTTTCTCTGAAGACGTTTCGCTTCTCAGTTCCCCACCATCTAATCAAAGCTGAAGCAGCTTCTTGGATGAAAAGCAAAACATCTTCAAAGAAAAACAAGAAGGTCCAGTTGCCTCATGAAAAAGCACCTTTGGGTTCACAGAAACTATCAATGTTCCCCTTTAACTTCTCACATAACTGTAAATCCACTCCTTTATATGGCTATTTACAGGAGAAAAATCCATCCGTTTTTAAAATTTCTAAATTATGATCGAATTTAGGGGCAATACATTACAAACCCTTCAGTCAACCGGCCATTTAAATCTACATACTTGTCTTTTTCGTTTTCTTCATGCTTGCTCAGATTACATAACTGGAGCGTGTCAAGTTGTTGGGTCACCTCCTCTGCCCAGCGACAATTGACAAGTTCTCGCAGCTGAAGTGGAGCTCTGCAAGTAAAAGTCCTAAGTGAAAATCCTGCTTTTTAAGAAAAAAATTAGAATAGAATAATATTCATTATTACAGAACCGAAAACAGGAGCTTATGCAAATGCATAAGACCTTTATCCAATCTCTCTGCCTCTGAAGCATTTAATAAAAACACGGAATGTATTAGAAGCTGGAGGCATTCATCAGTAAGCTACAATTCAGGAGCCCTAACTTGAAATGTTCCTTGTAATTTCTTCCACATGCAGAGGAAGCCAATTAATGAAGAACAGTAAATAATTTCATATTCATTCAAGGAGGGAAATGTTGCCTAACAGTTATTTTGAAACCACGAATAAAAAATTATTTGGGGGGGGAATAAATTCTTGCATATAGCCAGAACTTTAAAAATTTAAAGAAGATATAGCATTCATAAGTTTGAGATTTACAGCATACACAGAGACCAATTCTTTGCACTGGTCATGATGCTCATGGGATGAGAATCCCAGAATCTGAAGTCAAAGGTACTATAGTAGAGCTTCCCAAACTGTGAGTATGCTTCCCTTGGGGAGATGCAGACGGATACCAGGTGAGGCATAGGGAACCTTTAAGTATAGTGTCTATCTTTAGTTTCATTGTATTGTTTTCACCATCCATTTGTGTTCATTTTGGTGTTTGGAATTTTTAGATAAGTGTACATTAAGATTACAGTAAAAGGAGGTGTGATGACAAAAAGTTTAGGAAGTCCTGTACTAGAGGAACCATGTTATCTATACTTTGACCTAGGGAGAATTATTTTAAGTAACATCAAAGGAGCTGACTCTTTCCCAGAACTTTTGAAAACTGTTCTTTTATCCTCACTGAGTGACAACTGTGGAGAATTTTTAAAATTATATCTTGTTTAAACTTTTATTAATTACTGAAGGTCAAGAGAGGTAACATTCCATCATGTGCCAAATTTAAACTATAACCTGTCTGCTCCTTCCAAACATGTATTGCGAATATCAGCAACAAAAAAATATAGAATTTGCTTTGGTTACCACAACAGTCCAAAGCTTACCGACAATGTGGGCACTGAGCTCTTTGTTCCGTCAGCCAACGCTGTCAAACAAAACAGGCATGTTATAAAACACCAGAAAGTTCCAGAAACATTAGAAAAACATAAATCCTATGATATGTTTGGACATATTTCTTCAGCATAAGTAAATCATTCTTGAATGGAATTCACACAGCACATAAATGCTGCCATTTCAAAGCATGAAGATCCCTATTTATTGTATCTGTATACTGTTGCATTCAGAAAATGACTCCCAATACCAAATTATACCTTGTTGAACAGCCTGGATCATACAACATACTAAGACAACAGCTGAATTCCCAGAACGTGCTAAAGTATAAGCTAGCCAATCCCAGTTTAATCTAAAATGCTGTGAAAACCCAGTCGTTACTCCAGATTTATTTATTTGTATCCCTCCTTTATTATTTTTACAAATAACTCAAGGCAGCAAATATATCCAATACACCTTCCTCCTCCTATTTTCCCCACAACAACCCTGTGAGGTAGGTTAGTCTGAGAAAGAGGGACTGACCCAAGGTCATCCAGCCAGCTTTCATGGCTAAGGTGGGATATGAACTCGTGAGCTAACAATTAATCAAGAAAATTGGTCATGGCACTTTTTTGTATGTTATCAATGTATTCATCCTAAATATTGGTCCAACCCTATTTAACTATTTTGTTCAGAAAATTAAATGTGTAAAAGCTCTAAGAGAATCACTAGTCTCAAAACAATTGTGACTGTAATAAATTTCTGGGTTCTTAAGTTTAATAGCAACATACAATTTAAGGATAATCTCAGGAATAAGTTCAACTGTTTTTTTTTTTCATTTAAAATATTGGAATTACTATATACACCTGAAAAGAAAGTTACCTTTTTTCAAAATTTAGTTTTGGAATTTACTTTTTATATTGAAAGAGAAGATGAAAACAAGTCAGATTTATTTTTACTTTTGGAAGAATATCAGTTTAAATTCAGAACTGCTTTCCTTTTAAGGAAATAGTATACATTATTCCAATATTTTCTCTCGGCATGGCTACTAATAAATGGAAAGCAGGCAACCAGGCATCAGAACAAAAAGTTAAAACTATTTTTTTTAGTGTGCCAATAAATTAGAATCTCTGTATACTTACATCTGCTTTGAAGTATTTTCAAAAACATTTACACATCCAAAATCTAGTAACTGTCTCCACATGAGTAACATGGCTCCATATTTGTGAATATTACTTACCCGAATGCAACTGAAACAACATAGTTTGGAGCAGTGTGGACACAGGCGTGCATCACGCAATTTTTCCATACAAATGAAACATCTAAATACTTCAGCAATACTCTGCAAGAAAGAAACACAATCAAGACAAATATGTGTTAGCTTTATCTGTAAATTGTACCCACATTATCTTATTCATATCAACCCACATTTTACTTAAACCTAGGCTCAACTATATTGCTCAAGGACATTATACAACAGTGTTTGGAGAGGAACCAACATGAAATTATTTCTAAATGTCATTGTTTAAATCAAAGGGGGAGAAAAGGGTTGCTGCATCTACATATACATTTCAGCATCTTGCTAACACTGTAACAAAAGAGCACAAAATAAGTATGCATATAATTATTTAGAAGACACTCTAGAATATGGGTGTCCAACTTGCCTGGCTGCAATGAGTGGAATTATGTTGGGTCGCCTATAAAATATATAATATAATTAATGTATATAAATCACATAACAATGTTAAAAGGCTTACAATCTTATGGGCTTGCATTACAAGTGGTCCAGGGCTGCATGTGGACCATGGGCCACAGGTTGGACACACCTGCTCTATAATCTTGCAGAATACAAACCTCACTACTATAAGCAGGAAGAGGGTATGTATGTACACAGCCCCCTGGTATGTTTCTAAGATGGGTTGAAATGCATATGATTCATAAAATGCAAATTCCAACAGAATGCATTTTTTATACACAGTACCTTTTTGCTTCAAGATTCAGAAAGATATGGAAACAAATCACATTTTATTCTTGCTTTCTCTTAGTTCTGTGAAATATGGTGTAATGCAAAGTTTTCAGTTTTATATGTTTACACATTAAATTAATATCTTACTTTGCCTTTAGGAGTTCAGAGTAGTAGCAGTAGTCCTTATTTAAAAACTATTCATTCAATGACCATTCAAAGTTATGACAACACTGAACAACTGGAACTGTTATGGTCATTATACAGTCACGTAATCAAAATTTGGGTGCTTAGCAACCAGGCCGCATTTACAACCACAGTGTGCAAGGGCCTCACGAATAGCCAATAGCTGTCTCAGCCAGATTGTTGTTAAACAAATAGTTGTTAAACAAATCAATGGAGTTGTTAAGTAAATTGCATTGCAGTTAAGCAAACCTGGCTTTCCCCATTGATTTTGTTTGTCTGAAGCCAGCTGGGAAGGTCACAAATGATGATCACATGACCTCAAGACAGTGCCACCATCATAAATACATGACAGTTGCCAAGTGCCCAAATCTTGATCACATGACTTTGTTTTGTTAGAAGATCACAAAAGGGAATCACATGACTCTGGGACACTGCAACTGTCATAAATATGAACCAGTTGACAGGTGTCTCAATTTTGATCATGTAACCATGGGTATGCTTATGACCATGGGTCCTAATGTGAGAACTGATCAAAAGTTACTTTTTTATTGCCGTTGTAACTTCAAAGTCACTAAATGAATGATTGTAAGTTGATGACCACCTGTATTTCACATTTACCTGCCCCCCAAAAGACCCTTTTCCACCCTCTTTCTAGTACTCGTGCTTCCCCCCCCCCAATTCCATTAAGAGAAAGAGAAGCTCAGAAGGTTTGGAGGTAGAAGCAGGAGAGTCTCTCCTTGATGGTGGCCCCAGCTTCCAAGCCTCTATCCCAGTGTTTCTCAACCTTGACCATTTTAAGGCATGTGGACTTCAACTCCCAGAATTCCACAGCCAGCATTGCTGGCTGTGGAATTCTGGGAGTTGAAGTCCACATGCCTTAAAATGGTCAAGGTTGAGAAACACTGCTCTATCCTGAGGTGCCAGCTTCCTTTACTGGTTTTTCAGGACCAGGGAGGGAGCTACTGGTTTTCTCTTGCTCAGTCTTCCTGGGACTTGTTTTCAGGGCCAAATTTCCAATCCTTCATTTTCCTGGTTTGAATTTTTTTTTGTCTTTTTTAAATTCTGTACAGGTAGTCCTCGATTTATAACCATTCATTTAACGACCAAAGTTACAGCAGCACTGGAAAAAGTCACTTTTGACCAGTTTCCACACTTACGACTTGCAGCCTCTCTATGATCACGTGATCAAAATTCAGACACCTGTCAGCTGGTTCATATTTATGACAGTTGTGGCATCCAAGAGTCATGCCATCCCCTTTTGCGACCTTCTAACAAAAAGTCAATGGGGAAGCCCAATTCACTTAACAACCGTGTGATTAACTTAATACCTGCGGTGATTCACTTAACAACCATGGCAGGAAAGGCGGCAAAATGGGGCCAAACTCACTGATACCAACCACCTTGCTTAGCAATGGAAATTCTGGGCTCAATTGTGGTCATAACTCAAGGATTACTATACTAGATTCCCACCCACAATAAGAAAGGACAAATCACCTTAACCTATGTCAAATAAATACAGGTAGTCCTCGACTTACGACTACAATTCAGCCCAATTTTTTTTGTTGTTGAGTGAGACATTTGTTAAGTGAGTTTTGCCCCATTTTACAACTTTACTTGCTATGTTTGTTAAGTGAATTACTGCAGTTGATAAGTTAGTAACCTGGTTGGGAAGTGAATCTGGCTTTCCCATTGACTTTGTCAGTCAGAAGGTCGCAAAAGGGGACACAACGGTCTTAGGTATGAACCAGTCACCAAGCATCTGAATTTTAATCCCATGGTCATGGGCGTGCTTCAAAGGTCGTAACGGTGAAAAACGGTCCTGAGTCACTTTTTTCAGTGCCGTTGTAACTTTGAATGATTCCTAAATGAACTGTTGTAAGTCGAGGACTACTGGTAACCACACATGCACAACCTCCCCCTCCCTATTTCAGAAGACCCCTCTGCAAAAAGTCTCATTTGGAGTCCTTTCCATCTGTGGGGGCAGAGGAGGTGGGGTGAAAAAGGTCCTCCCGGGGGTTTCCATTTGGAGGTGGAGGGGGAGGGCAACCACCCCTGTCCCACTCAGGATGGGACCCTCCCCCACATATCCATCCCTCACCTCTGGGGGAGGGGCGGTCTGAGGGGAGAAGCATCTCCCCTTACCACCATCATCATCAATAATAATTATTTTATATTATTGTTAATTATTATTAACATAACTGCAATTATTATTGCAGTTATGAAGGCTTATGAAGGATGTTTACCTCAACACTATTGTTGTTGATTATTATTATTATCATCATTATTATCGCAATTATGAGGGCTTATGAAGGCTGTTTACCTCAACACTATTATTGTTATTATTATTATCGCAATTATGAAGGCTTATGAAGGCTGTTTACCTCAACACTATTATTGTTATTATTATTATTATTATCGCAATTATAAAAGCTTAGGAAGGCTGTTTATTTCAACACTATTATTATTGTTATCATTATTATCGCAGTTATGAAGGCTTATGAAGGCTGTTTATCTCAACACAATTATTGTTATATTATTATTATCACAATTATGAAGGCTTATGAAGGCGGTTTACCTCAACATTATTGTTATATTATTATTATCGCAATTATGAAGGCTTATGAAGGCGGTTTACCTCAACATTATTGTTATATTATTATCGCAATTACGAAGGCTTATGAAGGCGGTTTACCTCAACATTATTGTTATATTATTATTATCGCAATTACGAAGGCTTATGAAGGTTGTTTACCTCAACATTGTTGTTATATTATTATTATTGTTATTATTATTATCGCAATTATGAAGGCTTAGGAAGGCTGTTTACTTCAACATTATTGATTATCGTTATCATCATTATTATTATTATCGCAATTATGAAGGCTTAGGAAGGCTGTTTACCTCAACACTATTATTGTTATTGTTATTATTTTATTATTATCATTATCATCATCATCGCAATTACGAAGCCTTAGGAAGGTTATTTACCTCAACACTTTGCTCGTCCATGACTGGAAACCGCCTCCCTCGAGGTGGGGGTCGCTCCCTCGCCTCAGTTTCCTCTCCTGAGGAGAAACGACCAGCGTTTGAAGGTACCGGGGGAGAAAAAAAAGAGAGAGGTCGAGCTTTTTATCCCTCCCCCCCTCCCCGTTTTCAAAGCCTTCTCATCCCGCAGACTCCCCCGCCCCAGTCCCGGCCATTTCTCCCCCTTCCCGAGAGGAGAAACGGGGAAACCGAGTCATCAACGGCCGCGCCGGCTCGCGCCTTGCAGCTGTGGGGACACGGGAGGGGAAGGGGGGGGGGGGGAAGAAGCCCCTCTGCCGCCTTACTGCGCCTGCGCGGTCATGCTCGCCAACCGAGAACCGAAGGTGCCGCATTAGCCGGCCGCGCGCTGGAGCGGCCCAGTGCGCCTGCGCTGAACCGAGCGCCCGTTCGGATTTGCCGGAGCGCTTCGTTTCCCTCCTGATTTGTCGGGGGGGGGGAGGAGAAGGGAGCAGTGTTGCGCATGCGTTAAGAGTCGGGGCAGCCTCGAGAACAGGTGAGCGGGAACAGGTGGACAACGCGTTCGGAAGCTTTGCGTGCCGCATAGGTGATAAAGGAGAGCTGGGTTACTCTACATCAGTGCTTTCCAAACTGGACAATTATCCATCAGGATAGAGCTGGAAGGGACCTTAGAGGTCTTCTAGTCCAACCCCCTGCTCGAGCAGGAGAGCCTGTACCGGGGTCTGCAACCTAGAACTACGGAGAAACTTCCTGACAGTGAGAACAATTAACCAGTGGAACAACCTGCCTCCAGAAGCAGTAAATGCTCCAACACTGGAAGTTTTTAAGAAGAGACTGGACAGCCATTTGTCCAAAATGGTGTAGGGTTTCCTGCCCGAGCAGGGGGTTGGACTAGATGACCTCCAAGGTCCCTTCCAACTTTACTGCTACTACTACTACTACTACTACTATTATTATTATTATTATTATTATTACCTTGATGATTTTATGACTTGTGGACTTCAGCTCCCAGAATTCCTCAGCCAGCTATGCAATATAAATTTGGGGCTCCATTGCAAAAGTCGTAAGTCGAGGGCTCCCTGTATGTTGTTTCAAGTATCAGGAACATAATGAAAATATATATATATAAGCAACCAGCTCTATAAACATTTTCTGGATTAGAAAATACTGTTTGCAGTGAGGAATGAGAGATTCTTAAAGAATGCAGCCAAGGGGAGAGCCAAGGCGGCTGGGTGAGTTTGAGCCAGTTTGTTGGAAACTCATCAAGGAGAGAAGCATCCTGGAATTAAGGAGAAACTTCCTGATAGTGAGGACAATTGACCAGTGGAACAGCTTGCCTCCAGAAACCGTGGGCGCTCAGTCACTGGAGGTTTTCAAGAAGAGACTGGACAGTCACCTGTCTGAGACAGAATAGGTTCTCCTGCCTGAGCGGGGGAGGGGGGCTAGACTAGAAGACCTCCAAGGTCCCTTCCAGATCTATTCTAATTCTACTCTATTCTAAATAGTAAATAACAGCGTAATCTAAGCATCATCAAAAACACTCCCACAAACACTGAGAGGGAAAGCCACGAGTAAAAACAGGGAGTATACCTCACATTCCCTTCTAGCACTGATGATGTTGCCTAGTTGGGTAATGAAGCATCTGCAAGAAAGCCACCAAGCTCAGAGAACACCAAGGACCCCACACTCAACCCTGAGCTACATATATTCCCTTCTGTCAGATGAACGTCAACAAGGTGGATGGACTGTTAGGACCATAAGTTCTTCACAGGTTGGGAACAGACTGTCCTGAAGAAAATCTGAGTGCCTACTTGATGGCACATAATGAGTCAATCAATCAACCAATCAATCCGTCAATGACATATGCTTAGGAATATGTCAAATATCCTGTTTTTGCACAAAGGGAAATCTTTGTTTTTATCTTAAGATATCCCGTCTATTCCTCTACCACTATTTACTTGCCCAGTTTAAGAAATGTTTTCATACAGTATCTTTAAAAGATGTTAAATATGCTAACATATGTTAAATATGTTTTTCCGTTATTTTTTTTTAAAAAAGGACCCTCCCCTTAATAATAGTTCCATATCTTAAATGTTCATCAATAATTCTATCTGATTGGTCAGTGTAATTTTTTCAGAGTGAACATATGGAGAATTGGGCTATGTTCATCGTGGCTTTGGCTAATCCAGGGGTCTTCAAAGTTGGCCCTTTGACGACTTGTGGACTTCAGGCACACCTGGCTGATGAATTCTAGGAGTTAAAGTCCACAAGTCATCAAAGGGCCAAGTTTGAAGACCCCTGCTTGTGGACTTCAACTCCCAGAATCCCTCAGCCAGGCACACTGGCTGAGGAATTCTGGGAGTTGAAGTCTACAAGTCATCAAAGGGCCAAGTTTGAAGACCCCTGGGCTAAACATTTAGATTGTATACAGGTAGCCCTTGACTTAAAACAGTTTCTTTTAGAGACTGTTCAAAGTTACAATAGTGCTGAAAAAAGCGACTTGTGACCATCGTTCACACTTATGACCATTGCAGATCTCCATGGTGATGTGATCAAAATTCAGACACTTGGCAACTAACTCGTATTTATGACAATTGCAGTGTCCTGGCTTCATGTGATCACGTTTTGCAACCTCACAAGCCAAGTCAATGGGGAAGCCAGATTCATTTAATAACTGCAGTGACTCCCTTTACAACGGTGGCAAGACAGGCTGCAAAATGGAACAAAACTCACTTAATCAGAAATTTGGGGCTCAACTGTGGTTGTTAAGTCAAATACATTTTTCGTTTAGCTTCAACGTTTGGATTTTAACACACCACTAACCCAAATGAGTCCCAGAACTGAAATATGCATCCCCCTTAATTGAACAGCATTTTTTTTCTTAAATGCCTTGATTTTTGCTATGAACACAAAGAGTTTTTTTAAGGTTAGAATGATACCATACCTCCCAAGGCGCTGATATAGATCCAGTTGTAGTTTTGGCTCGAAGGCACCCAGGTGAACTTAGCCTGATGCTTCCTTGAGCGCGGAAATATGATAAGGGATGCTTTCTCCTTCTGTGTGTTTGCAGCTTGGTTGTTCGGAGTTACCAGAAGCTCCCAGCAACAAACTCTGAGCAAGTTCTCTCTCGCAAGCGGACGTTTTCCCATTCTTTTAAGGAGGAAGGATTTTGCACAAACTTCACGTACCTTTCTGGTGTGGACTTAAGTGGAATTATTTGGGACTGACCTGAGCTTATATTGAGATCTGTGATGGCATTTATTTATTTATGAGACTTATATACCGCTTTAAGTGCAAGCACTCTCTAAGCGGTGTACACCAGTAAGCAATGTATGTGTGTATATATATATATATATATATATATATATATATATATATATATATATATATATACATATATATATATATTTATTTATTTATTTACATTGCCCCCAACAATCTGGGTCCTCATTTTACCTACCCCGGAAGGATGGAAGGCTGAAAAGGCATTTTAGCCTTTCCCAGTGTTTTGCCAAGTTGTATGCATATTTCTTGAAGCATAACTACACGTGGCTTGAACGATTCAACCTAGAAATTATGGTTCTCTTAATAGGATCTCCCAGACCAGGGGTAGGCAACCTGGGCTCTTTTATGACTCATGGACTTCAACTCCCAGAATTCCTGAGCCAGCCATGCTGAGGAGAAATGAAGAGGTTTCCATGCTGAGCCATGCCAGCTCAGGAATTCTGGGAGTTGAAGTCCACGAGTCCTAAAAGAGCCAAGGTTGCCTACCCCTGTCCCAGACCTTTAGACAGCTGATGTATTTAGTGTCTGTATCCCACCTTTATTATTTTTTACAAATAGCTCAAGGTGGCGAATGTACATAATGCAGGCAGTCCTCCACTTACAACAGTTCATTTAAAGACCGAAGTTACAATGGCACTGAAAAAAAGTGACTTAGGACCATTTTTCACATTTACGACCGTTGCAGCCTCCCCGTGGGCCTGTGAAACTTGGCAACAGAAATGTTGGGCTCCATTGTGGTCGTAAGTCAAGGACTTCCTGTACTCCTTCCTTTTTTCCCCTACTATAACCTTGTGAGGTGGATTGGGCTGAGAGAGAGAGGGAGAGAGGAAAGAGAGAGAGATGGAAGGGGGGGGGGGAGAAAAAAAGGAAGAGGGAGAGAGAGGGAGACGGGAAGAGAGGGACGGAGAGAGTGGGAGAGAGGGAGATGGAGGAGGAGCAATAGAATGGAATGGAACGGAACGGAACAGAATAGAATAGAATAGAATAGAATAGAATAGAATAGAATAGAATGCAATTTGGAATGGAATGGAATGGAATAGAATAGAATAGAATAGAACAGAATAATGCAGAATGCAATTTGGAATGGAGTGGAGTGGAGTGGAGTAGAATGGAATGGAATGGAATAGAATAGAATAGAATAGAATAGAATAGATATTAAATAGAAATAGAACAAAAACAGAATAGAACAAAAACAATAGAACAAGAATAGAACGGAACAGAACAGAGGAGGATAGAGCAGGATGGAATAAAGTAGAACGGGTAGAACAGGACAGAACAGAACAGAATAGAATACTTTATTGGCCAAGTGTGATCGGACACAAAAGGAATTTGTCAAGGAAGGAGTTGAACAACTGCTCCGACAAACATTTACAATGGTGCTTTTGTGGGGAAATTATTTCAGAACATTGCCAGGCATTTTTAAGGTCAGCCAAGGAACTTAGAGGAATTGATCCCATAGAACTGTATTAACTTGATGGGAGACCTTGGTGCTCTCTGAGCTTGCTTGCTTGCAGACATTTAGTTAGCTAACTACCAGTAGGTACAAGTTGACTTCAACTTACAACCGTTCATTTAGCGACCGCTCAAAATGACATCACTGAAAAACGAGACTTAAACTTAGGACTGTTGCGGTACTGTATCCCCATGGTCACATAGTCGTAATACAGGCACTTGACAACCGGCATGCATTTGTGACTGTCGCAGCATCCCAGGGGGTCATGTGATCGCCATTCACAACCTTCACCATCGGCTTCTGAGCCGAGTCAATGGGCGGAAGCCAAATTTGCTTAACGGCCGTGTGATTCACTTAACTGCAGGGGATTCGCTTAACAACTGTGGCAGAAAAAGTCATAAAATCAGGTGTGACTCCCTTAACAACTGTTCCTCTTAGCGACGGAAACTCTCGTCTCAATGGTAGTCGTAAGTCAAGGCCAACAGCCGTGGTAATGCAGTGGTTAGAATGAGTATTGCAGGCTAACTCTGCCGACTGCCAGGAGTTTGATCCTGACCGGCTCAAGGTTGACTCAGCCTTCCATCCTTCCGAGGTCGGTAAAACGAGGATCCAGATTGTTGGGGGAAGATGATTAGAGGTCTGGAGGCTAAAACATATAAGGAACGGTTGCTGGAATTGGGGATGTCTAGTTTAACGAAGAGAAGGACGAGGGGGGA